CGGACTCAGCCCCTTAGTACCCGTTTCATCCCAAACGCCGTCATATGAGCATGGATAAGTCCGATTATGTTTCAAAAACATGTTATATCATAAGTAGTCTTGTTACATAATAATTTGATTGTCAACTCCCGGGATCGTTGTAAGCTTATGTAAGTAAGAGGTTATAGACCGAGGAGGACAACTCCTACAATCCTCTTCTCTTGACCAAAAAGACTCACGCCAGTTATTTTTTCAATGTTCAAGTGAAAAGGGAATTAGAGAGAATAAACGATCAGTATGTACTGGTACCAGCTTACAAAGCTGGTATCAACAAAGTCTTTGTTTGCAAGGCTCATTATTTGAATTGTGTTTTACAGGAACTAGGATTTATTTCTGCAGGTGGAAATCCAATTTACACCCATAGCTCCCTTTCTAAGGAAGAAATACTTCAAAATCATTTGTCCGTTTATATTTTTAATATTCCCAACAATCAAAATGAATTTGAATTACCATACCTTTACTGGATTCCTAAACTTCATAAAAATCCTTAAAAACAAAGATAGCGGGTTCCAGTAAATGTTCTACCAGGCCTCTTTCTTTACTCCTCACTAAAATATTTACTGTAATGGAGGAGAAACTTCAGGACTACTGTACAGCAGTATATTCGAGAAGTGGTGTAAATCAGATGTGGATACTTAAAAACTCGAAAGAACTTTTGGAAAATTTGAAATTACAAAATTTTACTAAAACCAGTAACATCAAAACGTACGACTTTTCAACACTCTATACAACCATTCCCCACGATAAATTGAAGTCCAGGCTTTTTGACATCATAGACAGCTGCTTTTTCAATAAAAATGGAACTCGTAAATATACTTACCTCGTCATTAGTCATTTGCAAAATTATTTTGTTAAAAAGCATTCTGATTCTACACACAAAAAGATGCTTGAGTTTCTGATTGACAATATCTATGTAGTTTTTGGAGATCAGGTCTTCCAACAATCTGTTGGAATTCCCACGGGTGCCAATTGCGCCCCGTTATTAGCAGACCTATTTTTATATTCATATGAAGCAGAATTTATTCAAAAGCTTATACATAAAGAAACACTTGCTGTAGCCTTCAACTCGACAATTCGTAATATCGAAGACGAATTATCAATTAACAATAGTTATTTTCATCCATATGTCGACTCGATATATCCTAGTGAGGATATATAATAAAAGATACCACAGATTCTGACACATCTGTTTCATATTTAGATATTTGAATAGAAAAAGACGTTAATGGTAACCTAATAACAAAACTTTATGATAAACGTGATGACTTTAACTTTTCAATCGTCAACTTGCCTTACTTATGTAGCAATATACCCTTATCACCTGCATATGGGGTTTATGTCTCTCGGTTGATTCGATACGCAAGAGCATGCTCTACGTATGAACAATTTCTAAAACGAGACAAACTATTAACTAACAAGTTGATGAAACAAGGATATCAACAGTCTCGTTTGAAGTCATTATTTCGCAAGTTTTACTGTCGATGCAATGACCTTGTCAGCACATGCAACCTATTATTAAGTCAAATGCTGATTGATGTTTTTCATACTAATTGTTAGGCCATTACTTATACACTGAACTGTCTACGGATTTTTCCGGTGTTTTTTTTTTTTTCGGATCATGACAAGGAGCACACGGCGGGTGTGACCGGTCAGCAAGGAATGCTCACTCCTCCATGGCACCTGATCCCACCTCTAAATCCATATTAGCTCTGTTCCAAATTTGTATCGTTTCATTGGACTTTCGAGACTGAATACTGTTCGTTATCTTTATATTTCATTTTACTTCTCGAAATAACTCTTCAAATTTAATTTTTAAATTTAACGTTCCGTTGATTAACTTCCTTCCTGTCCATATCGCATCACAAGTTATGGGGAGTGGCCATGTTACCCAACCTGTATAAATGCCTTAAGAGAGAGACACAATTCAACTTACCACTCTTTATTAAATTGAACAATACATTCTGATTATTTATAATTACTAAAGATACAAATACACAATATAATAAACATTATAATAGACATTAATATCAAAAATTATAAAATATATTAACCTGAAAATAGAATGAGCCATCTAAAAATTTAACCATTGTACAAAAAAAACGCGAAAGTCTACCAAAATATCTTACCCTGTACAAATGCAACAAGAGAGAGACACAATTCGACTTACCATTGTTGGATGTGTCTATCTGAGTTGCATATCCGCGTAGATGCCTTACCATATTTCTTTTTTCTTAAAAATTTGTAATAATGACTTTAAATTTTGATCTGAATTTGAATTAATATTATTTTGTCTTCCAACACTCTTTAATTTTTCAATTCACTTTAAAAATCATGTTCAATCTTTTGCATAAACTTTATTTTTTATTTCTTGTAGATAATTTATATTGATTGACTGATTGTATGTTGTTTTGCGTCCCATTCGAGAATTTTTCACTCATATAGAGACGTCATCATATAGGTTTAATAATTATGCACACAATGGAATAGTCAATAAACCATGAAGCTTGGGCTTGGAGTGTACCAAGTTCTTTAGTATCAGCAAAAGCCCTTTGTTCGAGATGTGAAACATGTACATGTACTAATGAATATTGCACCTGAAGTGCTAAACAGTCAATAAATCTACAGAATTCGTAAAGGAAAAAGGATCTCTTTCTATCCCCCTGTCTTCCTTTCTGAATTAGTAAACTTAAGCTAAAATTAAAACATAAAGAATTAAAAAATAGATTAAATCAAAATTAAAAATTAGAACAGAAACTTAAGCAAGGTTTTGTAATTGATTGAATATTAAGGATCTACGCTTTACACTGATACTTCAACCAAAATTATATCTCATCCATAAGTGCAAAAAAAGTTTACTCACCATCTTGTCTTCGATTTCAATTAAAAGGACACAGCAAGAATTCAAATATAATTTTTACAAAGCTCATATACACAGGGACAGTCCCATATTCCTCAGGTAGTGTGTAAACTTTCCCTGTGTAAGCCGAGACAATCCAACCATATACAGATTTTTTTCTGCTTTCGTTTTCTGTGGAATTATTTGCTTTTCAAGAGCAATTAATCCATTTTACCTCTAAAAACAAATCTCTTCTAATGTCCACAAGACTCCTAAGCTCCTGACTTAATCCATTAAAAATGACAGGACTATCTTCGAACAGTGACATTGAATATGCAGAAATGAAGCTTACTGTGTTTGAAAACTACTCACTGTAGGAAATCACCTGACCTGTTGCAGACAAGTGGTTATACCCCTGAAGGTATAATTATCACATATGCATCTTATAAAGCAGTCAGGATAAAATCATCATTATCTTGATTAAATAACAAGAAATACACAAAAAATTGTAATAAAGTGGATAGACACACAAAGGGTTTAATTTCTTGTGTGTGTACTACGAATGTTGTTAAACTTTTCCCTCGCCATTCGATTTGTTCCCTCGCGAATTACACGAGAGAGCGTGCTCGCGAAAATTTCGTTTTCGTGTATATTAGTATTCCTAAAGATTATATAAAGCAATAACCACAATTCGTGAATATTCTGTCTCGCTAATAAAGAGTCAATGACTATCTCGCGAAAACAAGGTGTCGCGAAAATTTAGTGATCTACAGTACTCGGGAAAAGTTAACCAACATATACTTAGCGATAAGGTCTTCGCTAAGGGAAATGGGAAATAAAGTTAAAACTAATTCATTATGGGTAATTAATATGTTGTGAATATACAACACTAATGGTGGTTATCAGGATCACTGTTTTCGGAAAAAAACTTACATAATTTTTTTTTATTTCTTTGTACATAGATTTTTTTCCAAAAATTAAATTTCTTTAAATTCTTTTGTAATCAATTTAACAAGTCTGTGAAGTTTTAATGAAGATTCACATGTATGCAATCGTACTTTCAACTTATTTCACATTTTTAAAAAAAAATCAAAGAAAGTATTGAATTGATTACGTTCACGTATTTTTTTTTACACTTCTGAGTTTTGATAGAGCAATGCATATATATATATTGGCAAGCTTTACATGTGTTACGTTAATGTTTGAAACCACAAAAATTACAATTTCAGGGAGAAAAAATATCCATTTACCGGTACTTGATTTGACGTTTAAATAAAAGAAATGAAAGTAAATATTTGTAGTAAATGTAAAAGTTGAAGATAAATAGTTATCAACCTCATACATCCAGTAAAGAATACGATTAGGGCAAAAGTCAAGGACCCCTAGAATCCCTAGAGGAGAAAGCATCCTCTGCCAACCGGCCACAAACCGGTAGCTGTGAGCCACATGTATTAATTGATTCAGTAGTCAAATTGGTATAAACACAAAGTCTAGCAATTAATGAGAAACATTTCACTCATTATATGATCCTACCATATGTTGTATTTGCAAACAAGGTCAATATATATATATATATATATATATATATATATATATATATATATATATATATATATATATATATATATATATATATATATATATATATATATCGATCATAGAATTTGTGAAATACTGACTTTGTATGCAATAGTTGAAAACCATGTTACATCAAGTTATTTGTCATTAGCTTGCCTTAATTTTTAAATTGATCATACATTCATCATGTTGATCATACTTAAAATATGGACGACATTAACAACATCATATGCAGATGACAGAGAAATACATCAAAATATATGGAATTGAAAGAATCTACATGCATTTTCTAGTACGTTACTATGAATATAGCAATACATAATTTTCTCATCGGTGAATTCTAAAGATGATAAATAATAAAGACTTCCGTGAATGTTCAATCCTATAAAATAGTCTTTGAAATATAACTACCTATTCGTTTCCATATTGGGCAAGCAGATTTATACGCATTATCATGAAAGTATAACATGTGATAACGCACATAATTTATAAGAATAAAAAAAAAGAAAGTCACCTGTTTTCCAGTATATTGTGTTATTCTATTAATTTCATATCAAATGTACAGTCATGTAGAAAGCATATTACCCCAGGCAGTAGTTGCGTTTGGAAAAAGGTACAAAAGTTCTTTTAACAGTTCTTTAATTAGATTTAAGCACTTTGATGAAGTCTGCAATAAAAAAAAAATTGCAATACTTCTTTTAAAATATAGTATTCCATTCGAAGGAAATGAAATGAATTTTTTGATGGTTACATTTTGATAAAACATACGTTTTCAAAAATTATTGCGGAATTGTGAATGATAAGACTACATAGCCTTAAATTAACTTTCTAATATCTGCACTTACCTCTAGACTGTTGAGAATTATGAAGTGTTGCAGCCTCAAGCTAATGCTTATGAGAGGAGAGTCTCTAAATTTTGAATAATTTACAATTTTCATTTTTGTAATATAACATACTTCTTTTTGCATAAAAAGAAATGATGCTGATTGCATCCAACCGCCCGCCAGCTTTTGTGTTTGTCCATGACGACACAGTCTCTAGTGGAGACAGAGTGGTGGCTATGAAAGTCAAACAGAGTTCCATCGTCCCAGTGTTCATTACTGAGGCCTATCCAAAAGTCGTCTATAAAATAAGATTATATATATTACTATAGTGAATATCTTAATTAGAGCTTTAATATCTCCAGCAAAGGCCCATGTTCGAAAAGGAAAGGCCTAACCGTAAAGGAATAAAAATTGATGTTACTTAAGGCAGGAGAAAAAGAGCAGTTTCCAGATTCCAAGGTAGATTTGTGTTGGATGAATTGATACTATAGTATTTGCTAAGTGGTTACCTCTAGTCAACCTCCGGGCAATCCGATTATTGTCTAAAAACTACCTTAAAACCTTATGAATTTTTTTTACTCACTTTTAGATAAATATATCTATGATTTGATCCGACTGATATGCGAAAGAGTAAAATATGGTATACGTATTTGGGGTTATTAAAATCAAACAAAATTCCCTTTTTTAGAATTATTATCAACGATGAAAAATCCTTCAAATGTAACAAGAATATAGTATGAAAGAGGTAGGGTGAATTAAGCTTTATCCCTTCTCCTTGCACTATCTCTCTTCCCTCCCATCTTTCTTTCGCTTTCGCTTTCCCTTTTTTCTTCCATTTTTGACACCACAGAAAACATAACAAAAGTTATGTTCATCAGTTATTTTTTATCAAAATAATATTAATTTTACTATCTAGTAAATAAGTATAGCGCTCGCGCCGTGGTCGGAAGAGCGTGAGTTTGAATCTCGACCGCAACTGACCTAAGTTGATAAAAAAAAAAAAGGTAGCAACTGTTCCTTCAGCAAGCGCACGGCACTTTGAATTAAGTGAAAGTTGCGGATCCTTCGGATGAGACTTTAAAAACCGAGGCCCCGTGTCACGGCAGGCGTTGGCACGATAAAGATCACTCACTGCTCAATGGCCCTAAGTGCCGAGTAAAGGTCTAAATTTGAAGCCGTTAACCGGTAAATCCATGAAAAATTCTCGAATGGGGCGTAAAACAACATACAATCAATGAATCAATGAATCAATCAAGTAAGTTAAATGTCAAAATTAATATGCATACGTCCAGTCATAATTCTATGAATAAAGTCCTCCTCTGTTTGAGAGTGTATGCTCGTTAGGGTCATGCCACTATGTCTGCAAATAGTCTGAAAGAATAAAAAAAAAAACGTTACTTTACAGAAAATTCTTCATTTGTCTTACCAAATGCAAAACATTTGCAGAATAAGAGCAACATTTCATTTAAAAGTATCAAAAAACATGAAACGTGTGTTTTCTCAAAAAGTTTTTGAATTAACCTTCTTTACTAAACTAAATGAATTGTGCGGACAGCTTACACAAATAAGCCATCATACCTTATAACTCCGTTTTTAAAAAAAAATTGTTTCAGTTGAAATTAAGCATTTATTTATTTATTAATTGTTGGTCAGTAAGTGAAATTGCTGTAGCATCCTTACATCTGCCTCATGCCTAGTGGTTTGGCTCTTTTCGTTACCGTTGTGTACCGACGAGATATAGCAGTAACCATTGAAAGTGTGGCCATGTTTACAGCTATCTACAAAAAACAGAAGTGGGGTCATAAAATCATGATGCAAGATTGTTAGCTTATGTTTATTCGATGCACATCTTTACAATGTTCGAAAGAAATTATTAGGATAAATCCCGTTGTAAAAATATAAAACTATGTTGTTGGGTTTTGTTTTTAATTTCATGACAAACCGACAAGGGAGATGAGATATTTGAGTACGAAAGATACACATTTCAACAGTAAGCTTTCTTTTCAGTCACATATGTTCTATATTCAGATAAAATTTTGTTTGCCGCTGTTTATTTCTTTTTTTTCAAAATAAAGTAGTAAAGGATAGCTGAAATGGGCACAGAAAAAGATTACGCAATCAGAATAGAAACCCTTTAACCCTTTTCTTACAAAGAAAGGCAAAAAATATCTGGTAAGTTTACCGTGATGACTATTAGTATGATGTGTCGTCATCTGGGTGGATGTTGGGGGTTGGGCTGAGGTTGTTGGGTAGGGTGATGTGGTTGTGATAGATCCTGGATATTGCTTGTTACACAGATTCTTGCTACAACACTGCCGAGTTAAGCTTCTTCTGAAGTGATTTTTAGGAGCAATATCCGAACATTCCTACAAAATTAAATGTATCAAAGTAATTCATTGTATTACTATTGTTAAGTATTCTAAAAAGGGAGATACCATTGTTTTTTCATGTAGATTTCTCTCCCTTTGTATTACTGGCTATCTAGCTGTTAAAAAATTGCACTGGGGCATAATTTTGGATCGAATCCTCGAATAGAAAGGATTCAGATTTTAGTCAACTGTGGACGACGATGTGCTTTACTCAAAGTCAGATTATTTGAATGTATCTTCATTGATTGTGCCTGCTCAGCTAATTATGAGTGCCAATTAATTAAATTATTTTAAAATACATACTCGTTTTACAATTATAGAATTATCTGTTGATTAAATAAAACATAAAATATGAAATGTTTATCATTTATTTTTTTTTTTTAAAAGTAACTAGCATCAGAGACTCAACAAACTACAACATTGAAAGTGTTCTAGCTGATCCACTTTCTTTGTCAACTGTAGATTGGTAAACTACATGAACACGATAAATGAATCCAAAATCCAAATACCCTGACTTATAGACCTGAAGGAAAGCATATTAACCGAGCACAAAGTGTGAGAAAGTTAATTTATGGATATACCGGTAAATTGTGTGGTCATAAAATTTGTGTTTTTTCCTTATAAAATGTAATGTGTAATGTAATTCATTACTTTGACAAAGTAATTGTAATTTAATCAATTACTTTTCTGAATGAGAGTAATGGTAATGGTAATTGTAATGGTAAAAATTTCAAAGTAATTGTAATTTAATTCATTACATTTCAAAGTAATTGACCCCAGGTCTGGTCAGATATGATATACCAAGCTCACTAGACAATGCGATATTGAAATTGTATCTGAGTCATAGATAAACCCATCACAAGGATGAACTCAAACTTCAATATGTTGTTGTCCGTTTCATATTTCTTTAACTCAAAGTAACATCACAAACATCAAGTTTACAGGGAGTCAAATCAGGTGACTTTTTCCTCGTCAATGACATATGATTGATCACATACAAAATTATTTTATTAAAAACATTTTGATTCAACAGGTAAATACTCTGAAGTTGATATTAAAAGGATACTGGAGTTCCTCATTTGCAATATCTATCTATTCTTTGGATTTTAGCTCTTTCAACAATCCGTTGGAATCACAATAGGTGAGTTTTTCAACCGACCTATTTTTATATTCTTATGAAGCAGAATTTATTCAATGACGTCTATATGAAAAGAAGAAAACTCTTACTGTGGCCTTCAATTCGACATTCAGATATATCGACTTTACTTGCTGGGGATGCTTACTCTGCCTTTGCACCTGATCCCACCTCATGTTTTTTTCCAGGGACCCGTGTTCACAATTTGTATTGTTTAAATGATTCATGAGATTGAACACCGTTCGTTATCTTCAACTTTTACATTTGTTTTAAATCCTACCTGCTCAGCCACACATCCAAGTATATAGGCCAGATTAAAGTTATTGTCAATGGTTTCTGTCACAAAACATATCTGTAATACAGTCATATGTATAGGAAATTAATGGCTTTTCCCAAAACGAAACTACTTATAATTTGGAAAGTAATTCCTGTAATCAATCCAGTAATAAAAATTCAAAAGACTAAGTAGAGTGAAGCATGAATCATTGATAAAATAGTTATAAAATGAAAAATAGAATTAGCTAAGGAATATTGTAATAAAGAACAGCAGTTAAGATCACGATCTAGTAAATGAACGGTGCCTACAGATTTCTCAAATTTGAGAAATAAATTTCTTTAATGATGCTTTTATAACTTTATCTTGGTCAAATAAGGTGTTTCGGGGCATAATTTGCAGGTAACCCTGACGAAGAATTTTAAACTGTCATTATGAATGAAAAATTAGGAAAACCAGTCACGAATATGGGAGTTTTTTCCATATCAGACAAAGGAAATGTATTCAGATTGCCTGCAGTCTCTCAGAAAACGGTAACTTGTATGTTCTAAACCTCTTCTTTAAAATACATGTAATATTAAATTAAATATAGGTATCGAGATTACTTTTTTTAACATGATTTCAAATTGAATTCCATGAAAATACTTTATTTTCTACTTAATTCTATTATACCCGTAAAGTACGGGAAAAAGGAAGTTGAAATGATTATGACGCCATAATGGATCTAGCACCAAACAGTTAGCCTAAAGTCATTTACTAGATTTTGACCTTAATCTGTTTTATGTCTATTAATTACCGAAAAGTTCCGGAAAAGTAAATTTTCATTCTTGTTTTTTGAACATTTTTGGCTAACTTGTTCTTAACTTTTAATTTTAATCTTAATTATGAAGTATTCGCAAGATATGATCTTGGAGCTCTTTTGTAAAGGAGTTATGTAGAAAGAAGGTACGCTAGCACCTACCTCATGGTGGTCACAACTTGTGTTTGCGTGACAGTTCATGGGTTTATCAACGAGATCACAACTATAGCAATGCAGACCATCCGCTTTATTTTACATGTATACAAAAATAGAAAAATAAATTGTATTATATGTTGTATAATCATATTCTAAGACATTTCGCCCCCAGCTTTCAAACAAGCTTTTGTTACGATTCAAGAGGGTACTAGTAGAAAAAGTACTAGTATTAATAAGTGATGTCAATTTTACTCGGGCAGTTTAGTCGAATAGTCGGGGGCTTTATGTCCTATACAGACTACTTGTACTACATTAAAACTATTAATATTTTTATATATAAAAAAAAATAAATTTGCAATCTATACTGTAACATAGAAGATCTAATGTGAATTTTAGCATTATAATCTAAAAGTAACTGCATTTCTTTGAATTTCCTTATTTGTTCAGATATTATTAAGCTTATTTTACTCTTATTGTAGAAAACCATTTTTAATGAAAAAAGTGAAGATAACGAACAGTGATCGATCACGAAAAAAAACCTACAAACAATACAGATCTGTGAACAGGGCATAAAACACGACTGCTGGAAATTCCAGAGGTGGGATCAGGTGCATAGGAGGAGTAAGCATCCCCTGTGGACTGGTAACATCCGCCGTGAGTCCTATGTATTGATCAGGTAGGCGGAGTAATCCGTAGTCAAATTTAGTATAAAAACAAAGGTTTAACAATTAGTATGAAATATATCAGTCAAAAAATGACCCAGTGATAGGTTATATTTGCTAACAAGGTCATTATAACGATCATAGAATTACGAAATGCTGACTTTAAATGACGTTGTTGAAGTCCCTGTAACATCAACTTATCTGTCAAATAAAGGTAATATTTTACATCAAAGAATTCAACATATAATTCTTAACAGGGCCGACGCCAGATTTCTGGAAAGGGGGGGGGGGGGCAGGAGAGGGTCTGCCGGGGGTACTCCTCCACTGAGTAAAGCCAGAATATTTTTTGACAAATTGGTTCCATTTTGGTAGCTTTTAATACCTACTTAAAGCCATTTTTCCCAGTATCATAGTAGCAAAATCAAGCAGCAGTACTATAAACAAATCATGATTTTTTTAAGGGTAGGTGTGCAATCGCATCGAAAGCACACCCTTGCTTAATATAAATAAATTATCTTCATTGTATTTTTTCATTAAGGGTGGTTTTCACATTAAAAAATATAACACTGACTTACCTTTCAAAACCAGCATAGAGAGCAAGCACGCTGCTGCAAGAAATGTATATATAATATTTTTTTATCGTCGTGCATTCTACTAATTAATGCATAAAAGGTTCAATGACCAGGTTTAATGACTTTAAATTATTCCCTTAAAAATTGTCAGTTAAATCACTGATAAATGTTGCACCGCAATGTAAATTGAAATAAATTATTGATAATTTGGATTTCTTTTGGAAAATCATTGTCAGGAAAGTAAAAATTAATAAACAGAGGGATGTTGCACCTTAAAATAACTAAGGAAAAGAACGGCTACCACTATAAAAGTCAAACATCATTATGGAATTCCATATACGACAGCCAACTGCTCACTGCCAACTGCCTTTGATTATAGATAATATGTATATCACTCATATACTGCCTCTGCCAGCTACTTACTGTCAACTGCTCACTGCCAACTGCCACTGCTTATAGGTAACATTGCCTATTTGGTTATCTTTGATATCGTTCAATACGCATGCTTGAATAAACCCTATAATAGCAAGAATATTACAATTATAACAAAAATTGGCGGATTCAGGAATTTTTAAAAGGTGAAGGCGAGGAAGGAGTAAATTGGAAGAATGAGGATTTTCTCTTAAAAACAAATAATTCCCATATTTCCTTGCAGGCAAATAATTGGTCTTCTACAGACTTCTTTGACAGTTTCGAATTATGTTGGTCCTATCGGAAATTCAAAAAAAAAAAAACGTCAATTTCCGGTTATAAGAGAAAAACTAAGTTATTAGAGTTTTTAACTTTCCCATAAATATCGCTTATAAAGTTTGGAAATGAATTTTTAATATGATATTAAGACTGCAAATGTCTAGAGCAGCGTCAAATATCTTTGTAAAATTCATTTATAAGATTTTGCTCACACTTTTGCTCGGCAACAGTAAACGACTGAAGTCTAAAACTTTCAAGACTGATAGTCAGTCATCAGTTTATCTGCATCATGTGAAAATCGTTCGTTGCCGTCAATCCCGGTCGTGATGGGATGCGAAAAAAGAGAATTTTTCAATTTTTTTCTCTTTTTACAGAAATTTTGGTTAATACAGATTTTAGATAGACCATGTCCATTTTATTTGTTTTTATCTGTATTTACATATCTTTGGAAGCTTTGAGATAACTTTTGTTAATCATTTAGAGTTATCTAATTGATAAGATTGCTTTTTTTCCCCAAAGGAATCAGGAAAACGGAAGACCTGCTATTCCCTAGGCAATAAGTATCTGGTTCAATAACTATTTTGACGGGGAACAGATTTAAGGCTTATATAATGTCAGAAAAATGGGGGGTCTATGTATGTAGGAAGGACCATCCCTAAATTGAGGGTGGGTTGTCACATACGACACTTTACTACTTGTCAAGGGATTTCTGTTGGGTTGCCCCCCCCCCCCCTTCGCCAACTGAAATTGCTTCCTTGCCTAGGAACAATTATTTTTACATAGAGTAAAATACCTTGTAACGTTTTACAGAATATTGGAAAAGGTTTTAGAAATCATTTTACTAGTGCAAAAGAATTTGTGATATTTCCCTAGTGTTTCTGGTATATTTCTTACCGGCTAAAGCTAGGTTACCCCCTTACTTTGCTTGTCAGGAAATATTGGAGTTAGTCTTTCGTTTTCAATGTTCTTTCACCTTCCCAGTATAAATATTCCTGGATCCGCCTCTTTTATCACTGTAGCAATATTGTTGCATTCAAGCATGCGTGTTAAGAATAAGACAATTAATAGGTAATACCATCTATAAGCTGTGACAGTAGACAGTTGGCAGAGGCAGTTGGCAGAAAGCAGTTGGCTGTCGTACGGATATTCCATAGAAATTCCCGAGTCAGCTACTTTTTTGATAAAATAATTAAAAACAAAAATTATTCTTTCAATATCAATTGAAGTATTTTTAAGAGAATGACTTGTTTATAAAAATTAATGCTCGTAAAATTTTTATAAACGTGAACATTATATTTAAGGTATATCTATTAGGTTTAAGTATACCTGTGACTATGTTGAGTCCCATGCCTTAACTTTCACGTACACATACACCGATAGCATTGAACTTGGTGGCACTTAATAGATATGTACAATACTTATACGTCCTACAGACGGGGGCTGCTTTACGATCTGTTTTATCGCTATGTTGTCACAATGATAATTTTTACATTTTAGACCACTAGAGAATCAAATTGACACAAACTTTTACCATTTGCAATGAGATTAAACTGGGTGATTCTTTCAGATCATTTGTTGTTGTTGGTTTTTTTCTTCTTTTTTTAGATTTTGTTACAAGCTAAAGAAAGACTCCTACTGAATAAAAAAATCTGCGACTTATGTCTTAAATTTCGAGCTTACAAACTAAATTGCTAAAAATTTACTGTTGAGGGAGGTGTCCTCCTTGTTGCAATGCTTAGTGCAGTTCAGTTCAAGAGAGTTTGTACTAAAGGCAGTTTCCTTTCAAACACATACTACGACAGTATAGCAGCCAATAATGCTCCAGATCTGTACTTTGGCATTCCATAATAATGATGTTGGAAAAGTTTCTGTAGAATCCGGTGACGTCGTGTCTCCATTTGCTTGACGTACAATCCTTCGGCATTTTGCATTAGAGTTGTTATAGTCATTCTTGGATTTTGATATAGTCTTGCTTGCAGTAAAGTAAAATATATCAAATTATAAGAAACAAAAGCTCAAGTAAGATTTTTATAAAACATTCGTTGCATCTTCCTGTGTGTCAAACGTAAACTTTACACATTTTCAAACTCTCCCTAGCAATATTTTCAATATAACTTGGTAAGTAGTATCCTTGAGTAAAAAGAATTTTTTTCAACTTTTGAAAATGTAGGTTTATTCCTTTTCACAATTTTCCAAAAAAAAAAATGAGATCTTCTACTTTCATTACCTTCAAAGGGGTAGAAAAAAATATGAAATCATCAGAAATGTTAACCCCCCAAAAGCTTCAATTTTTTGGTAATATGCAAGATATTGGTTCATAGTTAAATCATGCCTTATAAGCTAAGATGGTGTTCAATTGGGGTTCAAATTTTTACAAAGAAAAATATATTTTTGATGAACGAGATTAGAATTTATCAATATATTGTGGAATTCCATATACGACAGCCAACTGCTCACTGCTTACTGCCAACTGCTGACTACTTACTGCCAACTGCCACACGTATTTGAATAAATTTTCATAGTTATGTAGATATTTACGTGAATTTTCATAATACATAACTTATTTGGGAAAACAAAGAGATATAAGTCTTTAATTTGGAAAATCATGTTTTTCACTATAGAAATCAACAGAAAACGGAAATTTATTTTCAACCCCCCCCCCCCCCTCCCCGCGAGACAACAATTCTTTTTTATGGGTATTATGAATTATTATTTCACAAATTCATACCAAAGGTTTTTTTTTTTTTGTTTCGAGGGCGGGGGAGGGGGCATGTGTTTGAATACTAAAAACAGGAAAATAGTCATTTTATTACCAATTTCAAATGAGATAAGAAATAAAAAATGTAATTTAGCAATCTGATATGTTGAATTTTACATAAGTTAAACATACGGAGAGATTTAAGGGTCATTTATCCACTTCCATGAGTATTTGAAAATCTGGTGATGTTTTCAGCTTGATATCATTAATGGATGAAATTTGAAAGGAGTTGCAAATAAGCAAGAGCAATTAACTTTTTGACACTGGTTTTTAAAATTATCTATCCATTACTAATGAACTTTTCTTTGCATTCAAACATTGGGGGGGGGGTCTTAAGGGGGGACAAAAGAACAAACTTAGTAGGGTCTTGAGTAACATTTGTTGGTTTATGTATTCATACTATAGAAATATTATTGAAAATTATAATAGCATACTTCTGCCTAGCTAGTGTAAAACATCTAGCAATATCTTTCAGTGTTTCTTTTTACCCTATGAAAAGTACCTGTATTTGGGAGTTTAAATTCAATTCAATTCAATTCACTTTATTGACAATTACCATGTCGGCATACAGTCATGACATAAAACAGATTAACAAGAATAATACATATATATACAAAGTGACAAATGTGAGGTAAACAAAATAATGTGGAGTATATTCACATATTTCTATATGTCTTATTTAAATCGTTTTAATGGCTGAAATGCCTTGTATTATGATTTTTTCATTAGTATTTCTAATATAAATGCAAATATCAACAAATATTACCCAAGATCCTACTAAAAGTTTGCCCCCCCCCCCCAAATTTTTTTCTGAGGTATACAAGCCTTTAATATCTCCCCCGTCAAAAAAGCTAATGAATTGGACATGTGGGAATTAAATGTTTTGTATTTAAGAGGAAATGCTCTTTCCTTCTATTTATTCCTTCCTCGCCTTCACTGTTTAAAAATTCCTGAGTCCGCCAATTTTTGTAATTATTGTAATCTATCATAGGGTTTATTCAATTAAGCATGCGTATTTAAGATATTAAAGATTACAAAACAGGCAATATCATCAAAGAGCAGTGGCAGTTAGCAGTAAGCAGTGAGCAGTGAGCAGTTGGCAGTAAGCAGTTGGCAGTAAGCAGTACGTGAGCAGTTGACAGTAAGCAGTTGGCTGTCGTATATGGAATTCCATAATATATTGCTTTATTTTTTTTTGGTTTGTTTGTTTTATCAGAAAGTGAATATAAAGTGTAAGAAATATATTGACCACAGAACACAAAGTCACTTGCACACAGAAAAATTAATATTCTAGCTATTTAATTATTCTGGATTCTGAAAAAAAAAAAAAAATATATATATATATATATATATATATATATATATATATATATATATATATACACACACATATATATATATATATATATATATATATATATATATATATATATATATATATATATATATATATATATATATATATATATAGCTAAAATATTAATTTTTCTGTTTGCAAGTTGACTTCGTGAGTTTTGTGGTCAATATATTTCTTACACTTTATATTCATTTTCTGATTTATTAAAGTGTTTTTCACTTTTTTTTTCAAAATAAAACATGCAAGTATATAAATTGCTTGAAATTAAATGTAATAAAATGGAACCATTACATAAGTTATTAAAGGACTTATCGCATGCATGTAGAGTTTAAAAATTTGGAGTAGCAAAAGTTATAAACATTCTTGTAATTTCTTTATTAGAAATTTTACTCTTCAGTATCCCCATATTAGTGAAACAATGAGTTGAAGATAAAAAAATCTTTGTATTCGACAATATTACATTACAGAAATACTTTCATGCAAGAAAGAAGTATTAATATCCCCAGGATTCAAAGCACCTGATTAGATGTAAACTATACTATTCACTGGGTGATAGTAATCTTTCGCAAATAATTGAGCTTCATTTATGTAAAACCTAGCCCCAAGACCATAAACTGAGTAAAAATTGTTTATTAGATTTTAAGATGAATAAATTGCTCATTTCTTATAAACTTTTCCTTTCACTAAAGTACATAAACTATTCACTTTATAGATCTATAAATCTCAACTCAAACAACAAAGATATACGATTCCAAAAAATTCCTTAAACTACACACTTTACAAACTCTCTACATCTCTTATATCTTGTGCCATTTAAAAACATCAATACAAATTACATGTATAAATAAAAGTTTATTTTTAATTTTGGTAACTTGTTCATCATTAAAGTTTACACTTCATAATTCAAAACACATGCCAAAAAGACATACATGTAAATATGATATTCACATTCACGTTTTTTACTCAGTGCATCATGTTCACAGTGAATAAGAAAAACTGTCTTCTCTTAAGAAATGGATGCAATCTGCACTTATCAGACTGAGATAGATGAAATCACCTGTTAGCTTCTCTTAACAATATTTGTTTGTCTACATTTGGGTTGCGAACCTTGGGTTTTTTAGGTGGTCTTAATCTAAATGCATCAATATCAATGGCAGGGGTGGTGAGAAACTTTCTAATGACGGGGTTCAACTCTTCATCTGGGGTCACTGGGGGGTTATTCCAGACCTGGATCTTGTCAGCAGGGCTTTCCTCTACAAATACCAGGGGGCGCTCCACCAAAGTACCACGTACCTTCAGGGACACTGCTTCATTCATCTGTTTGAAAAAAAAAAAATGGTGCCTGAAGCTTTCTACCTTGACAGTTACTGAATTACAAAAGATGAAAAGCTGAAGTTTTGCAGTTTATAAGCTTTATGAAAACAAATCAGTGCATATTTATGCACAACAAAATATATGTACAAGTGTTTATGAAATTTGATAATCATTCATCAATTAATAAATTGGTGGAATATAACTTACCGTTATTGTGAAGATAAACACCCCTGGTGTTTTCATTTCTGGGTCCTCAGGTAAAGTTATGGAATCTTCAGTAGCTGCAATACCCTGTCAAGATACACGTTTTATATATAAATTACTACATAGCACCATTGGCAGATCTAAATGTTACAGGTGTCAAACTGCACAATAGACTAACTTCAATGAAAATTTATAATTTGTGGTTTTAAAAAAAGACAAATATTACACAACATCATACTTGAATACAGAAATAACACAGCTATATTCTCCAGTATCTGAAAATCACTTGACCATTCTCTAAGGTAACAATGTTTTTGTATTGTATCTCTCATTCTTGTTGTTTAACATGCAGTTACAATACATGTAGTTGAAAAAGGTTTGGTTAAATATATGCATATTAACTTGGGGAGTTTTCTGAGGTCTTTCAAGACTTCAGAATGAAGTCTGTTCAAGAAAATTGAAAAAATGAGATTTTTTCCTAATTACTCACAAATAACACTTTTAAACATAGGGATTTTTTTTATCTTCAAGTAATATCACAACAAAATGTACATGTACAATATAAACTTTATATACTTTAGTCATTTGGACAATCTTACCACTTTTCTAAGAGCTATTCTAATGTGTCCCTTGGTTAGGGTCCAGCCTGTCTTGCTTGGCATCAACTCCACAGGAAGATTTAGTCCTCGTATTTTCTGAAGAGTCTGAAAACAAAAAATAATAAGCTAATCAGTTCACATCTACAAACAAGTATATTATCAGATACACAGGCATGTTCAACCAGTCATTCATCTATAAAAGGTGCAACTTCCAACAATATCTTTTGTAATTGTTAGATTTACTTTCCTTTCTATACTTACTATGCGACTGAATTTTCCAAGCTGTTTGAGAATGGCTGCATTATCTCCCAATGCCTGAATGAAAATTTAAATAAAATAAAACATACATGTTAATGTAGATAGCATATAAAAATGGTTAATGTTGCCCCATGTTATTCTTCACCTATCACACTTGCAAACGATTTTTGTCCCATTTTTAAATGCAGCCTAACACAATAATGTTCAAAGAGAGATAACTCTGTCTCCAGCGCATTCACCCTGTTTTGAATTCGTCCAGTGATGACAGTGACAGGGGAGATAGTAAATGGGGGCTAAATTTCCCTGTATATAATATAGTGTAATTCTGCATAGAATTATTTTAACTATCATAAGGTATTATTTAGCTGCGAATCAATGCTATTACATGTAATTCTTAAAGACTCGTACTCTCTTTTGGTATATTTATTATGGCAGTTTTAAGCATGAAGAGATTCATTAAAATCTTTAAATTATTGGAAGGCTAATACACATACCTGCATTTCATGACTTAGTTCTACTATATTTTCAGGTGTAGGGTATGTGGCTAACTGAGCTTGATATAGGAAATTTCTCCACAGTCGTTTAGGTACAGTCACAATATCACCCATGATTCCAAGCCCTTAACAAATTAAATGAAATACTTAGCTACATATACAAATTTCTGTACTAAAACAGATTGGCTATATAAATGTTGGAAAGAACAGTGAGTGGACCTCTTCTCCTTCTTCCCAACCCCCTCCCCTCCCCCTTCCAGTTCCTTTAATTCTCACCCCTTTTCCTCCCAACCCCCTCCCCTCCCCCTTCCAGATTCCTTAATCCTCCCAACCCCCTCCCCTCTCCCTTCCAGTTCCCTTAATTCTCCTCCCTTTTTTAATGGTTATCCTTTTCCTTCTCTCTCTCCTCCCCTTCCCTTATTTTGACTATCTTCTTACCATTTTCCCTTTCTGCCCAAAATTAACATTCAGTATATTTACTAGTTACTCTTACTGCAAGTCTGTGTTATGAGAATTTTAAAAAGAATTCCTCAGTGAAAGCAACATTCTTACCATCCACATGGTCTGTTAACAGGACATCTATTTCAGCTGGTGAAGGATTGGGGTTCTCTATGTTTCTATAAATGTAGTGTCTTCCCCTTATCTTTGGTTTTCTGTCATCTTTGTGTAGAATCACAGTTCGCACTCTTTCTACCATATGAAGACTCTGTAACATCAAAACATTCCATGTAAAAATATCATTCATATCATCAGTATACTGTGTATTTTATCAGCTTTGGTGTCCATGTCATTCATATTTTACAGCTTGATAGGTGAGACACATAAATTGCAATTATATCACAAAGCATACTGTCCAGTATGTAAAATCTTGATAAAAATTCATAGGTAGTGTATAACACACTTTCCTATATAATTCAAAATATGTTCCATGTTTTTTTATCATCATAAATATTTTTATACTTTGTCACCATTAAGCAAGCAAACAAATCAACTAGCACATTTTTTTTAATTATTGACTAACCTACTGTCTTAATTCAACATTTTTCATGTATATGTACATTTTGCATAATTTGCATTTACAGTTGAACTTCGGTATCTCGAACACTGATATCTCGAATACCATGGATTTGGAAGTCCCAAACACTTATTCTTCAACTATTTTACCCCTGATTTCTTGAATACTCGGATATCTCGAAGTTTTTTCTCGGTCCTATTGATTTCGAGATAACGAGGTTTGACTGCAAATACATGAAAACTCACCCGTATCTGATTCAGGAGAAATTTCTGCTGCGCTATCTGTGGAAGATTCATCAGCTGTTTACACACCGTGCGACTCTGGCTGCATCCAATCATGATTTATTATCACTTTTTACTGGAGTAAAAGCAAAGGAAAATGCTGTTTGAACAATTTTTATATAAATTTTAATTATAGATATTGAATGTTGCTGTAATTATAGATATTGAATGTTGCTGTAATTATAGATATTGAATGTTGTAATTATAGATATTGAATGTTGCTGTAAACTTACTTGCTTCTAAGTATTTGAAAAACTTATTGTGATTTCCTGAATATAAAATAATTTTTCATTTAAAAAAAAAAGTGCCTCACTAAGTAGGTGGGAATATAATTGTGATGATTTGACAGCTAAGAAAAATATTACGACACAAATTTAAAATACATGTAGTAGGAAAATTACACTGGATGTTAATACCTAGATTGGGACCACAGGGCTTTAGATCGCTCTAATTGAATTGACAAACTGGGAGTATAAAAATGTAAAGGTGTGAACACTGTGGGACTTCTCAGATAAGGTGCCCAATTTTACAAATGAAATACTAATAAATCAAATTATGAAAATTAAATTATATTTTCAATTCATATCTATTCATATAGACAATCTACATTACTACCAAAGTTTATTTCAAAATTCTGTATACTTCTATTATATCTCTGTCTATCTGTTCGCACGAGTCCATTCGCCTAGAGTCCATTCACCAGAATGCTCATTCGCCCTGAACCCTGTTCGCCATATATCATATTTGCTCCATTGTAAATATTATATGTCAACATTTCCGTTGAATTTTCAGTCATTTCTTATTATTTTTTGTTTTTGGCTAATTAATAGATCTAGTAAACAATACATATTCTCTTGAAAATCAATTAATATCAAATTTTTTTTTGTAAATTAATAGGTCTAGTAAACAATTTATATTTTCTTGACTTTATTTCCGATTTCAAAGACGTAATTGGTTTAAGTGTTGTTAATTTTAAGACAGTAAATATTAGAGAACACCTTCTTTGTTTTGTTTTTTTTTAAAGATTTGTGTTATGTTTTGAAAATGATTAAGGAAATTGAGATGTTTATAAGCTATCTTAATTGGGGATGAGCAGCGGATTTATTTTTTTTATTCCCAACTTAATATAACATTATATATAACGTTACTTATGAATTAACAAGAATTACATAGACTTCTACAATTTAAATTCATCTGTTTTATTTTTCTTCATCTATACTGTATGTTCGCCAACTTTGGATGTACATTGAAACCAGTATAATCCGACGTGCACTGGGAGTCAAATTTTGTGTTGGAATAGACAGGGTGTCGGATTGCACAGTGTAAAAAAAACATGGAAAATAGTAAAATGGGATTGAAATTTAACGTCAGAATTCACAGTGTGACGGATTGCACAGGTGTCGGATTAGACAGTTAAATAATAAAATATAATTTACACAGAAAAATTCATGAAATGCAGTAAAATCGAAGTAAATTACGAAAATTAACCGACTAACATATTTAGGGCGAACGGACTTTGGGCGAACATGTTTTAGAGCGAACGGGAATGAGGATGAACGGCGTGAAGGGCGAACGCGTTTTAGGGCGAACAAATATACATTCATCTCATTTGAGCAATAATGGTCCCAACCTGTTAAACAGTGTCTACTTATCAGGAATGTATCCTGGCCAAACAACCCTGAAACTCTCGAGCTTTATCAGTGTCTTTTAAACTAATAAAACTAATAGTGAGCGCAGCGAGTGGCTCGACACTGCGAGCTCTAACGACAACACCTGGGCGAAGAGAAAATTCGGACTACTGCACATTCATTCAATAGAATTTTTTCTGCAGTAATTCTGACCCACAATGCATCGTTTCTTGTTCTCGCTGCTAACTTCATTCACGCGGTGACAACAACTAAAAATTCACACAAAATAAACTCACCTTAATTTAATGGATATTGCATGCAGATAGTAGATTAAACGTTCTTTGTTAAAATATTTGCACTTTTTAAACTTTGTTTATGGAAATGCAGCTAACATACGACATCATGTGATGTCACAGTCTAGACGTTCCAAATGTCTCGTGCGGTTTGAAGAGGCGGATCATAATAATGAATATTCTCTATTGAGAAGTTGATGGCTCATTTTAATACTCCCCCTCAACTTCTCTACGAAAGGCCTAATAAAAGCAGTTCAGAAATTGACTAAATGAAGAACCAAAACCCGGGTCCCACTTCGATCGGTGTTTTAGGATTGATGCATTATCATAGACATATTTTGGATGCACAGATGTTGTTTTGCGATGGAAATGCGATTAAAAATACCGATTCTGCTGACTTGAAAAACATTCATCACGGTAGAACACTTACTCGCGATATCTGTGTCACCGGATTGGTTTATTCATTCAAAACTGTGTTTGAACCCGGTTGACCTCTAAGAAAGTCCAATACTTTTTATCCGGATAAATTGGATTAAATGTTTCAGTGTTAAATAGTTATCCGGAGAAATAGTTTTAGACTTTTTTAGAGATCGAACCCAGTTTTTAATGAATAAACGAATCCGGTGACACAGGTATCGCAAGTAAGTGTTCTACCGTGATGAATGTTTTTTAAGTCAGCAGAATCGGTATTTTTAATCGCATTTCCATTGCAAAACAACATCTGTGCATCCAAAATATGTCTACGAAGTGGGACCCGGTTTTGGTTCTTCATTTAGTCAATTTCTGAACTGCTTTTATTAGGCCTTTCGTAGAGAAGTTGAGGGGGAGTATTAACAGGTCCAGCACAATCTCTTGATTAAGCTATATAGCTTTATCTAGCTATATAGCTTGATAAAGCTATTGAGAATAGCTTTATTAAGCTATTTGGAATGTGAAATATTAAAATAAAATTATTAAAAATAAACACGAGAGAGTCGCATTATGAGTACTTATCAACAAGTTCATCCGTGCATAACAATTACTCACACACTAAAATTAAGGTATAAAAGCGATGCGTGTGGGGCGCTCACCTTATTGAAAAGTTTGTTGTTGACAATGAAACGTTGGGAAATCGATGATTTAAGTGTTTATGTGAAAAAAATCATGAAAACTAACCCACTGGAGCTTCGTTAGTTAAATTCTCTCCTGGCGCTCTACACCGGATATGCTGTCTTCAACGTAGTTGCAGAAGAAACACGAATAACGGTAATTTACCCGTCATCTTCTTGTAAAGTATGGAAACGCATTTTTATTAATAATACATAAATGAATTGTTGATATGAAAGTTATAACGGTGATCAATAAGGGAAGATTTTGATTACAATTTAAGAAAGGGAATAAATTAATCGTATAATATATTATTTTAGTGCATATTTAAGACAGAAAATGCATAATTTATATTATATGATTATTTTATTTGAGGGGGGTGGGGGGTGGGGTGTTAGTAGACAACATTTAATTATTTTCAGGATAACAATGCCAGCTTGTAGCTGTAAACAACATACTAACTTTTCAAAAGATGAGACTTTTAAAATATACAGACTTTCCAGCAAGAAATTCAAAACTTCTGTTGTTGAAGGTCTCATTGAAAATGGTCATCTGTGCAAAAGGTCAGTATACTTATGTACAGCATGTGCTGCATACAGCGAGAAAAACTTAATTTCCAATGGAAAAGACATTGAAAACGAACTTGTTGAGCAAATAGTTAATTTAATTAAAACAAACAACATATCTGATGAGAATGTGAGTAAAATTGTGGAAGCCATTGGCACTAGAGAAAGCAGAGAGATGAAAGACGATTTTAATGAAAATATATTCAGCCAATACAAAAATGTTGATTTTTTAACATCTGCCGCTATTGATACGTGGATTTCTGAAAGAAACAATGTCGTATCTTCATTTTTATTGTCTTTGTGTGGGAAAAAGATGTGTGATTTATCATCTACAGAAAAAACTAAGATTGTGTTTGCTATTGAACATTTGTACTGCCTTGTTTCTTCGAACATAATCATGCCATTTTCATTTAGTTTGAATCTCTTAACATATTACATGTCAAATAGCAAAACAGTATGTAATATGTACTCCAGTGCTCATCCCGCCGGAAGTTACACGTCTGTTCTGAAATGGATAGAAGAACATGCAACCACTCCAATAACCATTCCATTTCAGCATGACGTGATAACATATTTCGACAACAACCAAGTTTTAGCGAGGAACTGGAGGGTGCGCTATGATGCCAAAGCTATTTTGAGCTATGTCACTACTGTTGTCCACTTCTTTCCTAATCCCACGACAGATTTACAACTTGTCAATAATTTCTCTCCCAGACACTGGTTTTATAACATTCAAATTTCTGATAAATACAGTGCTATTGTAGAATTCATCAATTTCTATGAAAATTTATTTAGATCACTTCGAGAACATTTCATCGAAAACAGGATAAATGTTCTATTACAACAGCAACATCCAGGGCTAACTTCTACAGAGGACATCGTTTCCGATCTTTTAAAAAACAAGAAGAAGAAATTTTCTGATAATTCCAGATCCCAGGTTGATGTTTATTCCTTTATATCAAATTCCCATACTACTTCTCCTACAATTCAAATGGGAAATCCAATATCAGTTAATCCTTGTTCATTTAAATCTGTTCAAGTTGTTTTAGAAAATTTGAAGTGTACTGCAGGAATTCCAGATCATAGAAAATGGAGTATAGTAGGTTGTGATGGGCTTCCTTTCCTTCTGTCTCATCGCATCATAAAAGACAACCCCCATCTTCAAGATATACTCCTCCAACCTGGACTGGGACATGTTGAAATTAATATGTCCAAAGGTACTTTATTGTTGGTGCAATAAAATTGAACGATTTATATATATATATATATATATATATATATATATATATATATATATATATATATATATATATATATATATATATATATATATATATATATATATATATATATATATATTACAGCTGTTATAAAGCTTTTATGGCAAGTCATAGGGGTAGATTTGGCCAAACTATTAGGCTACAGATCGCCAAAGGCACTCCAATCCTGCTTAGATGCCAATGATCACCACAAAGCCATGCAGTTCATTGAAATTCTTCTTTTTGGAACAGGTCTGTAAACATAAATGTAAATAATTTTTTATTTTTTCTCAAATACATCTATACATTTAGACATTTCTTATTCATAGGAGATGAATTGTTGTACCCCTACGTGTATCATTGCTCCGAAAGGGAAATGGAACCTTCTGGGAAAGGGTTTTTCGCCTGGTGTAAGGAAGTAAAGGATCCCAACTACATGTAAAAAAATTATTTGATAAATTACAATTTAACAAATCCTGTATATATATATATATATATATACAGGAAAATATTGGATTTCATAAAAAAATATAATATTGGATTTCATAATAATGCATAGTTTACGTACTTGTAATGCAGGTTCTTGCTGGAGTCCATATTTACGTATGCACTAGCAGTGTACTTGTTTAGAGCAGGGATACGACGTAATAACAGTAACGTCATTATGGCCTCCAGACTGAAGTTTTCTCCCCTTTACTTTGGTGTGTCCAAAACCAACTATCAACAGATTGAATTGTTAGACATCATTATGAGAGTATGTGCACCAACTGAAGTCCTTAAATTCATCCAGGAGCACGAGTCCTTCACTCGTAAGAATTGCATGGTCTTAACTCAACTGCACAAAAATGCCAAATGACGCACTTAATATAAACAATAACTCTATCTACCTTGTAACAGGAGATTTCATTAGTTAGAAGGAGGTTGTAAATTTTCGTACACATGACTTGATTGGATAAAAAACGTGACGTCACAATGCATAATTTTTCTGTGCAAATAACATGACGTCAAGAAGGAGAAAATATTATGGACAGTTTGAAACAGCATATTGTTTGAACTAGGGTTTACAAAAATTAAATTATTGATTGAAACTCCATATTTAATGATAAACATGCATGTTAATTAATAGTATTGTTATATGTATACAGTTAACAATGGTTATCTGAATTATCTCTTTAATTTCTTTATCTCAGATACCATGGATACGTAAAACTTACCTAAAATTAACAACCATTTGATCTCTTTAAGTTTCTTATCTTGAATCATAGGATATATAGAATTTTTCTCTGTATCATTGGGTTTCAAAGAACGATGTTTAACTGTACATAAAATAAATATTTAGAATCTGGAAATACCAGCAAAGGAGAGGGCTGTGATTTTATATTGGAGGCCAAAAATAGACAGGCTAAAAGTTGGCTTCCCAGCGGTGCGCCAAAAGAGAAACACTGGATGCAATGTTGCAGAAATCTGGATACATTAGAAGATGCAAGTATTTTACAAACATTTTGTGAAATAAAAATGAATAAAATAAAAAGAAATGATATCAAACATAGTAGGAAGATAATTTTATTACAGACATAACATAGTTGTTTATCTGTGGATGGGACACCTAAACTTTGTTTTCTTTACAATGGTATTAGAAGAAAAATAAAAGCCCATGCATTCATCATGGACCCAATACCCACAACGGGCACGGTCACACCCAACCCAATGTCCACGTTCCTGTGTTGTCAAACAGACATTGCAAGTTTCAGGAACTTTTGTCGTTATTGTTTCAGTCTGAGTGCATTTGGTCTTGCATACAACTATCCTTCTCTTCTTTGAAGTCTGATATCCATCTGATCTCTTTTCCTTTTCTCCTGATTTAGAGTTAGTTATAGGGGGGAGAAAAGTAGGTTGAGGAGATGGAAACGAAGGAGAGGGAGAGGCAAGAGAAGGTTGTGGGGAGAGTGCATTTAAAGATAGTATAGGAGGTATTGACGAGGTAGAACAGTGTGGGGTTGAGATAAGTTCAGCAGAGGTAGAAGATGAGCAATTCGTAGTAATAGAAGAGGAAGAGGATATCGAAGTTGTTATAACAGAGGGCGGTGCGCTAGGAACGTTAGAGGGGGGAGATTTTATGATTCGCTGCATGTGCTGAAATGTATAATCAATGCGTGTTTTAAAATTAAAAAAAAGTAATAAAAAAATTTCAATCCAACCACTTCTTTAAATAAATAAATAACTTATTGAATGAGATTAATATACTAACATCTTCAAAATAAGGTGTGGCATACGTGGACATTTTTCCAGATGCTGATTTCACAATAATTAATATTTCACTTTTACTTGTAAGATGGAGTTCTTTAGCCTGTTGAATAATTATATATATATATATATATATATATATATATATATATATATATATATATATATATATATATATATATATATATATATATATATATATTGTGTTGTAGATAAAAAAGAACATGAAATCCCAATTGAACATAAGGGACTCCAGTGATGATACAATTTTCCACACCAATCTTGAAAATGAAATATTTCAGTGGCGTTCAGAACTAAGAGCAGCAGAATACCTCTCCAATCCCTTCTCCTCCACCGATCATACTTCTCTATGCAACAAATCACTAGATAAAGAACTCGTAAATTTTTCCCAGAAATGTAAAAACAATAGACAACATTATATTAAAGAAGTTTCTAAAAATAATTCAGTCAAACTCTCACTTTCTCTAGAACCAATTTTTTTTACAAGTTTGGAACGCACACACTTTCATTCTATCGAAAGTAGAACAAAACCAGAAATAGCAGCCAAGATTGAGGAACAGATTGAGAAGCTACTTGATTTGGATTTTGAAGCTGGTATGCATATTTAAAATTTTCAACATCTTTAAAATAATCATACGTATCGGCATGTTTTTCTGCATTTTTTTTTTTTTTTGGGGGTTAAAAAAGGAGAAGACAGAAAAGTACAATGGAAAAGAGACATAAAGAATGGTGGCAAAAAAATGTATATTAATTTCTACAAAGAATTATTAGAAGTTGTAGAAAGTTCGCAAGATGTGATGAAGGACGAAGGTACGTTATATATTCATACCTTTTTCAAGATTGTGGTTTTTCTCTTGTACACGGAGTCGTGTCGCTTTTTTGCATCCTCTATGTATGTACTGGGCGTAGGTCCAGATCTTGACAAGCCCCTCTTCCTTTGACCTTTGTTATTTTTCCCGGGATTTACTTTACTATTCTGCATGATATTATAACCGCATATATTATATTTTTTAATTTATTTTTAATAAAATAAAATTAAAAATACGAAAAAGGGGGGGGGGTTATTGTAAAATTATCATTTTTTTTTCAGAAACACCTGGAATATGAATAATTATTTTATTTTCTTACTTCAATATAATAAATATTCAATCCCTTGTCTTCTTTAATAGACAAAGTAATTGAAAAAAATAATGGGTTACAAAGACATTAATTTTAATACTACGGTGCTTCCATAGAATCTGACCCGGAAGATGAAGATCTGCCTGATTCAGTACCAACGCTTTAGTATTGATCGTGCATTTCCTGTGTATGGCGACTAGGGCTTCCAAGTCACATGTACTTCAAATTGTGAGTGTTGTCATGGATTTTAAAGCTATAATTTGGTACTTTTGTACACAGTTTCGTAAGCTTTTGCACAAAATATGCATTGTTAAATGTCCAAAATTTTGATGAAGGCAATGATGAACCTTCTAACTCTCGGTGATTAATAATATGTTACGTGATAGAGAAAAGAAATATATACTTACCATTATGCGATTAATTTCTTTTTTTACACTTCTTTATTTTTTTTATACTTCGTTCAATACACTTGAAAATTTCAATAAGATGAGCGCCCCACACGCATCGCTTTTATACCTTAATTTTAGTGTGTGAGTAATTGTTATGCACGGATGAACTTGTTGATAAGTACTCATAATGCGACTCTCTCGTGTTTATTTTTAATAATTTTATTTTAATATTTCACATTCCAAATAGCTTAATAAAGCTATTCTCAATAGCTTTATCAAGCTATATAGCTAGATAAAGCTATATAGCTTAATCAAGAGATTGTGCTGGACCTGATTAAAACGAGCCATCAACTTCTCAACAGAGAATAAATAATGAAGTGAACACTGCGCTCGCCCCAACGGTCGCACCGTCAACATATTAAAAAATGAATAAATACACATCGAGCTCAATTAATGAAACAATCGATAGAGTGGAAAAACAAACACACTTACACAGCACACATTCGCATTCACATTGTCCTTCGTTTCAGCAATTTAAACCGGATATAGCTTTTCTGTATTAAACAAAAACAAATTTAGTTAGGCTTATCAGTTCCGGAATTCACGAAATTCCTTTGAATAATATTTCTCTTATTATAAAAATATAGCAAACACAATATTAAAATGTATTTTTGCATTTAATTGAATGAAGATGGGTAGTTGAATAATTTCAGTTCACCCACCATAAATATGTAAGTAATATTTTCTTATTGCTTATATACTGGAGGGCATCCCAGACGAGCTCAGCACACTACCTAGCAGCCCTTTTCACAAAATATCTCTTATTATAAAAATATAGCAAACACAATATTAAAATGTATTTTTGCATTTAATTGAATGAAGATGGGTAGTTGAATAATTTCAGTTCACCCACCATAAATATGTAAGTAATATTTTCTTATTGCTTATATACTGGAGGGCATTCCAGACGAGCTCAGCACACTACCTAGCAGCCCTTTTCACAAAATATCTTACGACTAAGATTAAAATTTGCCAACCTGTAAATTCTTTGTTCAGTAAAGAAATATTGTGGCCCACTATATAGCTTAGATACTTTTTGGAAATTTGGAAAAAATTTGTTTTAGTCGTATAAGATATTTTGTGAAAAGATCCACAGATTTACACTTTTACTTTGTTAAAGGTTACCTGCATGTACGGTAAACAGACATTTTTCAAACATAATGTTTTAAGATGTTTATACATGTAGGAAGGCCATGTATTGTAACCAGGGACCTATATACTATATAGGTCCCTGATTGTAACCCCCAACCCCCCGCACGCACGCACACATACACACACAAACTTTTTGTTGCAGTATGGTGAAATCCTCCCTTGTTAATATATTATTTTAAAAATTGTCGAAAAAGTTGGACATCCCCCTCCCGAAATAGGATTTTGGATCTTTTTTTTCTTTCATTATCTATGTGATTGACAAAGATTTTTTTTTTCAAGCAAGATGTCAACATGGTCAATTGTTTTTCTTACCCCCTTTCAAAATCGATGCTACGTGTCTGTAAAACCAACGATAGGGAGAGGGTGGTTAAACTTTTCTCATTCATGGTAATTGTTTATTGGGGGGGGGGGGGGGGGGGGGGGGGAGGGTCTCGACAGTACATGCAGACCCCTACTAGTATAATCTTGTCAAGCAAAAAATAAAGAAATCACCAGACGTAATTTAGGGGGGTTCAACTATAAATTCGCTCTTGGCGTACTAGAATATTATATTCCGGCAAAATTATTTATGAGTTAGCTTTGTTTTCCAAAGTAAAGTATATATACCAGAAAAGTAATTTATGGGCACCCCCGTCCGGTTCCTACGGGCCAAGCTGACATGTATAACCTTGAATATCAATGACTAGCTGAGCCATCCTGAGATACTTTTTCCCCATGCAGTTTCGAGCTTGGCAAAATGTGTAGCCAGCAAAACTTAAAGTCATATATGACGTATTTTTGATAAGTTCAGACTAACTAAAATTAAAAAGATCTTTTTTTTTATTACTATGTATAAAGATGGGATCGGACTTTCCTGTAAATTACACAATTTAAATTAATTGCGTTTCATAGATATTAGAAATTTAAAGATATACACGCTACAACTTGCGTCAGTTAAAAATAAAGTTGGAAATTTATTTATTTTGTTTACCAAATAAAGTTACGAAAATATTGTAAATTACACAATTGGAAATGAACGCATTATAAAGATCTCAAATTATAATTATTCATTATCCTACTAGGAAAGTAATGCCCTCTATTTAAATTCATGCATCATGTGACACCGTCGCTACAACAAAAATGGCGTCAAGAAAACGAGGTACGCCGTTTGGTATACAAAATAACTTTTTACATGGATGGCATACGTTTTATGCTTAGAGATACTTATCTTTGAAAACAACCAGTGTTATCCATCTACTCTGTAATGACAGATATTAACTTTTATTCAAAATCGTAGTCAAAATGCAACGTACCTCGTCTATGATTTCCCGCGGACATGCGCGTCTATACTGTTTACGCACTTCCTTCATCAATATTCATGAATAGGCTGAATTCTTAATTGCAGATCTTGCTTAATTGTTTTGTAATTATAACGACTTATTTAGTAAAACTTTGTGGAAAGTAATTATTTTTTATTACACATCATGTTTCTCAAATCATTTAATCATTTTGTTTAATATAATAAATCGCGTTTATATAGCGTGTATATCTTTAAAACAATAACCGATTTATTTACCGACTCCGCATTTAAATATGAGACACAGTTTAAAGTCAATTTAACAATAGAAACTTGGGGTTATTTAAGTTCAAAATCGGTGAAAATTTTAATTTGAACACAAATAACAAATATCATGTTTGCCTACACTTAATCTAGTATTTATATTTTTTAGCTCAGATACGCCATAAAATTATAGCTTTAAAGGTTGTCTTTTTGATTATAATATGTCTCCCTATAAATATTAGCCCCCCTTTTTCCGACCGCAGTATGAAACAAGAATCAGATGGATCAATTGGGCTTTTTCGAAGAAAATTAATGATTGAAAGAAACTGACATCAGGCGCGGATCCAGGAATTGAAGTTAGAGGGGGCGCCACAAGTAGACAGGGGGGAGGGGGGCAGTGGGTCCAGGGCGAAGCCCTTGTGGGGTCCAGGGGGCGAAGCACCCAGAAGGTCCTGGATTCTAGAGGTTTTGTAGGGTAAAAATGAGGTCTCCCGAGTAGACATTTTTACATTTCTCGACGAAAGTATGATTTACGCCAACTTTGACAATTTTAGGGGGGCGCCGGGTGCGCCCCCCCCCCTTAAATCCGCCGCTGGACATTGATATTATTACCAACTACAATTTTCAATGTAATTAGTGATTTTAATGGCAGAAAATGTGTTCCTATAATCGCGCTGATTAACAAAAATTTGAAAATGATACAACAACAACACCCCCCCCCCCCCAAGTTTTCCCAGAGATGCACAGTTTTGTTTAGGTTTAATCAGTAAACTTATGGACAACAGCAAAAATAATTTTACAGATTAATAACACTATTTTTGCTGCTGTGCATAAGTTTATTGATGAATCCTAAAGATTTTAATTTGCTATGTTATCTAACAAAATTCCACTTGTATTTCTTGTGAAATTAAGTTTTATCAGTTATTTTGCATGACATATTATTATATTTAAGTAGAGGAACCATTAAGTTGTAAGAACATTTTTTCCAATCCTTTTGATTTATTCAATAAAATATGTTCAAAAACATCCAAACAAATGTGTGTGAAGTGGGAATTATAAGAGATAGCAGGGACGTATATACTTAATATCCTGGAGTTAGGGAGGTTTTTTTTTAAGAATGAGAATCCAATATTTCTGGCATGACAGTGTGCTGTGTGGATTCTGTGAAAACAGTTATAAAAAATTTGATCGGGATCGGGGAACATATCGCACCTGTTCTATTTCCGGAAATATCCGAGTATATCCGATCAACTTCGGAACTTTAATTGCCCAGGCGCATGCGGTAAATAGGTTGACAAGAGCAGAAGACAATACACAATATTTCTGTTTGTTTACAGATTATAACGTGGAAAGTACATGTCCACAAGTGGTTACAACATTTTCACAGATTGTCTGAAAATATGAAGAGGAGAAATGCCGATTGTAGTAAAATACGACGCCTTCCAAAGCGGAGCAAAATAACGGAAGGTTTCTACGGAAGGTATAATTTCTCCATTTTCAATATGGCAGCAATACTTATTATCATACTGAAATAATGAAATATGTTTCTTGCCGAATGGCTCATTTGTTCATTTGGCTGTAAGGATATTTGGTTAAAGAGAATTTTGTTTGAAAGCATTATCGACTGAAACACGTAGATTGACCGCGACGATGATTCTAGATGAACAGTGATAAAGAACAAGTGAACCACAGGCTATTTTTAGATGTCTGGGAACATGTATGTCTGTGTGCTGAAGTCGGTGGTTTTTCTCAGTCTATCAGAAACCGTAAACTAGGTATTTGAGGAAATACTATGATCATGAATTAAATTGAAATGATATGATTTCCTGGTTTGGGTAATGGCTTTCAGCTAATTTTGTTCACTTCAATTTCAAGGTAATTCTCTTATGTCCATTTAGTGCTAAGTATTTTAAATGTTTTTTATCACTCAATTAATCCAAATTTTGCTGCACTTTTTGCCAGTATGTATGAGAAAATATGAAGCATTTGTACATGGCAATGAAAAATGCATTTTTAGTGTTTTTAGTGTAGTGAGATTTCATGACCAATACTAGGTGTTAGCAGCTTAGCATTTTAACTCACGTATCGTTCCACAGGACCAGTAACCATGTAAAGTTACTGGTCTTCTACCAGATTTGTCTGTCCTTCTGGTAACAAGATAAAATGTTATTCATCAGATGGTTATCAGCAAATGCTGATTAACCTTTTTCATTTGCTTACTCTCTGCCACAGGCACCTGAAGCATGGACAAATCTTCATAGCCCCCACCCCACATTTTGAAAATATATGATCTCTTCAATTCCGTGTAATCGGTTTGTACTTTTTTAAAACTTATAGAATTTGGCCATGTATCCAGTGTAATAAAAATTTTTTTACTATACCGGATATGGCAAAATTCTAAACCACAAAGTAAAAACCAATTGGGCCATCATTAAAAATATCTTTGTTTCCCCTAACCCGACCCTAAAATTTCAAGTTGAGTAGGTAGGTAGGTAAATTATTATTTCTTTTTCTGACAGCAGTTTTGAAAATACATTATGAAAATTGAATAATATCTCTATAAATAAGAAAGAACAAAAGAAACCGATTTTTGATCGAATATCAAACAAATGAAATTTAAAAGCAACATGTATGGTAAATTAATTCACATATATTATTCATTTGAACTTGTGAAATATCTCGGGCCAGCGTAAATTTATTGAAATTGATTTTTTACAAAAAGACAAGATTCGCAAATAATCAACCATCGGCCCTCCGAGTATATTTTTTTCAAAACCTACCGTCATCTTCGAGTGCTTACACAGATAAAATGTCAAGGGCCTTGCGTGGCGAAGTAATTCTAGTGTTTCATTTTGGAGTCACGACGTAATTCAGAAGCTTATTCTAATTAAGTCACAGGTCCCAACGTGGGGCGTGGAAACTGGTCAGTTGAATGAGACCGTAAAAAACGTGGGGCCATGTAGTGTCACAGTATACATGTAGATGTTGGCATGAAAAAGATCCCTTACTGATGCTTTATGATCAATGGCCATAAAGTGCCGAGAAAAAGTCTAAATTAGGAGCCCTCTACCAGGCAGATGTTCAAATGTTGTCGACCCAGCAATTTTTAAAGGTACATTAAAGCAAAGAAACAACCTATTTTCAAGGGCCCAACTAAAGAAAAGAAAAATACACTGGACGTCTCAAGAAGCCGTACCATAAGCCAACTTTAAAGATTTCAACAATATTTGAAAAGAGTATACCTGTATAAACAATATTTAATTCAACCAAACCATATCTAAAATGATTAAAGTTTCATTTATCTAATGTTTTAGTCACGAAGTTTACCCCATAAATAAAAGGAATGAAGAAATGACATCCGAACTATATTTATCAAGATGAAATAATTATACTAAGATATATTTACAACTCCTATGGTCCTATATAGTAAAAATAGAATCATACATGAACTGTTTTTTTAGATCGAAATGAATGAAATGCAGTGGAATTTATTGATATGCATACACAAAGTGGGCCCGTCATCTGCTCATGAGCAAGGACCAACCTAGGGGGCGACTGAGGCGAAATAGTCGCTTTTGAGCCCCAAACTTCGCCGTAAATTATCACGAAAGAGAAGTTTAAGTCGCCTTAATATTTGCACCTCCTTTATTGAAAATCATAAAAAATCTATTAAGAAACGTGGTAGTATCATCACTATTTTATAAATCTGGTGTTATTACTGCTGAAATAAGTGAAACAGCAGGGCACTTACACCTGTTTTGCTACTAATGACCAATGCATCGAATACTCTGTCGGAACTCCTCTAGATTTTACGTTCCGTGAATGAAAAAGTCCATTGTTACAAGTTACACACAACAAGACGCAAAACAGCTGGACAGCTATCGATGTCATGCCAAAGATGTTGAAGATGATTTTAGATCTTTTTATTGTCAAATAATTAATACATGCTGTGAATACCACAGGAGTTCGCATACCTATCAATTTAACCGAAATTTTCAGTAAATAAAAAAAAATACGTAATACCTATAATAATAACACAAGGAGTGCAACCCATTCCAGGTCACCGGGGAACCCCTCTCTTAATATCGAGGCTGCTGCGCAATTAATTTTCAATCGAAAATTATAAAACACAAACCATTCTTTTCGGAAGGAACCATTCTTTATGTCTGTTAATGCATATGATTTGAAATGCCTGTTTAACATCAGTAGCAGTGACATTTCTCAACGACTTCGCCCAAACATTGGTTGTCCGCGACGCCATTACGTGACGTTACAATGGGTGCGTTGATTTACCCAAAAAGAAAAAAAATGCCAGAGATGAATAATAATATGGAAATTTAGATAATTTAAGGTCATGTACGATATGAATGTTCTACAAACAAATTCAACAGTTCTCCGTTTTACATACAGGTGTAAATAATGTGAAGAATACAACGTACAAAATGATACATATAAGAAATCAAAATGAATTACATGTACTTCCAGTAGACAAATGATTTGAACGTAACAGGGAAATGTTTTGAGCAGTGTCTTTCTCTTAAAAGATAATTATTATTTCCTTTTGACATTTGAAACATCATCTCAAAAAATGCTTTGGGCACTTTTTGATTTTTCTTGCATGAAGTGTGCGAGGATCTGTATGTGTAAAATGAATTATTTAATAATGTAACACTGCATGCATGTGAACAAAATTGTGAGTGATATAGTTCAATAAAAAAAATCATATATCCCCCCAATAAATAAAAGTAAAATGGAAGCGCACGTCCAGCGATTGAACAACCCTTGAATATCCCCCCCCCCCCCCCCCCGACAACTTGTACGTTAACATAGTAAATACATACCAATATATAGATAGGCCTACTTATAAAATGGCCTCTTTTTTCTTGTTAAAACAACAGACAAATATTGATCAGAAAAGCTTACTTGAGCCTTCTGCTCAGGTGAGTATGAGCACAAATTACAAGTGTTACGATTTTTTTTTTTTAAATAAGTATTTAATAGGTTTTTTATGTACTGAAAATTTCGTTACAATTGATGGGTACGCCATCTTCCGTGATAGTACTGATTAAATTCTCAAAGTATACGATTGTTGAATAATCTTTTCGTTCTTCCTTTTTTTACTTGTCAAAGATTTCCTCGCCAAAATTGAAGACACATTAACTTGGATTGCACCCCCCCCCTCTACTTCCTGCTTTCAAGTTTTTTTAACACCTCAAACGTAACCTAGTATTAATATATGCTTAATTTTTAACATACTACATTGAATAAATTTAATAAGGGTTGGAAAACATATACCCGTTCAATGTCTAAAAGGTAAAGACAACAAGGAGTACTTTAGTATACTTAAGTTAATAATCAATTATAAAGATTCACGGGCATTTTTTTTAGTATTTTAGAATAAAAATGAAGATGACGTCAGCCCCCCAAATTATTCACATATTTTTCCATCAATACCTAAAAATTTATATTTATTAACCATAAGTTGTGAATTGACCCCCCTTATCTTTTAAATACCACTGCTAAGTTATTATGTAAAATGTTTCATATATTTTATATATATTTCACAATAGACAAAAAAGTACTCGTATTACAAGTTAAAAGTTTTATCTCTGGTATCATATTGTATATGATTGTTCATTTCAGGCATTATATGTTCCTTTTGGGTAAAGCGACGCGCCCGTATTACGTCACGTAATGGCGTCGCGGACAACCAATGTTTGGGCGAAGTCGTTGAGAAATGTCACTGCTACTGATGTTAAACAGGCATTTCAAATCATATGCATTAACAGACATAAAGAATGGTTCCTTCCGAAAAGAATGGTTTGTGTTTTATAATTTTCGATTGAAAATTGATTGCGCGGCAGCCTCGATATTAAGAGAGAGGTTCCCCGGTGACCTGGAATGCGTTGCACTCCTTGTGTTATTATTATAGGTATTACGTATTTTTTTTTATTTACTGAAAATTTCGGTTAAATTGATAGGTACGCGAACTCCTGTGGTGAATACAGACATATTTTTACTGTTAAATTGTGGAGTTATCAACTGTCTAAGAAATTACACATGTCTGATAAACATAACTAGTTCAAACAGCATGCAGTAGTTGCACCAAAACGTTTTTTTTAGAGAAAGAATTTAATATTGAAAACAAATTTTGAAGAGAATATAAAAAAATTATGACTATGCCAAGAGCCTGAAAATCTAACCCTGAGAGGAGAGAAAAACGTTTGAATCATTTAAAAGTTAATTGTGCATACTATTATGCAAGAAATGAAAAAAAGTTTGATAAACAAGTTTATCAATTAGAAACTTTTACATTGTTATTGTTTTATATGTTTGCTAGATATTTATAAAAAGTTTGATAAACAAGTTTATCAATTAGAAACTTTTACATTGTTATTGTTTTATATATTTTGCTAGATATTTAGATACCTTTTAATAGGAAAAATATAATTTTTTTTTTAAAGAATATTTTTAATTATTTTTACTAGGATCTTTAAATAATACAGAAAAAAATTATTGAAATGTATTTAAGTAATAAACAATGAAATTATTTTATTTTTAAAAAGTTTAATAATGATCATAGTGTTTCCCACGCGCGCCAAGAAGTCTCCCTAGAATTCAAAACTTCTCCCTACATTTCTCTGAGGGAGAAGTGAAGTCTCCCTAAAGTTTGGGTCTAGGTTGGTCCCAGCATGAGGCAGGCTTTGTCATGCTTACTACGTACGTTAATTTTAGAAGACACATTTGTAAATACCATCTTAACACCCCTTAGTCATGGTATATTTAATTCACGAAATGTTTCAAGAGTGTAGGATTCTAATAAGTTAAAGATGTATTAGGATTGATACATCGCTGTTTTTTTATAACACTTAATAACCCTCTGTGGCCACATGTTGTGGGCGCCAAATGAGAGTAAAACAAAGCCGCCGTTCTGATAAAAAAACGAATTTTGATGAAATTTTATTTTATAAAGATAATAAACAATAAAAATAAATATTTGAATAATCTTATTAAAAAAACTTTTCAGTTAGCACGATTTAAGTGGGTCGGTCACGTTAGGGGAAACAAACCTAATTTTTATTTTGGCCTTGCACAAAATGGCAGTTAGATGGAATTGACAGGGAAATCACAAGTTTTTGAGAAAATATAGACTCATTATAATTTGGTAATTGGGGGAGAGGTGGTGGGGGATTGGTTGGTTTATGAAGTCATTTTGTCAGGAGCTTGTGCTTTCTGCTTGTCGTTTGTATTAAAATTTCCTTTTTTGTTGCAAACTACAATAGCTTTTCATGTTTCTGAATTGATTAGAAATACACAACTATTTATATCGAAAGTCCTGGTAATGATACATTTATCATGTTTATCGTATACTAGAACATGAAAAAAATATAATGTGGAATACATGTACAGGCCTTTCAAATTCTGCCTGTACCCAGTACTTTTACCCAGCTTAAATTATGATTGCATGTACCGGCCAAAATATTTGATGGAGAAAAATTTGAAAATACATTCAATTAAAACTGCTTCCACAAGGTACCTCCTATTTTTGTAAAAGTACTGCCTGTTTCTAATCTTTTTGAAAGTCCTGCATGTATATAGTCTGCATCCCCTCCTTCTCTGAATATTTTTTCACTGAAAAGATAGTGTGCACCATAAAAGTGAATTTACAGTATAATAGTATTTGTATTTGTTTTACATATTATATTAAATATATGTCCCAGTAGAATAATGAAAATTATTGGTTTGACAGTTGTGCAGATAGACACTTTCAAACATTTCATCAGTGAAGATCTTGTAGACTGAACTTTTGTTAATTTTTTACTGGCACAATTAACAGAGTAACTTTAATTTAAATTTGTCAATCCTCCCATACATTTGTTGGCCTAGGACTGACGGACAAGTGTTAAGGTCGAACACTGCCTATACATAAGGTATTTTAAAGTATTAACTACAGTAATGCCAAGTAGCTCTGACATTCAACAATTCCAAATGCTGATTCCAAATTCGACAATTCAAAATGCTGATTCCAGTTCTGGAATTAGCTAGTCCTGGATGTCAGGCTTGAGGAATTTTGAACCCCTGAATTGTGGTGTAATTTTGTTTGTGTTTAAATTTTATGTTATAATTCCTGTTTGAGCAAAATGCACTTGACTTTCTAAGTGTGCTATATTTACTTTATATCTTCTTCCTTAACAAGCACTGTATGTATCTGAAGCCTTAATTTGACATGTTTGAGAAGGGAACACATTTTCGTAGTACATGTTTTGAGAAAATATTTTAAGTAATAATATCTAATAGATAAATAAAATTTTCAGTACTCACAAATAAAATTTGTGAATACTGGAAAACATAGATTATAAAGATAGCTTAAAACTTTCTGTTAGTTGAAATATTGGCCACATCAAAACATTAATCTTCCTGGCTTACAGGCATTTGTAGTGATTTCAAAGAAATCAGTCATTGATATGCAATAGAATAAAAGGTCAAATAAGTGTAAAATAATCCATATGTATTATGTAGTAAGTTAGTATATGAAAAAGCTTCACTTGCACTTTGAATCCCCCCCCCCCCCCCCCCCATTGACATGTATCCAGTAATTATATTACAGCTCGCTGTAAGATTGAATTAACCTTAGATTTCTGTAGATAAACTACATTAGAAAAGAGAGAAAATATTAGAGGAGTAAGTCAATAAGTTTTGAATAAAGCTTCAAATTTAGCAGTTTTTGAGCTTCCTCTTCTTCTTCTTCAAAAAAAAATCATTACCAGCCAATAAAAAATTTAGAATCCAAGATTCAATGTAATTTGACAGCTCTGTAATTTGACAAGATCTGGAGATGTTCATGCAAGCTTGTTGAGAATACAACTGATAAAAGGTATATAATGCATCTATATGCTGAAATTAAACTCACAGAAAGCAAAAATGCTAGTTTTAGTGGAAACAACTGTTATGAAATCTGTATAATTTGGACAAGTAATGTTTGTTGACAATTTGCTGTATGGACAAGTAGATAATTATTTTAGTTTTAGTTGAGCCCTCCATTGTAGCAGTGCTTTTGTCTTGATTATAGAACACTGCCACTAGTTTGCACTATTTTTTTCTCTCTATTTTTGGATAGTTTTCTTGCAAACAGGATATATGCATTCTTTGATTAGTTTTTCTTCCTCATTCAAAATTATGTCTTCCACTGAATTTTGGTAATTGCAGACCACTAAGTTTTTCAGAGCCCAAGTAGTCGTGTATGATTTTGTTTTGACAGTCACACTATAATTGTGCTTTATCAATTGTGATGTTTTTTCCCAGCACATTTCTGTACCTGAAGTTTCTTATGGTGTGGGCCCTTGTTCTAATGGCAGATTTCATTCTGGAGTTCCGGTTTGAGTACTTGTGGCCATTCTGGTTGCTGGTTCGAAGTGTTTATGACTCCTTTAAATATCAAGGCCTGGTAAGTGTTGAAATAAAATGTTGATAACCAAACATCTATGTGATAATAACTAAACATCTATATGATAGATGTGTACATATTTTTGTAAGCTGTTTTTTTATTTATTGCTTTTGGTTTAGAAAATTGAAGTTCTTTTGAGTCTTGATAACCACAAAGTTAAAATGTATGCATTAAAAATATGAAGCCAAAGTCGTTAATTAGGACTAGAAATGGGTACTTAAAATAACCTTCTGAATTTCCTTATACAAAGAACAAGGAACTTTTTAAGCATGGAATAAATTGATAACAACTGTGAGAACTCATCATTATTAGTACTCAAACAAATGCCATTCTGGAAGATAGATTTCTATTTATGTAATGAAGATAATTTATTGACAAAATGTCCTAATGAATTTCTCTGTTACTTAACAGGCTTTCTCAGTTTTCTTTGTTTGCATTGCTGTCACATCAGATGTAGTGTGCTACCTGTTTATCCCCGTACAATGGCTTTTCTTTGCTGCCAGTACTTATGTATGGGTGCAATATGTTTGGCATACAGGTTAGTAGTTCATGTACTGTTGAAGTGTGAAAATAGTGATTTTGTACACCATGGGAAAGCTGTGAAAAGAATAGGTGTAGTTTTATATTGATGATATCTTAGACAGTGGTCACGTTATCTATACTGTTGTCATTCATATGTGATGAAAACACCTTCAAAATTATATTAATCTAGAATTACACTTTTTTCCTCTCTGTGGTTAACTTACAGATGAAAAGATACAATAATTATAATTCTATATACTTTAGGAGGTGTCAAGTAATTTTTTGTAACTGAATGTAGAAAGTAATCAAGTTTCTTTTTTCTTTTTCAGACAGAGGAATATGTCTTCCGACAGTATCATTATGGCTTTTATTTGTTTATATTGAAGCTTCAGTTAGACTCAGAGAACTCAAGAATTTACCATTTAATCTAGATTTATGTCGACCATTTGCAGCTCATTGGTAAGAAAATAAAAAAAATTACATTATGATATTACTAGATTTTTGTATAGATGAGTTAATGTAGCTTGTAAGATACTTGTACATGTATATAAATATTATATACTGGTACTTGTACAAGCAAGTATAAATATGTACATGTATAAACAGACTTTACAGAGTGAAATGCTTGTCATTTTTTTTTTTTCATTTTCCATTCTTTCAAAATCGGATTTGCCATCTGAGAACTCAAATCCCTCACAAAGATATATCTTTTTAAAGTGTTTTTTTTTTTTTCAGCATTGGTTATCCAGTTGTCACATTAGGTTTTGGTTTCAAAAGTTATATATCATATAAAATGAGATTGGTAAGGAACATGTGTAATATTTAATTCAAATTCTAAAAGAGAAAATGCAATACTATCCAAAATTATAGTAAAATTCATTAAATATGTGCAAGTACTTTAAAGATTTACATGTGTGTGATGAAATGTTGTCATAATTTATTACTCTCTTTTTAGCTCACCAGAGCCGAAGGCTCAAGTGAGCTTTTCTGATCAAAATTTGTCCGTTGTCTGTCGTTGTCGGCGGCGGCGGCGTTGTTGTCGTTGTAAACTTTTCACAATTTCATTTTCTTCTCCAGAACTACTGGGCCAATTTCAACCAAACTTGGCACAGAGTATCCTTGGGTGAAGGGGGTTCAAGTTTGTTCAAATGAAGGGCCACGCCTTCTTCCAAGGGGAGATAATCATGAATTCATGAAAAATTAATGGCATCATTTAAAAATCTTCTTCTCAAGAACCACTGTGCTTGAAAATATGAAACTTATATGGAAGCATCCTCAGGTAGTGTAGATTCAAGTTTGTTCAAATCATGACCCCCGGGGGTAGGGTGGGGCCACAATGGGCGATCAAAGTTTTACATAGGAATATATAGGAAAACTCTTTAAAAATCTTCTTCTCAAGAACAGCAAAGCCATGATTGGTCATATTTACATGGAAGCATCCTCAAGTAGTGCAGGTTCAAGTTTGTTCCAATCATGACCCCCAGGGGTAAGGTGGAGCCACAATGGGTGATCAAAGTTTTACATAGGAATATAAATACATAGTAAAAATTTGTGAAAATCTTTTTCTCAAGAACAGCAAAGCCATGATTGGTTTTTTTTTTTATGGGTGCATCCTCAGGAAGTGTAGATTCAAGTTTGTTTAAATCATGACCCCCCAGGGGTAGGATGGGGCCACAATGAGCGATCAAAGTTTTACATAGGAATACATAGGAAAAAGCAAGCCTTTTAAAATCTTCTTCTGAAGAACAGCAAAGCAATAATTAGTCATATTTAAATGCATGCATCCTCAGGTAATGTAGATTCAAATTTTGTTCAAATCATGACCCCCCCACCGGAGAATTGAGGGGCCATAACAGGGGATCATAGTTATATAAAGGAATACAAATGATATATCAATAAAAATTGTCTTCCTAAGAACAGCATAGCCATTATTTGTAATATTAATTCCAAAGCATCCCTTTGAAGTATAGATTCATTGGCAAGTTCAAATTAACCACCCCCCACCCCCCCTCGAACCACTTTTATTTATATCAAAACTTTTCAAGACTCAACTGATTTCTGCTTTTTCTTAGCCAGAGTGCTCAGGTGAGCGATGTGGCCCCTGGGCCTCTTGTTTTTCTTTTTTACTGTTAAATAAAATGGCTGTTGATATTTATAAAACAAATTGTATGGCTTTCAGCGGAAGCAAAAAGAGGTACAAAAAGAAAATGAATTTTACGTCAATTTAATACAGCAAGCACTGCCAACAGAATTACAGAATCAGTATATTGAAAAACAGAAAGGTGACTATTTATGTATATGTATAATTTTAATTTTCATTTTACTCAATGCAAGTATTTTCAACTAAGCCAATAACAGTAAATTAATAAAGTTGAGCGCTAAAGGATATAAGGTTAGAAAATCTTGACTTCATACATGTATGTAGTTAAGCTTATTATGATTCTGCCCAAAGTTAAGTAAAAGCTTCAAATTGTATAAAATAGAAAGTGTGTCAATTTGTAAATTGAGAAATGTAGTGCAAAAAGGAAAGGCAAGGAGGTTCATTAACAAGTGAAGCTGACACTGCAAAGTGTTGATGTACTTCTAATGTTGAAATTTTTTGTGATCATTATCACATTAGCACAAATCCTTAACTTTCACACTGATTATTTAAGAAGATTTTGATCATTGCACTTCCCTTCAGTACTGGCAAAAAAAAAGAATGTTTTTCAGAATTTTAGAAGTTTATCATGTTTCATAAGCAGCTTATTGATTGAAAAAAAAAATCATAATTTAATTGATAAATGTTAGGCAGGAGTAATTGATGTAAGGAAAAATATAAATATGTGGAAGACATTTTAATTATAATTATTGTGTTTTTTAGCTTTACCTTCAAAGTCAGAGGAGGAAGAAATCTCACAAAATGGGGATGTTGGAGGAAAAGTGAACACATCAAATAAAAGTGACCAAAAGTCACCTCCAAAAGACATTAATGAAGATGAAGAGTTAGAATTTATAGAACAGATACCGCCCAAATCTAAGACAGATGTCAATCAGTTCCAAGACGAGACAGCTGATAATATTTTAAATGACCAACATGTCAAGTCCTATAAAGCAAATAGTGTGAATAAAACCTCAAACACCTCAAGTAAACTCAACAGTTCTAAAGACAATAAAAAAGGCAAAAATAATAATACAAAGGATATCAACACTACAGCCAGCTTTAGTAATAACAGAGATGAAGTTATATCTAGGTAATAAAAAAAAAAATGAATTTTTTTTTTAATTGTGTTTCCTGCAAAGCAGAATGACACTTAAAATCACTTTGCCTGATGTTTGTCTGTCTGTCAGTTCCTGTATCATTTGAAAAAAAAAAACAGGGTTTATTAACCTTCTGAGTTCGACATTTGACCAACTTTTTTTTTCAAAGAGGTTCATCCCATATTTTTTGATTTGCAAAAGATAAGGTTTGATTTTTATCTGTAGCTTATAGATTGCTTTTTAATTGATCTCTCATGATGTACTGAGCTTTAAGGCCATGGGACAATGAACTTGACCTTTAACCTACTTTCAAAATCATAAACTTTCCCATACATCTTTTGAACATGACATAAGACCTGCATAAGGGTTCACCTGATGAAGAACTTTGATGAACTTTTAGTGTCCCAAGGTCAAAAGCTGTGGTTAATGGACTTTTTTCCCCAATAATTTGAGAGGTGTTATGGATGGAACATTCATAGTAGCACGTTAAATTAGTCTGATGAAGACCTATGCTATTACATTCACATTTAAATAAGATAAATTGCAGGGTTTTCGCTTGTGCCAGGGGCACTTGCATGGTTTGGACGTATCTGGTTTAGACTTATTAGATTAATCTAGTTTTTCTGGAGAGTTTTATTTGGCTGACAAGTCTAAAATTTAAAGTTGAAGAGATAAAATACCAGCCAATAAGATTTATGTTGATACATGAATGATTAATTTTGTCTAGCAAGGTTCTCTGACAAGCTAATGACAACTTTTATGTGAAACATTTTATATGTGAACTATGAGAAAATGTGTAAATTTTTCAAATGTCAAGTATTTATTGTAAATTGGTAAATAATAAATGAGTACTATATGTTTTTGAAACCATCCTCTTTGCATGTGAAAACTGAATAATAAAATTTTTTTAAAGATAAAAGCCAGGTAGGATTAAAGAAACAGGATTAAATTGCTTTAAGAATTTCGTTGAAATGACCCTCCAAAATAATGCATTGAAAAATTTATTTGTATTGTTTCTTTTACAGATTAGAGAGTGATATTAAAAAATTAAAAGCAGACCTTCAGTCTAGTCGAAACACAGAGCAGGAACTCCGATCTCAAATGAACTCATATATTTCTGGAGACAAATCCTTACGCTCAGATATATATCAACTTCAACAGGATAATGAGAATTTACAGAACAAGTAAGTTATATTTTAAAACAAGAAATAAAACTGCTGATAGACGTCAATACTGAACAACATATTTCACTGATTAAAACTAGTTTTTTATGCCTGATGTGCAGTGAAATAAAATTCAGACTGTATATTTAATTTGATACTTAGATGTGATGACATGTCACAATCTGAATGAGCAGGTTTTGTATGAATAAGGAAGTGTTCATTGACCTATATTATTATGCAGATACATGTATTACAAAGTACATGTAAAGTATGTCTCTGTAACTAATGCAATATTGTTTTTCCAGATTACATAATCTTGTCACAAGTAGGCAGCAAGACAAACAGAATATAGCCAGCTTAGAAAAGAAAATTAACGAAGAAAGGAAAATAAGGGCTGGAATAGAATTACAACTCGGTGCCGAACGGAAAGCCAAGAAAGCAGAAGAAGCGGCAGCAGCACGAGCGGTAGCTCTAGCCACAGCTGCTTCAGCTCAGAGGTAGGGAGAGGATTTAAGCTATTTATAGCACTGGTGAAAAAAAAAATTGACACTAGCCTATTTTGCCTAATAATGGAAAATAATGAAGTAATTACCAGCCCAAGTTGGGTTTGACTAGCCTGTATACTTTCAAACATGAATAAATAACTAAGAACGTCTACATGATAAACTATTTTCCCAGTCTGTAAGCCCTTTGTTATTTTACTAATGTCTGGCCAAAAAAAGAAAACAGAAATGCTAAAGTTTTTTTTCCGTTTTGAATAATGTGTAAGGAAACTGTAAATGCATGTATATACACTGTACATTTATCATTCTTTTTTTTCAGGGCTGAATGCACAGATGTTTGTAAACAAAGACAGAGAAATATAGAAAATGATATCAAACAGCTCAAAAGGGACCTTATGCTTCGAGAGGAACAATATAGACAGTTAGAATATGAGAATCAGGTATGTGTGTATTGTCATGATTAATGTTCTTTATGTTATGATGAGTAGCATCAGAGTATTAATATTTTGTTTGTTTGATTTTACATGTATCTGTGGAATGAAACACTGTGAAATCATTTTAGTGCAGGGGCCAATGTTCCTAGACAGCCAAAATTTAATGTTTTTTGTCATTTCATGTGTAACTTGTATATACTGAAGATTAAATGAACTGATGCCTTGAAAAGTTTCTGTTCATGGAGATGTAAATTTATGGGTAAAAGTGAGTCATGAAATCCATGAACATTGGTCCCCCACAAACAGTGATGATTCCACAATATTTGATCTTGTTTTCAGATCTCAATGTAAGTGAATTTGATTATGCATTTGTGGGGATAAATAAACTATTCGGGTATGAAACAAATAAATGTGAAGGTTTACATTATAGCAGAACACATGTAAATGAACTGAGGTTTACAGGATTATTGACCTACATGATTCTAAATATCTAGATAGTGGCATTGTTTGGATACAAGAGGATTTAGTAATTGCTTACAAACACTTCCTAGCATGATTTGAAGTATTGCGTCTTATATTACATTGTAGAATCTTCGACAGTACAAGGATCAACAGAATGAAACAGAAGTACTCATGTCAGCACTTTCAGCAATGCAGGACAAAAACACTCATTTAGAAAACAGTCTCAGTGCTGAAACTCGCATCAAATTAGACCTGTTCAAAGCATTGGGGGAAGCTAAACGACAGATTGATTTAATGAAAGGTAAGTTTTTTCTGAATTTGAACCCATGTAATAAGTTGTTTCATCCATGCATATTCTTTTGTTGTAGCTCTGAACAATTATATGAATTTTGGTTGTTAATGAAGCATTTGCACTACAAGAAAGGTAGACATGATTTCTTTGGGCTGTCCTGGTTCGCTTGAGACAAATTGTTTGGCAGTAGATTTTTTTTCTTTGAGTAATTCTACCGATTCATTTCCTGTGTTAAATTTAATTATGATTTACAAGCACCTGTTAAAACAGGGTAAAACACTTGAATTGTGGTCTTTTCATATTATGTAAATAGTGAATTTTTGCCTTTTAAACTGCAACCATATACATGTATTAGTAACACTCAATTTTACAATATAACAAACTTCATAAAATCATCATACATGTATTATAATGCAAATGTGGATAATTTTTTTCATATGTAAACATTGTACATTGTTGCAATTTATGAGGAAAAAATCATGTGATAAAACACATTCTTTTTAAGAAAAAAAATGTACTAAAATTTCACCATTTGATATCTTGATGTGGTAAATTCCAATCCAATGATGCATTTGTTTGCTAACAGCTTGAAAGACAGATCCTCTCCATGGGTTTGTCTTTATATACATGTTCAGTATAATTTGTGTAATCCGGATTCCAAGTACTCTGGAATTTTGTCCCTTTTGGTCTTAAATTTTAGTTCCATGCACTTCTTTAACAAACATAGTGTAAATAAAAAATGTGTGTACTCTGGATACTGTCTATTTTGTAATCCATTCTGCTGTATTGATGCTAAGTGCTTATAATTAATGATGATTATTTTAATCTAATCCTGTCACACAATTTTACCTGAGTCACTTCATTTTAAAATCTAAACACATGTTTGTAGATTTCACTCTCTTTACATTTCGTGTTGACTTGGAAGATCAAACATTAACCAAAAAAGAAGAATTGACAGGAGGTCATATGTATACTTTTGGTTAATTTTTGGATTCCAAGAATATGAAATGATTTAATAGCATTTTGCCAACTTCTGCATCATGCTTGTGCAAAAAAGAAATGGAAATAAATCTCAAATATTTTCCTGCTCTCTGGATTCTGTCTAATCCAGCCAGTGTCATCCAGTTGAGACATATTATACTGTACTTTTATACAGGATGTGAACCCCAACATTTCTTGTTTCTCTATAATGGTCAATGCCAGCATTACTTATTAAAAAGAAATACTATTTGTCTCTGCCAAATATTTTCAAATTTCATAATTTGATATTAAAGATACAAAATACATGTTATATTTACAGAGCTCCACCAGGAGAAAGACAAAGAATGTGCAGACCTAAGATCTAAAATGACAGAGGCTATGGCACTGACCATGATGCCAACATCGAGTTCTCCAGCCATGAATGGAGTGGCTGACCTCTCCCCGACTCCCTTGTACTCGGCTCCCTACAACATGAAGGAGGAGATGATCATGAAGTCCAATCTGAACCCTAATGCCTCAAACTACACACCAAAAACCACCATGTAGGCCAGCCAGTGTGGAATCTGGAACTTTTTTTTTTTTTGGAAATACTAGGCTTGTCTTTTCAGTAGACTTAAACTCACAAAGAATTCTTATTTTGTACTCCCTTTAAAAGAAAATGTTAAGATTGGAAGCAATGAGTCTTTAATTTCACTGAGGTCAGACAAAAAATATAATGTTTGTATCTTTCGTATTGAGGTAAGATGTCGATTAAGGTCTGATGACACGTTGCTTGAATATCTGTTTTGTATCTCTTCGTAATATACAACAAATTAATCATAATTATCATTGTCTTGTGATTTTTAAACTGTTTTTAAAATGTCTAAGCAGATATAGATACCAAAAATGTGATATTTGCAATGCTATTGATTTTCAATATGATTATAAGTAAATAGGATCCTCTGGTATCTTGTACAAATGCCTGGTAAGGTGCCTTAATTTTTTGTGAGGAATTTGGTTAAAGTAGCAATATTTCAGTGACAAATTCTTTGAAAAAAATATATATTATTGAGGAATGTGTCATCTGACCTTAATGAGTAGAGTAATATTAATATGTGAAAGTTGTTTTTAAGTAGATTTTGTTCTAAATAATATGATATTTTCATCATATTATTTCTCTCACCAGTAATGAGCCAATTGGGAATTTACATGCATGTGCATACAAATTTTTTTTCTTTAAAGTCTCTTTGATTCAAATTTTAACATTTTACTTTGAGGGAGTTGAAGTATAAAGCATTTATTTCAATTAAAACACATTTTTTGTTCAAAACTGTGGACTGCTGATGTGAATTTTGTTAATGGACAGGTATCCAAAGTGTTCAATATTTAATTTTAATTTGTCTCAGATAGAGTAGAGCTATTTATTGCACTTCTTACAAGCTAAAGCCAATCCTTGACTGTGTCATCTCTATAAGCATTCGAGTAAGGACAACATTTTTGAAAGTATTGCTACTTGTCAATTGAAATGGTAGATTTATTGCGTGTAATTCAGAAGACAACTGTTAAGTTCACTTTAATAATTTCTCAACCTGATTTTCTCTGAGGAAAGCATTGTTCACATGCTGACATGAAAACTTCATCCATTTTAAATTATCTGTATATTGTTTTAATTCAGAGCTTTATGATGAGACTAGGTCTTGAAACTAAAGTAAATGGGAGAAAAGATTCCTGTTTTTTTTTTTTTGTTTTTTTTTAATTAATCTAGGAAAAACAGGATTTTCAAAGTTGTTAGAGATGCATGCTACAAACAAACCAAAAAAACAAACAAACAAAAAATAATTATTAAGAAATTGTAAACTTTCTATGATATTCAAAATTCTACCTTTTTGCCATCACCCTTATACATGTAAGAATTATCAGGGAGAGTAGGTTGATATGAAGTTGGAAAACTGACTTAATCAGTTGGTCTTTCTGGATAAACATATCAGTGACTGTAATGACTTTTTCTGTATGTTTTTATCTTACTTTAACACAAAGAATAGGATATTCCTAATCAACTGCTTTGGTACATATCACTGAGATCTTTTTGTAAGTTATTAATAAGCCACACCCCATGACATTTCTAACAATACTTCTGCAGAGAAAATTTGGAATTTGTAACTATTTTAAGTTGGGCCTTTCTTTCTGTATGATATTTTTTGAGTTATTTTCCAAAGAAAATGCTTTGACACTTGTATTGAAGAAGAAAAGTTCCTCCAAGAACTTGATATTTTTCTTATATGTCTTCCCCTGACTGTAGTATTTAAAGTGACCAATCAAATTCAAAACATAAAACAGAGGCATTTTTACTACTTAAGATCAAAATATTTATGAAGGTATCAGACTCTTGCTTTTCTGGGAGTGTTTGTACAGAGTGATCTGCCCTGTTGTGGTCTTTGTCTTTATATGCTACAGTCCTGGGAAGATATAACACCCTATATGTTTAGTTATTGTGACTGTAACCCTGTGGTTGTTTTTGCTTTGTATCATTAGTTTTTGGTGTTCATAACCTCCAGAAAGGGAGGTCACCTCAGAGGGAGGTCAAGGTTAAGTGCTGTGGAAGGTACCACATATTGTCCAGCTGCTCTAAGGACAGAGACAGTGGATAAAAATGCCCTGAACTTGCTGCCAGAAATAAAAGCTAGCAAATATCAAATTTGTTTTGTTTAATTGATTATTGAAATTGTGTTGAATTGTGGTTTTGGTGGACCAACAAGATGTGCACAAGAATGTATAAGGAACTGTGTTAGAAATTTTAAACTCATAGACTATACAGTGACTGACTGTAAATCATGACTTAGTCATGGTCATGACAGTAATAAGGCATTCTAATTTGCATCCTTGGAAATACAAGCCAAACACTTGACTGCAATGACATAACAATGACATTGACATTTGAAATATGAGGTTGAATTGCATTATCAATGCACCAGACAGGAAAGTACAGTTATATAAAGTGTGTGACATATCAACTCATTATCTTTGTGTTGGGCAAGAAATGATTTTAATTCATCAATGACCTTAAATGTAAGATACGATGGGGTCATAATACCACTATTGGTACACGAGTTGCTAAAGCACATAATATATTTACATGTAATAAGTGCGATACTGTTCAATTGTGGTTCAACGATATTTTCATTTAAGTGACTTTGACATTTGAGATGGGATATTGAGTCATGGTTGCCACAAATCACTGAGGAAAGATAAAGCTCTTAGTTCAAAGGCTGTAATACTGTCAAAAATTGTTGAAGAAGGACAAAATACATGTATATCATATCAAGGTAGACTCGTACTAAAAATGCTCAGTTTTCCAGACTTTTTTTCATCCTAGACTTTAACACAAGCATGAATGTTGTAAATAAAAATAATAACTACAAGGTATGGAGAATAAAACTCACTTTTTTTTTAGCTCATCTAAGCCAAAATCTCAACTGAGCTTTTCTGATCAAAATTTGTCATAGTTGTGGTTATCATGCTTATCAACTTTTTTCACATTTTCATCTTCTTCACTGGGCCAATTTTAATCAAACTTGCCACAAAGCATCCTTGGGTAAAAAGGATTCAAGTTTGTTCAAATGAAGGGTCACACCCACTTTCAAGAGGAGATGATTTAGAATTAGAGAAAAATTAATTGAATCCTTCAAAAATCTAAAGAACCCCTGGGACAGAATAGTTGAAACATATTTGAAAGCTTCATTTTACATAGTGTAGATTCAAGTTTGTTCAAATCATGACCCCCGTGGGTAGGTTAAGGCCACAATGGACAATCAAAGGTTTACATAAAATATTTAGGAAAAAATCTCAAGAACAGGAAAGGCATGATATGTCATATTGATTGGGAAGCATCCTAAGATAGTGTACATTCATGTTTGATCAAATAATGGCTGGGGGGGGGGGGGGGGGGGGTAGGAGGGGCCACAATATATGGTCAAAGTTTTATCAACGGTACATAGGAATATTTATATATAGGGAAAAAAGTATTTTGAAATTTTCTTCTCAAGAACTGCAAATGCATGATTAGACATATTGATATGAGGCATTCTCAGGTAGTGTACTATTAAATTTGTTCAAATCATGACCCCCGGGGGTAGGGCGGGGCCACAATAATTATTGAAGTCTTACATAGGAATATACAAGAAAAAATCTGATGTAGAACAGCAAGGCCATAGTGACTCAGGTGAGCATTGTGGCCCATGGGCCTATATTTAATTCTGCATTTATGTTTTGTATTTATTATCTTACAACTGTGAAAGTACATTTATTCAAAATTAAAGAAGCATGCCAACACAGAAATTCACAGATACACTGTATCAAGGCATGTAGGCTAAATATATATGGAATATGCAGGTGATTCTACTAGTATGTGCTGGGTGACAAAATATGCCACAGCAGCCTCTATGTGCATGCTATCAGTAAACGGACTCAAATTGTGCAATTCTTAACCCCAAAAAATGTGTTTGAAGTTTAATTTTTTAAAATATTATAACAACAACACTGTAAAATAACACAAACATAACGCGTACGAAATTTCCCATAGCTGCATTACATTGCTTGAATTAATCTAGCTACAAGACTGGATTTCTTATTGTATGTCTGTGGGATGAGATTCCATGGGCAATCTTTAACTGCGGGAAAATAAAACATCTTACATAGTATAATACATATACATGCACATATAGTATTGTCTTAAGAAATGGCAATATGTCATTCACTTCTGTTCTTTGGGTAAGGAAAGGAAACAGTTATCTATAAAAAGGTTCAAAAGATGACATTGAAGAAGGGGAATTCAGCTTTATCAGGATGTATCAGGTCTGCAAGAAAACAAACAGTCCCAGCATATCCTTCATACAAACTAAATGGAGTATCTGGCACTCTGGCTCCCCGCTGGAACTCATCAGTAAACAGAAATTCAGCGAACTGCTGAGCTCGATGGAGATGTTTATAGTCACCTGTCAAACGATAAAGAAGGAGAAACACGTAGCCACTACCCGCTACTCCATGACAAATTCCTGGGCCCTTCTTTAGCAGACCTTTAGTCCAAGTGACCTCCCCACATCGTAAACAGGCATCTAGGTACCTCTGGTCTCCCCACACTTTGTAAGCTCGAGCAAAGAGGTAAACCACACCTAAATAGAAGAATTTTATATGTACACTATATATTCATATGATTTTCATTGAAAATTATATCTTTTTTTTCAAGAAGATGAGGGTTATGGCAGTGTTCTTCAGGGGTAAAAAAAGGCATACAGTATATAATAAGAAGCTGGAGAGAAAAACTTGTGTCCTAGTAATTAAAATCTGTTTTTTCATGTGCTCAATTTTATTTTTAGTGACGTTAAGTCAAGCACAAAACATTAAAAGAAATTCATCCCCCATGACTATGCTCTGATTTTCTTAATTAAAGCTTAAAGGTAATTCTGGAGGTACCTGGAGCTCCGTGACACCAGTGAACAAGTTCCTGGTCCTCTGGACGTCTGTGATGAGGTCCCACTTCATCCATGGCAGGAGGGTAGTTACCATTCTGCTCCAGACTTAACATGAAATCCACAGATTTATGGATATCCTGTTCAGCAGCGGGATCAGACTTCAAAATTTCTGGGAAGCTTAGGAGCATTTGTAGAATGGACGACAAACCATGGGCAGCTCCTGTTTATGTAAATGATAAAAAGATTATTTATGCAATTCTTTTTAAAATGTGAACTAAACTTTTAATGCTTTCATCTGCCATATACTTTCATTTTTGTGATTAAAATCACAGTAACTGGACGTATCTTCTGCAATGTCTATTATGTGGAATTTATACACCTGAAAATGGGCACTGCTGATTTATACAGTAGTCAGTTAATCTTATTTGGCTCAAAACTTGTTTAATACATTACAGAGAAACATATGGAGATCCTAGTAAAAACAATATTTATATAAATTTAGCCTTGTACTTCACATTGGCTTTTTTTTTTTGGTTTTTACCTAAATATTCTGTGTTGTAGTACGAATACATCAGGGCTGACTTAGGACTTGATCGTTGTTTATCTGCCCCCTTCCTTCCAGAAGCAACAATTGTTCTCCAAAGAGCAGTTAAAACATCATCTCCTATGACCTGAAAAAATTGTATAATATTCATGCTTAATGAATTCATTTTTACCTTTATTTGTTGGAAGACCTGAAGAATTTAATATGCATTGGTAATTAAGGTGTCCATCATCTGTCTGTCATTCTATTTCTCTAAAAAAAAAATGCTACACCTATTAAAATTTTGATCAAAAAAGGGTGTCATCTTTGAAAAAAGCTATAGAAAAGAACTGAATTGAAAATATTGCATAGTTGAAAAAACTGGTACTAACCCATTTACTTGACTTGGTCATGACTTAGTTCTAACCTGTTGACTTGGACATGACTTAGTACTTACCTGTTAACTTGACTTGGACATGACTTAGTACTTACCTGTTAACTTGACTTGGACATGACTTGGTACTAACCTGTTTACTTCACTTGGACATGACTTAGTACTTAACTGTTAACTTGACTTGGACATGACTTAGTATTAACCTGTTTACTTGACTTGGACATGACTTAGTACTAACCTGTTTACTTGACTTGGACATGACTTAGTACTTACCTGTTTACCTGATTTGGACTTCACTTAGTACTTAAATGTTTATTGGACTTGGAAATGACTTACTAGTATTAACCTGTTTACATGACTTGGAGACATGACTTAGTACCTATCTGTTTACTTGACTTGGACTTCACTTAGTACTTACCTGTTTACTTGACTTTGATATGACTTAGTACTATCTGTTTACTTGACATTGACATGACCTAAGTACTAACCTGTTTACCTGTTTTCTGTCGGAGTGTCAAAACACCACACAGGTACCCAGCCCGTCCAACAAACAGCTCATCTGAACCATTCCTTCCAAAGATATCTATCTTCTTGCAGTGCTCAGCAAGTTGTGCATATTGAGCAATATATCGATCTGAATTCTGTTCGTCTCCTATGGTCTTGTACAACAAACTACAGAGCACCAGCACACCTGCCTGTCCCAGAATGAAGGAGGATGGGGGGTCACTCCTCATTCCTCCCCTCCTAATATAGTCCATGTTCACTTTAGCATACATCAAAGCCTGCTCTAGGTATTCTTGTCTATCACTCTGAAAAGATTCTTGTGTGGCTAGGTAATACAGCATATAACCTACCCCAGAGTTACCGACATACAATCCTCCAGAACATGTACTAGGGTCTGGAGGCATCCTTTCCAAAATTGTTTTCACAATAGCAATTGCATTGTCATGCCATTTCGATTTATCTACAGAGACTGGCTTCTCTGGAACAAAATCTGCAAGTCTATTTTTGAAAAAGCGCATTTTCTTTCTTGACTTTCTCTGTTTCTTACTTTTGGCTTAACTTTTGCTTTCCCTCGATTCTGCTTTACTTGTGATTCCCGACTCCGATCAAAATTTCAAACAACAAAAAGCAATAAAATACCAGGTTTTATGTCATTTCTGAGTATTTTTTCTATTAGATTTGCTAAATTTTTGGTACCATAAAAGAAAAAAAGTCTGCTAAAATTTTGACACCATAAAAGAAAAAAAAATTGAAGCATGAGATATTTAGATCGGGATCGGAATGCAAGTGCCCAGTAGTTGAGAGGCTGGAATAAACAATGGCATCATACGTTTTGAAGATAATATCGATGACTCTTGGGATCTTCTTCATCTTTATAGGCACATTGAAGCTTACCCCCTCTGTCAACAAAGAATTGCACAAGGAAATGGTTGGTAACATTTTGAAAAACACTGATAAATGCTATATCGGAGTCACAAACATTTCAATATTTATGGTTGATTATATTCCCAGAATGTTCCATATAGGCTAAAGTGTATATAAACACAGAGACTTTAAATATGGCATACTTTATGCAAAAATATTCACATCACAAAAAAGATTTTTTTTTCCAGCATTTATAAATGATACTTATTGGTAGGAGAAAAGATATTTCCAACCTGACTATGGTAGATTTTTCAGTGATATTTTTAACTCAGTATCGTTAAAAAATGTCAAATATTTTGGTCTGAAAAAAAAATCTTGATTAAATCTTACAGCTTTCTTAATGATTTTCATATGGTTGATTTCTCTGTGTTCATGTGTTGTCAACACTTTTTGGGGCTACTAAAAAATGATTTGGCCAGTAAAGTTTTGCCACTGGCCCAGAGAGACTTGGCTTGTGCTGAAAGAAAAGTTTTGGTGGACACTGTCTCTTGGGGAATAGTATGTATAGGTAATGAATAAAGGTTTTTTTCCCAGTTCTCAAAAAGATGGGATGAGAAATTCTAATCTGAACCAGTTAGAGAGTACAGGTATTAAAACTCATCTAGTGCAAATACTCTTAGAGTAATCTTTTTCCATTGCAGAGGAAAATGTACATAAGAAATGCCAAAGTTTTCCCTCTTGTAACATGGACTAAGTGGAAACCAAACTCACACATGTATAGGAAAGTGATTGGTGGATCTGAGGTGGTGTGTGGTGCTATTTTAGCTTTTATACCAGGCAAGCTTAATTTGGTAACTTCATAAATTTATTTCATGGTATATGATGGCTACAATTCACAAGTAATGTACAGAACTGAAATTTCAGATGTGCATATCAAAAATTTAGAGCAAATGTAGGTCATGAGGCGTAAGCCAGTCAGTGCATCATAATTAGTGTATAGAGTTATCAGTATTTACATATATATTATATCAAAGCGATATTTATATTAATTTTTTTTTGTTTTGCTATTTGAAATGGCACCAAAAACAACAATTTTTGAAAAGTGCTTAAGGATAGAATTATAAGTAATACAATTATTGTATGTAGTGTGTTCTACTGTTATTTATGAGGCACTATATATTGCTTAGCAAGAAATCATGAAGAATGACTATTGCTGTAAGTCATGCCTAATGCCAAAATGTGCTCAGTTGAACTACCACAAGATTTTCAAGCAGGTCAAGCTCATACTTTAAGCATGATAAGCACTTTCAAGAAATTGTTAACAACCAGATTTTTCTAATTAAATGGCTTACATCAAGAAGAGATTAACGTCTTTGGTAGTATCAAGTTTATTTTATTCACACAATACTTCTAGGTCCCCTGAAAGAGGCAGCCAATGTACTGATGATACTGATAGCCAGCCTGGATATATACTCCCACTATGCCCTGGACGAAGGCCTCGATAAGATGAGTCTATCTGTGGTCTTCTTCCTCCTCCTCATGTGTCGTCTCATTATCCATCTCCAGATGAAGGCTCGGGAGGACGAAGAAGCTGCTCAACGTGCTCAAGCCTACGAACGAGAACAAGCTCCACCTACGTGTCAAGGACACACCCATAATGTTCACCCAAATGCTGGGGCTGGATTTTCTGCTGTTGACAAAAAGAATCAGTAGTAGAGGCCAAGTATAAAGATGGTAACTGATAGAGAGAGAGTCAAGGGGAATAACAAAGTTAAAAATGATGGATAGTCTTTCAAGGACAGTAACTCTGTGTGGGAGCAACAGAATCTACAAGGAAGAAAGAAATAGCGTAATTTATTTTGAATACCTGATGTGAGGTATTTGAGATAACTGGAGACATTTTGAGATTTTTACGCGAGTGGTTTTGGTCATTTTGAAATCCATTTGATTGTTGTTTGACTTTGTAAGTGTACTATGATGTATGTCCCATTATTTTTTTTTTTTAAATTTTTATTTTAATAAGCTTTTGAGTAGTTTTACAAAAAGACTCTCTTGGGCATTAATGCAATTATTTGATCTCTTTTTTTTCTTTATCAAGTATATTTGCAGTCACTGTATTTACAGTTTTCATAAAACTGTATTTCATTCTGGTGCATGAATGTGAGGTTTTGTCACAATCAAAAATTCAAAAATACATACATGTCTTATTTCAAACAATCTTGTTATTTTGCTAGATAAAACAGACAAAATGGTAATGTTTAAACATTCTCTTATAAGTTCCAGAATCAGTAATCATAGTAACATTACAAGGTTTTGTACAGCCCAGCATCATTTTTTAAGCACTTCCCAGCTTATCTAAGGCAATTTTTCAAGCACTTTTGGACAATACAATTATACAAGCAAAAGCATGCTTAATGATTAAACATTCATGCTTAACATGCAATTTTAAGCACTCTTCAAGGACTGGATCAAAATTCAAGCACTTTCCATGGTCTGTGTGAACCCTGCATTATAAATATAATTTGCCCAAACATGTACTTGTTTGGGGCTTATTTTCTTAAGGCAACATGATGTTATTCACTTGGTTGCCTCTGAAGATGAAATTTTTAACTCCAAATATTGTTCAACATGATGCAAGGAATGGTTTGGTTAAATTTTATGTTATATTAGAATTTACCAAAGTTTGCTGAAGACAGATTTTTTTTCTCTTATAGTTCATCATAAACGTAACCCTTGAAGCACCCCTGAACCCACTACTTCTGATCTGGAACACAGTCCCCTCATCTTTTTTATCTGCATCTCCACATTTAAGAAACTGAAGATTTACGTTTTTAAAATGTTTCAGCAAGAGTTTCATGAGTCCATTGATCAACACATACATGTATTTCAGTTGATTACCTGGATATTCAGTTCTGCAATATCATTCAGGTTGTGAAGACAAATTCAAAGTAAAACGTATGTACATGAAATTTCTCTCTTTATTGCTTGGTGCACAATTTCAGCTTGTTACAATGATTACTATGGAGTTGAATTCATTTTATATGGTCTGTTATGCAGTAAAATTTGAAAACAATAATAACTTTTGAAAATGAATGCACATTTTAATCGATAGTTCATTTCACTTTTACTTTTCCTCATCAATGTTAAGCAGTGCATGATAAGATGTTGGAAGGTATCGAAAGCCGCATCTTCTTAGAATCTTCAGCAAATCGTCCACTGCCTCTTTCTTTACTTTGTGTTTGATGACCCACTGTCTCAGAGATTCTGTCAGACGGATGGATGCACTGTCCTTCCCCCCGTCCCCAGAGTTAGACATTACGGTTTCCGACTTTTTGTCGACAGCATTGCTGCCAGTCTCAGGATGATGTCCACACCTTCTGTTTTGCTTTTTTGGGGTATCCATTATACCTGAAATGATATAATAAATAATATACAGAAAAACTTTTTATGCAAATGTGGAAATAGCAAATTTACGGCTATAGAGAATTATTTGAAAGAGGAAAGGGAGGGGGAGGTCCCGGCAACATTCTGAACAATTGCATATAAAATGTAACCGTTAAAAAAAACTCTGATATAATGAATTTATTAATGGATATATATTGGGTTGATTTTGTATAATTAGAGTTAAAAATAACAAAATTTACATCTTTTATAACAAATTTTTATGGTTCTAAAATTTAAAAATATTAAATGGACATTATTTTTTGCAAGTATTTAAAAGTTAAATTTTATTTAACAGAAAACTTTAGTTTCTAAGGTAGGTTTTGTATCTAATACCAGTACTCCAATGAGCATATTTGGTTGTCATAAGAAAGAAAACATGCATATTACATACGTTTACAAATCCTTATACAGATAAAACAAATTAAGGAATAATAGAATTATAGTGAAGTAAAGTCTGCAGGTCCCCAGGACTTCACCATAATCGAGTTTTACAATATCTAATTCCCAGCATTTTGTCTGAATGCATTAGTGTCTAAAATCGCAAAAAACCGAGCCCCATAGGCCACGGCCCTCAACTGAGTAACTTACGGTAAGTCCTACTGTTCTTAAGATTTTTTTAAAAAGATTTTTTTCTTTTCAGGCCCAGTGGTTCTTGAGAAGATTTTAATTTTTTTCATCTCTATTCCAATGTAAAACTTTGATCCCCTGTTGTGACCCCATCCTAACCGGGGTCCATGATTTGAACAATTTTTAATCTACACTGCGTTAGGGAACTTTCAATTAAGTTTCACCTTTTCGGGCCTAGTGGTTCTTGAAAAGATTTTTAATAACCCACTTTTTTTTACCTTCTCTTGATTAACCCCCCCCCCCTTGGAAGGGGGCTTGGTCCTTCATTTGAACAATTTAGAATCCACTTTACCCAAGGAAGCTTCCTGCCAACTTTGGTTAAAATTGGCCTATTGCTTCTCAAGAAGAAAAATGTGAAAAGTTTACAGGCAGACTGATGGACGCTGGACAACAAGTGATCAGAAAAGCTCAACTGAGCTTTCAGCTCAGGTGAACTAAGAATTTGGGAGGTTTATTTTACAAAATACTCTTTATAAATTATGTAAATTTACAAGGGATAAAATGAATGCAAATATCACTCAAAGTGTCTTGACTAATAAAAAATACAGACATTCTTGCAAACGAAATTGTTAATTTAATCTTATTGTGTATGCGGTGTATGTTCTGCATGCAGCTATAATCCGCAGGTACTTGTGGACAGGAACCCCCCCCCCCCCCGAAAAAAAAATTCAACTCCCGGGGCTTGTTGGATATTTTTTCACAAATTATATTTATTACACTTATTCATAATGTATACCATAGGAAAAATCGGGGGGAAACCCAAAATAATCGTTCCACACAAAAAAATACCCTACTATACAATTTCTCATATAATGTATAGTAGGGTATTTTTTATATGAAATGATTGCTGTTCACAAGAACCTGTTGTATAATCAATTCCCAGGGACTCATTAAATTGGTGAATTTTCAGAAGTTATCTCTCTTTGCCCGTTCTTAATTCCCATTTAATGGAAAGATTTAGAAATATATTAGATACCACAAGCATCTGAAGTCGTTTCTTTTTTAATCCCATAAATACCCCCTGTCAGTATTTTGTGATAAGAGGAATGTTTGATGTTAAGTGACTGAGAGTGATACCAGTGGGGTTTCTGTCGATCTGAGGGGCCTTAAGAACAGTATTTTTGTGCACGTCAACAAAACGTAAAACTCGTTTCAAAAAAGTTAATGCATATTTGTAAAATCAAAGCAAAACTCCTTTTTTGCATTTAATTACTATAATATAATTTTTTTTTAATTATGTATATATGGGAAAAAAATCACAATAGTTGAAGGAGGTACTATTGCATGCGTATATAAGTCATTAAAAGAATCTATATAGACTCAATAGTTTGGGGGTTTTTTTCATCTTGGCGTTGTGCTTTGTGTGCATAATCAAGGCCTTTCTCTTTCTTTCTCTCTCTGTCTCTCTCTCTCTCTGCTAATAACCCATGTATGATTTTAATAATTGTTTCTCGCTTAGCTTAATTATGTGTCATATTCTGATTGAATGTAAGTGACTGTACGTGTACAACTTATATACTACAGGCCCGTAGGAAGCAATATCAGTTGGGGGGGGGGGGGGTGTGAACCAAACAATTTCATTTAGGGGGCAATACCAAGCATAAATTACGTGACAAGAAAGAAAGAGAGAGTAATGTCATCAGATGTTATTATTGACGGATAAAGTAGGTTTCTATAGAATACTATAAGTCGGCATGGGAGGAGGGGGGGGGGGGGGGCACGGCCCCCAGGTTCCAACGGCCATGTGCTGAATGCAACACCAGTGAAAACGTATGGCATTTAGTAATGCACATTAATGCATATTCTTTGACACAGAGTGCAGTACTTAAATATTACACATGTACTTACAACAATGCAAAAATGAAATGTTTTAACCTACCTCAATTCAAAATTCCAATCAAATTATAAGTTCCTTTCAACCGCACACGGAAACTGGAAAGTGCTATGACCGGCAGAATGACCAAAAGCACATGGAAGCTGCTATGACTGTGAGCAAGTAACAAGAAAATTGCATAACAAGGATTGGCCGGACAGCCACCTGCTGGGATTTGAAGCTTTGGAGCTGCGTGGCCAAAGTTATACAGCCCACTTGTTCTGTGATGTTTTTATCGTGTTTATTAGATAAGACCGTGATTTCAGAAAGTAGCTGAGACAAACAACAAGCTGATAGAATAACAGGGAAAATGGATGCACTTGATCGCAAGATTATAAATTGCAATACAGATGCTTTATATTTTATAGAATCATTCTGGGAGTGACTTGTGAAGTGAATTTGCTAAGTAATTTTATCATTCAAAATAGTGAAAGTAACATGATGCATAGGAATCTCTCGATGTATTAATATATAAATTATATCGCACATATTCGTCCTACGCTCAAATAATTAAAAGTAAATAAAATATGGAAGACAAATATGTATTTGGGAACAATGCATAATTTAATAACTCTGCAATAGATTAAATAAGTCAAAAGTTGCAGCCAAGGGATATGTCCCACACACCCTATGCTTCCAGGCCAGCAAAATGTATACTTTTCACTTCTCCATATATATTTTTTAGCGCCAAGCAATGTCATGTACTGTACATAAATGTAGAAGGCTGAATACGGATACAATGCAAAGTGAATGTATTCTAGGAATGTATTTATATAATGGTTATACTTTGTTTGGTTTTCTTTGGTTTTCTTTCATATTGCAAGTGATGCTTATATTTCATTGTGTGAACCCAGGGACCTATATACTAATATATATATAGGTCCCTGGTGAACCATTCCAATAATTTAATTGTTAGTTGAGAACTTCTAGCTAGCTGCACGTGAGGATCAGGTCAATATTGCGCCTAATGCAGCCATTGCTTGTTATAATCATGATTATAATGTTTTTAATTGTACATGCCCTCTTGAGGGCCCTTGATTAGTGAATAATCACATTAATTCTACAACCCAGCCCCCCCCCCCCTCCAAAAAAAAAAAAAAAAAAAAAAAAAAAAAACGCGAAAAACACCGATGCTGAAAATAATTAAAAAAGTTCCTTTCAAGATTAATTTGAACTTTAAAGCATAGTTAATGTGCATTGCATTACAACCCATTAGACGAGCTTAGTACATTTTATCAGGCACCTTCGGTGCCATCTTCCCTGATAGGGAATTCTGGAGTTCTAAGAATCTTTATTTTGAACTTGTCAAAACAATATTGTTTATCTTTTAATATACTCTAGACAATGCAATCAAAACATATAGAAAAAAGTTATTCTAATTAATGAACTGTTCGTTGAGTGTAAATGACTGTGGAGTCGAACTGATCACACACCTCTCTAAACAGGTAACGAAATAAACTGCTACCGCTTTCTAAGATCATTGCGCATGTGCGTAACTCAGTCAGGCATCAACATTGTTGAAATTAACAACGAGATCAAAATATGTGAAACAAGTGAAATAACCTAATTCTTTTGTTAAATATGATAAGTCAACGCGAAGCAGACGAAATCGCATTTTCTAATGACCTTACAGGAGGTAAATTTTGATAAAAAGTCGCAAATTTCCAGTTTTGTTATGTTCGAATTTTCTCAGTTATTCTACTCAATGAATCTTAGTAAAAATAATTTAACTGAAACATATTCTTTTATTTTATAAATATTATGACATTTCAATTTATTTCAATTTATTACACTCGCATATTTTTTTTCTTCAGATATAAAAGATAAAAAATTGGCAAAAGCAAGTAAAAGTCTCAGACAGGTATTTTTCTTTAAATTAGTCAAAACTTAACAAATATATTGAAAAATAAATGTTCATTGTGTATATTACTAACTTCAATGATGTTCATAAACCAGTACACAGTGGCGGATTCAGGGGGGTTTTGGGGGGGGGGGGGTCGGGAACCCCCCCCCCGCCCAATCAAATTTTTTTTTTTTTAGAAGTGTCATTTTAACAATATCTTTCATACGTGAGACTCTATCCAAGCCCATTGTTTTACACAAAGAGGTGAAATATACAGCCACCACGAGAAATCCCTTTCCACTTGAGCGCACACAATACACAAGTAATCAACAGTAAATAGATCATGATAGTCCGTGCAGCTAGTGATGACACAAGGTTATACACTAACAACCAAAACTGCACATAGTTATTACGGTATTGTTTTGGTATTGCTTGAGTAATATTCTTTCATGAATTTTCTTTCATCGATAATTGAATGTTACTTTACTGAACTACTTGAATAAACTGTGATTATTATTATCTGCAAAAAAAAATAATTAATACAATCAGGGACGTATATACTATAGTATAAACATCCCTGATACAATATTTTCATGACATAACTATATTGGGAAAGTAGACCCTTCGAGACTTTCAAGACTTTTTTTTCAAACAATGGGCTAGTAAGTGGGTAAAAACATTAAAGAGTGCATTTATGTTAGAAATTATAATTAACCCCCCCTCCCCCCCCCCCCCCATGAATAAGCAATAATTCCAACATTTTCCCAAAATAATTTATATTTATTCTGCAATATGAAATATTATTATTTGTTTATATTGCAAATTATATGAACAGTATAGTCAAGTAGTTCAAAAGAGTAATTAGGGTTTCTACACCGAATCCAAATTTTCTAAGTGTTGGGAAATTGCACATCAGTTGCATTTTGGTAATCAGAGCTTTACATGTGACACATGTGCACTTTAAAATAAAGAAATGGATATTCTACATCAAATGGCGATATTTCTAATTTTATCAGATTTTACATTTATTTATTTATTTATGAAAAATCTCATTTTTCATGTTTACATGGAAGTTAAAAATTTTTATTTTTTGTTCAAATTCTTGAAAATTTGGGTAGGTCGGTCTTGAAAAACAAGTGGCAAAAAACTAATTCATTCAATCTAAAGTGCTGCAAAATGCACCATTTGGAGCCATTTTTTAAGAAAATTTCTCGGGGGAGGCCCCCCGAACCCCCACCCATGGGAGGGGGACACCCCCTCCCATGCCCTCCCCCTTTGGCCCTACGGGCCTCAAACCCCCCCCCCCCAAGAACTTCTGGATCCGCCACTGGTACAGAGTTGTCAGTATCTTCAAATCACTGCCAGTGTCAGACATTTTGTCTGGCATGACCAGACAAAGTTTTGTCAGACCAAATACAATGTACCTTATTTTGTATAGAAAAGAAAAATAACTGCATCAAAATGCCCTTATTATTTTCAATGGCATTCAATCTCACAATTTCTTTTCTTAGGATAGAGAGTCTTTAATCAGAAACATATGTCTATGCTTTAATAAATTTGATTGACCAACATCACCATGTGGCCATCTCTGCTGTTTTTGTGACTTTCACCTGTGCAACCCAATCCCAATCATTTAAAAATTTGCATCACGCCTGTTTTTTTTTTTTTTTCAAATGGTCATTTGGACCAACTGTTTTCTTGTAAGTTATCAGTCCAGACAATTTTTCACATGCCTTGCCAACAGGACTGACAATTTTTGACAACTGCATTATTTTCAAAACAAAATATGTGTTATTCAAATGGAAACTTATGTAGTGTCCAAAGATCCATGATAATTTATGTCTGACAAAAGTTAACCTGTTTTAAGTTTCTGTCAATATTTTACAGACATTGATTAAAGAGAATAAAGAATCAGATGAAGCCAGAGTTTCTGCAGCAATAGAAATCCAGAGAGCATACAGAGGATACTCAACAAGGTGCTGCCTGAAATATAACAAACTTCAATACCAAGCAAAATAATCATATTGAATGGTTTCTTTTATGTGATTTTAGACAAAATTTGTTGATCTTGGCATCCTGTTATTGGTGATCAAGAATCTGTTTACATTATACAATCATCAGTTCTGTCAGAGAGATAGATTAAAAAGTTTGCCTAGAAATGAATTCCTTGGGCTTGTTCATCCATATGAGCAGTAAACTTGAACAATGACAAATAAAAATGAAGTAAAGACGGACTATTCTTTGTTAAATTCTGTCACTTAGAATGTCTGACAGTTTTCAGGAAATTTTGAAAAATCTGAAGTGGACAAATTAATACACAATATATTGGTGATCCTTGTAAATCTGATAAAATTATTTGTCTAACTAGTACAACAAATTGAAGTTAAAAAAAAAGATATTTGTTTTAGTATTGTTTAATTTTGTAGTACATACTGGTATGACAAACTGAACTTCTTTTTAGATGTAATGTTTACGGCACTTTGAATCCCAAAGTCAGCAAGACAGCAGTTTACAGTAAAAGTCAGGATGATGAGGCGAGGATCCGACAGGTGGCAGATGAACAGGTCAGGAAAAAAATCCAATGGTTGAAATAAAATATATTTATATAAATGTATATACCCATAATTAGAATGTGATTCAATTCTTTTATTTTCATCACATTTTAACTTTAAGGTTGTGGAGTTTAATCCACCATCTGAGCAAGATGAAATTAGAATTATTTATGAGGAATATCTCATCACCTATGATAACCCAGATCAAGACCCTTTGACGTAAGTTATTTCAGCATTTACAGACACATCACACACATATTTACATTCTTGTAACTTCTTTTTTATTTCATTTATCACATTTCAGTCAAATAAGAGATGTACTGCTATGTGTCTTTCTGCTTATACATTAGAAGCACTTTTACATTATGAGCTGTTGGAAACTAAGGGTGCAACGATAAACCGTTTGACGGTATATCACGGTATATTTTTCCACGATTCAATTCACGATACGCTAAACTGATGTCGCGGTTCGGTTCAATCGGTCCAGAATTATCCGTTTTGTCCGTTTTATTTCCTTCTTCATTATTTCAAAATGGCTTCCGTGCAAAACATGAGGTCGCCGACAACGCATTTACGGCAGTTAAACTCTTCTCCAGCATCTTACAGACCTCATATTTAACACGGAGAGGGACTTAATGTGATTATAAGTTATAAATGTTAAGACAAATGATAAACCCTTTAGATCTAAACATATTCTTTGGTAATACACGATATTCCATCACGTGTGTATTTCGATGAAAATTCGCTGTCTTGTTGACTAAAATGTATTAACACGAGAAGTATGACAACTGCTTTTCTACGTAAATATAAGGAATAAAAGAATGAATGTCTTCCTTTTTCATTCCAATTTAAAAGGAAGATTATTAGGAAAGGTCCCCTTAGTTCCCTGTAAATGTTCATCATTGGTTTAGAATGTTGACACAACTCAAAGATCTACCTAACAATCCAATTCAAAATAACAAATTTTATTTTAATTTTTATTAAAAAAATATGAACATTTTGTATAACCCTGTCAAGTTTTAAAAAAATATGACGACAAACTTGAAAGACTTTTTAACCTTGTTATGTATCGTGATACGTATCATATCATGAACTGAATACCGTGATACGTATCATATTGTGAGGTTAGTGTATCGTTGCACCCCTATTGGAAGCTGCTTTTTAAAATTTACAAAAATTTAAGCTAACATTTCTAGTTTCATGCTGACGTATTCATGATTACAATCTGTAGCTATGATGAGTTTGCTGAGCGGTATATGGAAGCCCTGAGGGAAAGCCAACAGTCACTGGAGACCCCAGCTCCAGTTCAGCCTCCACCCCCAACTGCTGCCCAACCCACCCCCATAGTGCCAAAAACCAGATCTCGACTTACAGAAAGACAAGCAGCAGGGATTATACAGAGAGCCTGGAGGCGACATATAGTGAGTCATTATATATCCTGATTAGCTTTTTCTTCAAAATGTTTTGTGTGTTATTGTTTTAATTAATTGTGGATCTTAGTATTATTTTTCCTTGATAAATCACTACTTTTTTTGTTTTATTAAATTGACTTTAAATGTAATTCAGTGGAATTCTGATCTGACCGGTCTCTTCAAATTATTAAAATTTATTAGAATAATTATGCACCATTTGAGCATGTATACATAATAACATAGCTTCGTAAGCTTAACTAGGGCAAAAGAACAAAAAGTTCTGGGAAAAATTTCAAAGTAATTTCAACATTTGTCACGTCATGATTGGATGTTGAACTATTCAATGTTTGGTTTTTTTTGCAGGATATACAAGTGTATAGGTATTACAGAGATTTAATTAATTTCAAAACCCGAGGAAACCCTGCTTTGATGCTGAGGTGCATTAATCCTAATGAAGCCAAACTCCTGGATGCAGCCTCAGGGGTCCATGTTAAGTTCAGACTGGCAGGAGTGAGTTGTATTTTGATTCTCTTACAGAAATTCTTCTTTTACATTTTTATTCGAGATTGTCTGCTCTTGAAAATTTCATTCTTGCGTACATTTATATATCTATAGATTATATACAGCAGTATAACCATAATTTGTGAAAATTATGTCTTGCTTATAAATACCATACCATCTGGCAAAAGGGAGCTGTTGCAAAAAAAATTTTGACCAAAAGCATACATGTACCTTTCTACTGACATTTCAGGATAGATTTCCTCCCAACATATACTACAAGATCTTCACTCATAGGCCAGTCCAAGATATGTGTGCGAACAGTCCTAAGGATTACACACAGCCCACTGTTAAACTAGCAATGGCAAAAGATAAACACAGTAATGTCAGAACACAAGGATTTCAGGATGGTATGTGTCGTATAGCTTATTGATTATGGCACAATTCTTTGGAATATAAAATTACTTTCTTGTAACTTGCTTTTTAGCTCACCTGAGCTGAAAGCTCTGTCCGTCCGTCTCTCCGTCCGTCCGTCCGTCTGTAAACTTTTCACATTTTCAACTTCTTCTCAAGAACCACTGGGCCAATTTTAACCAAACTTAGTACAAAGCAACCTTGGGTGAAGGGGAGTTTAAATTGTTAAAATGAAGGGCCAAGTCCCCTTCAAAGGGGAGATAATCAAGAAAATACAAAAATTGGGTGGGGTCATTAAAAAATCTTCTTCTCAAGAACCACTGGGCCAGAAAAGCTGAAACTTATCTGGAAGCATCCTGGGGTAGTGTAGATTCTAAATTGTTCAAATCGTAACCCCCGGGGGTAGGGCGGGGCTTCAATAGGGAATCCAAGTTTTACATTTAAATATGTAGTAAAAATCTTTAAAAATCTTCTTCTCAAGAACCACAGGGCCAGAAAAGCTGAAACTTACTTGAAAGCATCCTGGGGTAGTGTAGATTCTAAATTATTCAAATCATGACCCCCGGGGGTAGGGCGGGGCCACAATAGGGAATCCAAGTTTTACATTGAAATATATAGGAAAAATCTTTAAAAATCTTCTTCTCAAGAACCACTGGGCCAGAAAAAATGAAACTTAAGTGGAAGCATCCTGGGGTAGTGTAGATTCTAAATTGTTCAAATCATGACCCCCGGGGGTAGGGCAGGACCAAAATAGGGAATCCAAGTTTTACATTGAAATATATAGGAAAAATCTTTAAAAAGCTTCTTCTCAAGAACCACTGGGCCAGAAAAGATGAAACTTATGTGGAAGCATGCTTGGGTAGTGTAGATTCTAAATTGTTCAAATCATGACCCCCGGGGGTAGGGCGGGACCACAATAGGGAATCCAAGTTTTACATTGAAATATATAGGAAAAATCTTTAAAAATCTTCTTCTCAAGAACCACTGGGCCAGAAAAGCTGAAACTTATCTGGAAGCATCCTGGGGTAGTGTAGATTCTAAATTGTTCAAATCCTGACCCCCGGGGGTAGGGCGGGACCACAATAGGGAATCCAAGTTTTACATTGAAATATATAGGAAAAATCTTTAAAAATCTTCTTCTCAAGAACCACTGGGCCAGATAAGCTGAAACTTACTTGGAAGCATCCTGGGGTAGTGTAGATTCCAATTGTTCAAATCATGTCCCCAGGGGATAGGGAGGGGCCACAATAAGTACTAAAGGGGGTATGAGAAATCAGGTGAAAAACAGCAAGGCCAAAGTTACTCAGGTGAGCGCTGTGGCCCATGGGCCTCTTGTTTTCATGTGTAATTGACTCAAAGTTTATTATTTTGTTGGCTATGGAGTGTGAAAATTCCATTGCTTTAACTATGGTTCATTGTGAAAGTGTTTATACTAATTATCTTCTGGGATTGAATGATCTGTCACTCACTTATAATTTGTAGTCCAAATGAAGGATGGAAAAGCAAAATTATATGTTCAGAAATGTTCCATAAATTATGGTATTCTTCTGTGAGTGACAGGAAGCTGCAAGATTCACATACTTTAAATAACGACAAATTTTCTGAAACAAATCCTGCACAATGCTTGCTATGATTTAATTATCATGAGAGTAAATTGCACCATTGCTGCAGATTGGTCATGTCCCTGGACATTTTCTTCTCCAGATAAGACTAACTGGTATAAAAGGATAGAGAATAATGGCTGGAGGCTGGTGTCAGATCGTCTTGTTCAACACCTGACAGACCCTATAACCTGGGAAACCAGCAACAAGAAATACCAGTACTCACATGATAAGGTAAAACAAATATCACATGACAGTCACACGACATAGTACGACAAATATCACATTACTGTCATATGACAAAGAGACCCAAGAATCTGTAAAATGTTTCCCACTTTAAAAGATGTTTTGACCTCATTACTAAAGATACAAAGACAAGGTGTTTTTTTTTTTTAATTTTTTGTGTTTCTTTGATGATTTTTCTGGCAATATATTTTTTTTATTTTCAGCTTCAACGAAAACAAGATGTTGAAAAAAGAAAAAAGAAGAGAAAGATCGAATGGATGCAGAAAATGTATTCAACAAATGAAATTTTTAAAATATTAACAGACCTGCCTACCCTTCTGCTTTTGGCGTAATTCTTCCGCTTTTTACCCCAAAATTACGCTGTTACGCCATGAAAACTTATTTTACGCTTTTAAACACTTCTCCTAGAAAACTTCTTAATGAAAGGCTAACTTTTGGAAATAAAGTAAAGGCATTCCTAAATGAAAATGGAAAGGTAAATAATCAGTGGAGAGTTTTGGTTCTTCACGATATGATTATTTACAATACAAACAACATACATAATATACCTTGTAGTTATAATATACCTTTTAAATTCAGTTTATTCTTACATTGTTAAGAACAACATAGAGACAAGTAAATGTAACGAAACCATAAACGACATAGCGCTATAATGTACAATTTGTATTAACATTGAAATGTAACTCTGAATTATGTGATTTGCTAGAAATTACCAAACTTCAGTTAAGCATGTAAGTTTAAATAAGTTTGATATGACTGCATATACATGTAGATACCAGTTTTACAACATATGGACTTTGTGTCAAAAAATGAAACATTCATGCTTGCTTTGTTCAATGATGTATAATTACAGGTTTATTTAGACAATATAGTTATATTGCAAAACATCAAACTAGGGAAACATGAAGAATTACGCCTTTACCTCTGAAATTCCACCAAAATGAGTATTAAAATTACACCCTCGGAATAGAAAGGGTAGGCAGGTCTGTATTAATAATTACCAATTATCTTTTGAGTGTGAAGCCTTAGATATCTGGTGTTGTACCAGTGTCACATACCGAGTAGATAGTAGTAGAGGATGTTTATTCCTTATATGTACATTCCGGTGTTATCCTTTAGGTATCAGGAGGGGATGCTGAAGGCCAAGTCTGATGACCCGGAGACTGTGAACCTGATTGAGGGAGCAGCAGCGGGCATGGTGGCTACAGTGCAGAAGATGGGTCCCGATGCCCTGGAGGATTGGGAAGTGGATGAACTCCTGGACTGGACAACCAGTCTTAACTTTGATGAGTAAGTGGTACTAGACTGGACAACCAGTTTTAACTTTGATGAGTAAGTGGTTGTTGGACTGATCAACCAGTCTTAACTTTGATGAGTAAGTGGTTGCTGGACTGGACAACCAGACTTAACTTTGATGAGTAAGTGGTTGCTGGACTAGACAACCAGTCTTAACTTTGATGAATAAGTTGTTGTTGGATTGGACAACCAGACTTAACTTTGATGAACAAAGAGTCTTAACTTTGTACTAAGAAAAAATTTATAATTTTTCAAAATACTTTGTACATCTGGATGCATGAATAGCATGATACAGTCATATGTTCTATAGATTACAAGTGATTATACAGGTAGAACAAAAATATCAGGATAAAACTTGCTTGAGTTGAAAATTATTTAATGACTTTAAACTTGAATATTTTTATCACAAATTTTAATTTGATTTCAGATATCTGAATAGTTGGAAGGAGACAGCCACAAGTGCATATTCAGAGAAACAAGTTGGTAAGACAACTTTTTATGTGGTTTTTCTTTTGAAGTTTGGAGCATATCTCACAAGGGTTGAATGTCAGATTCTTGTATTCGAAAAAAATCTACATGCACTTACATGTATGTAGTAATATACAAAAAGGTGTTTTCATAAGACAAAATAATTCCTTAAAAAAATTAAGTTTAATTCAATAAGCCTATTAACAATTTTGTTTATAGTTAAGAGTAACATCATTGTTTGATTTATATACTGTACATATGTATGTAACAAACTTTTTAGTCATGAAACAATCTAAAGGTAAGTACAGACCTTGTTATGGCAATGGTGAACAGTTGATGAGTGTAAAAACTATGGACTGGCATGACTATATGGTGATGGCATTTTTTTATATATAATATTCCATATCCTGTTATTGTGTGGTGTTTAAATTTCATTATGCCATTAATGATATGCTTTTGTTATCTGGGAATAATAGTAAGGGAAGAATGCAGCTTAATATTTGACATCTTATATTTACAGAATAATTATAGATTTTTTTCACTTGTATAGCACTAAACTTTTAGTGATATATAAAAATGTTAAAGTTTGGGGGCTTCATCTCATTCATAATTTAAATTTCTGTATTTGGATAAATTTACAATTTGTTTTTCTTTGCTTGATTGTGTCTAATCCATACCTCATTGTGTTGTATTAAAGTAATGACCCAGTCATTGTAGTTACAATGTAAAAAGTGTAAGGATGTAGTGTATGTACTGAATCTTAAGAGTGTCACTTATGTACTGATAGTGGCTATTATTATAGGTTGCTTATTGTAACATTTTTTTGTGGCAAATGAACTATTGTAATAAGCAAATTTTACTGTTTTATTATTGGTAAATCTCACAGGATACTTTTGACGGTTATTGCATTCTGGATACTTGTTCAGCCATAATTTTGTATTTTTATAGATGATCGTGTAAGGCTGATGACTGGTACACTAGATCCCTATGAATTCTCCATCTCGACTGGCCCCTCTCGCTATCAATCTACCCAGCATTCCAGGAATACACCAGCATCCAGTGTGTCAGGGCAACTCCAGGTCAATGGGTGAAGGTCATCTTAAAGTGAAAGTTAATCAGAGGTCACGTCAAATTTTGATGTCAAAAAAAAATTGACAGTGTATACATGTACTTACAGAAAATTTATTTTCAGTAAGATTCAAATTTCACTGCAGATTTTATACTGGAGATATTCTATTCTCTGAAAAATTTCTTTCAATTTGTTACAAATGAACGGCATTTAATTTCTATAATTTTACAATTTTGTGCCTGTTAATTTTATTTGTTCATTTGCTTTTTGCATAAGATCATGTGTGAAATCAGTGTTTATCTGTGATATTGAAAGTGAATGAAAACACAGTTACTTGGTTTTGATCAGAAAGATGCCTTATATATAATGTATGCCTTATATAGTTTGAAAATTGTTTTTGTTTTATTAAATATTTAACATTTTATATACTCTTTTTTTAAAGTCACCTTTTTATACATTGATAGTGACATTTCTGGTACTGTTCTCATATCATAAACAGTATCAATTCTGGTTTGAAAAGAAAATATAAACTCTTTTCTGGTCAAAGGATAAGGTATGGTAATGGCTAGTTTGGCCCCTTATTTGATTTAACAAGAGGCCCAAGGGCCTAAAATTGCTCTTCTGATAAATTGTATGACCCTGTCAGTTCTAATCTAATACAAGCCTCTTTAGTATCTTGAATATTGTCATACAATAATGAAATTCCAAGAGAGTAGGTCACTGTGACCTACTTTTGAGGTAACAAACTGAGAACCCAAAATGCATCAACTGACAAAGTTTGATGATGCTAAGCCACTAAGTAGGTTCACTTTGACTCATTTTTGGTTGACACTCCAAGGTCCCAAGATGCATCAACTGACAAAATTTGATGATTGTAAGCAACTTAGTGTCTGAAATATTTAAAGATAGCCATGAAATGCCAAGAGTAGGTCAAGGTGACCCACTTTTTGATTGACACACTGAGGACCCAAGATGCATCAACTGACAAAGTTTGATGATTCTCATCCACTTATCTGAAATATTTAAAGATAGCCATGAAATTCCAAAAATAGGTCACAGTGACCTATTTATTGGTTGATATAGTCCAAGGCCTTAGGTAATCCTAGATTCCTCTAACTCCTGCTTTTATTTTGTGACATGTCACAATATAAAAGTGGGGGTTAGAGTCAGAGGAATCTCAGATTCAGCCAGATGATGCATCAACAGACAAGGTTTAATGATCCCAGGTGTCACAGTGCTCAAAATATGCATCAACAATTTGAAAATGAACACATTTTGTACTTGCAAAATTCAAAAAGTAGGTTTCCATGACCTATGGGGTCTACATAGCATGTCATGATGAGGTCCCAAAATGCATAAACTGACAAGATTTGATGATTCTAGTCCTCATAGTGTGCAAAATATCAAAGTTTTAACAAAAAATCATTTTAGGTCAATTTTTAAGTGACTTTGAGACCATGCCCTTTCCCCTAGGGTGATGCCTTGAACAATTTTTAACCTACAATGTATCCTCTTCCTTTTGTGTAAGTTTAGTTGTTTTGCCCAGTGGTTCGTGAAATAAAAAAAGATATTTTAGCAACCACTCCTTTTTTTATATCTCCCCAGTTATCTACCTTTGTTTAAGGGTGAAAGCCCTTGGTTTGATTAAGGATACTCTTCGACAAATTTGATAAAAATTGGCAAAGGTGTTTTTGAGATATAGCCCAAATTCCAAAAAGTTTACCCAAACTGCACGCCAGGCCATTGCATTAGCTCTTTGAGCCTTTGGCTCAAAAGAGCTAAAAATCAGAAAGCCATGAAAGCACTCCAGTTAAATTCATGGTAATTTTGCAAAATTTAAGAATTTTAACTGATGCTTGTTTTAAAACCATTGCAGCATTGATTTTAATTCAAAATATATAGAGAGTCCACAAGAGGATGTCAAATTTGAACATTTTCCCAAATTTCCTAAATTCTGATCAAATTTCAACACATTTGAGATACTTTTTACTTCTGGAAACATGGAGTAAAAGCATGTCTAATATTTTAACAAGATGCATCTTATACTAATGCATGAAAGATGCAAATTTCATAGTTAGACAAGCTTGCCTTCTGTGTTTTCTAAAATAAAAGGTGCCTAAAAATTATTGAAAATTAATGGAATAAAAATGAAAAAAATTAAAATTGAACAATTTTTGGACATCTATGTATCCTATCTAGTTAAATCAATACTCATTTTAAAACAGGGATGACAATATTTTGAATATGAACAATTGGATCAATCTTGGAGACACCCAAAATTGGGGCCATAAAGGGTCTTAAAGCACATCCTGTTCTTTTCCAACCTAGTCAGAGCTTGTCTAGGCGTATAGGGAAAATCTTTAAAAATTGTTTTTTTTCTAGAGCAGCAGTCTACACTTAGTCAAATTAATATGCAAGCATATCCATATAGTTTAGATTCAGTTTTGTTCAAATAATGGCCGAAAGGCTATGGTGGGACCACAAAATGGGATTTATACATACTTTGGCAATAGCACAATTCAATGAATTGAATTGGTTTCTCAGTTGAATATTGCAGTATGACAAAATTTCTCATTCTTGTTCTACATTGGTCGAAGAACAACCTCTAATCTGGCAATTTATTCAGCTTTTTTTCAATAAAAATAAAAATAGCTACATTTAATTTTTATTTAAAACCTCATGAGTACAAGAGTACTTTGTTGTTTGAAAAGAGTATAGAAATTGGATACAAGGTCCCAAAAGACCATCAACAGTAAAGGCATAAATAATACACAATGCACACTTATTACAAGTCATCAGAATTTCTAACCAAGGAACTTAAGGCTTCTCCATCACACCTAAGATAAATGCTTAAGATTTCAATAAAATTATATTTTTTAGTAAAGGTATACTAAAATGTGAGATTCAAGATAAGATTTGCAGTGTTATCAAAGTTATTTCTTAATTTTGTATAAAATGGTTTGAAAAATTAAGGAAGAAATATTGATGAACATGACAGATTTGTGACAAATGACAAAATTAATACATGTATATGAGAATGACATATGAACACATGAAAAAAAAAATGATGCAAAGGCATTCTCAATAATTAACAACTTAAATTAATTCTACTTAACAATCCAAGACAGTTCCTCTAAAGTTCATATTTTAAACAGACAAAGTAACCTGAGTTGAGAAATATTCTGTGTCCCTGCCACAATTTCAGTTGCATAATTTTTATTATTTAGATTTACTGCATATTGTATGATATTCCACAAGTTTTAAATTACATGTACATAGTAATGTCCCTTTATTTTTTGGCCTCTAACCTCTGTAAAGCTAAAATGGAGGACAATTATAATATGATAGTACTAAAACATATACTGTATAAAACACAGAAGATACTGCTGCCATGATGCTAGCAAATATTGTCGACATCACCATATTTACATCCGAAAAAAGAAAGTGTCAAGGAGGAATAGCACATTTTTTTAACGAAATTATGTCACGAAAAGATTCAATTTTGCATTAAATGTCCCATTCACTGTAACTGCAATCAGAGTAAATCAGAAATATAAAGTTCTCTCCTGGTAAATCAGAAATCAGGAGGGATCTTTACGGGTTTTTTCTTCAGCAGTTTTGCACTGAATGTCGTATTTTTCACTATATTAGGTTTTTGACATTAAATATTTGTAATATCAATATAAAATTTTCCAACCATTATATTTTGGCCAAGTGTGTTATACCTCCTTATATGTACATTGGTTTGTTACATTTCATAAATATTTATAAAACATGTTATGATTATTCAGAACTTTTATGATTATTCAGAACTTTTATGAATATATGAATAATCACAAAAATGGTGATGACTAACTGCACCACAGAAACCAATCTCCTCACTGTACAAATAACATCATACAAATTGTACTTGTCTACAATACTAACAGCTAAAATACAACAATATTTAAAAAAAAAAAAACACTCTCAACAGCAAATTATATACCCTGATATTATGCAATGGAAAAGTGACAATAAATACTAATTACCTACAAAATGTTGTGAATTTAATATTCAGAACTTGCTACAAATTAAAATTGTAAGGAATATTTCTTCCGCACTTTTTCATATTTAAAACATGTCTGACTCATAAAAAGAGCAATTTACTAAGAGAATAATTTTTTAAATATAAATTAACTCGTTTTAGAATACTAAATTTTGTTAAATGCAGGTACATATAGATCAATCATTCCTGCAGTACAGCATTAAGGACATGTAAAAACACAATAATATCAACATAAATCACATGTGTACTTGGAACAAAACTGGACAGGTCAATATTTGTACAACCTAGACTTGCATCACATTACTAATTTCTATGCACAGTAACGAAACCCCGGTCTTCAGGTACGAGGCAGTCTTGTTCCATTTGGAAAATCAGGGGCAGTAAACACAGAGTTTTATCTAGATGTGCACTTCCACTGTTTTTCAGTTAGGGATATTAAGGACACTTTGTTTCATCAACATGCTGTCTGGATGTAGCATGGACATTTAACAGTCAATCCTAGTGTTTAGAATGAGGTATATCAGGGGTCACATTCATCAAATGGATTTACATACAGATGCATTTATCAGTAGGTCACAGAATCCATTTCTCTGGATTGAGTGTGGTCATGTGATGAGGTGTTAATAAAGTGCACCAATCACATATTTTGTTACATTCAAGTGGATGAATGTCAGGTGATATGTTTAAGTGAATGTTATTGGCAGATTATGCTGCAAGTTTAAAGGATCACTTCTGTCAGGGCATGAATCCTGGTAATTTAAAATATGCATCCTGCATCATCCTCTCCATCTGAAAAAAGAAGAAGTAAATTTACAGCTTTTAAAATTTAATCATAAAAAAGGCACTGCAAAACAGATCATCCCTTTGCAAGAAACCTATGAAATGACATTGATCCCAGTGTAAATTATTACTAATACTTTTGTTAGGAACAAACTCACTCATCCACTTACACACTCAAAAGTGCATTAACTATCGGTATGTCTCCTCCAACTTCATTGCAAGGGGATAATTAAACTCTTGTATCTGACTGCATTAAATTACTTCATACAGTCTGGTACATGTGTTCAGCTCTAATTATAATACATATTTCTTTAATTGCTCTTTCTTCCAAATGCTTTTCATTATAATACATATAGGAATATCCTTCTTACATCAGTATCTGGACATTTTGGCAGCACACACATCCTCTTGGCCCTCCGCGCAGGACAAATCTGACCTCCCCTCTTTGGCCGTTTGATGATTGCTCGCCGCCTTTTCTGGACCGCATTATCACCACAGGTCTGTGAACATGGTGTCCATGGACCCCAATCTCCCATTTGACAATCAATAGCTACAAAAAAAAAATTCCATGTTTTAATCAATAATGGAAACTATTAAGGACAACCAAAAACATAAACAAGAAAAACAATTATTTCCTGCAAAGTATTTGTAAGTACATATTTTCAACATATTTTGTGAATTAAATACTTTTTGGGAATACATGATAAGACTTTTTTTTAATTCACAATGTAATTCAGAATTCTATATGGTCACCATCAGCAAATATTTCTTTGCATGTGGGACTCTGACTCACTTTGAAACACAAAAATTAAAATATAAGAAAACTGTCAAACAAATACTTACGACATTTTGATAATCTACACTTCCTGGTTTTGACCAGCCTCCTGGGACATCTTCGTCCTCCGTTTTCAGCTGGTACTTTAATTGTCCTTGTTTTTGTCATTGTGCCCCTCCCACACGTTACACTACACTGGCCCCAGTCTGACCATGCAGACACCATACAGTCTATAGCGGGCCCCAAACTAGGGTCATGGGGCTGAACGGGAGGGCGTGGTTTTAATGACTTTCCTTTTCCCTTTTTTCTCCCCCTCTTCCTTTTTTTATTTTTCCCCTTTCTGTTTTTCCTTTTTTTGTTCTTCTTTCCTTTTCCTTTCTTGGGTTTCTTGCTCTTGTTGACATTCATTCTTTTAATTGTGGTGACTTTGATGTCTCCTTCCATAGGAGTTAAGACTTCATTCCTGGAGTTGATCATAGCTGCAAAACAAAATTCTTGTGAATTTTTCTTTTTTATGCACTTTATCTTCTTTTGTCCAAAAAACTTGAGTGAAAACTCTTAGATATTTCTTTTCATTAGATAAAAAGATGCACAGAAGAATTTAATAACATAATTCAAAACTAAAAATGCAATTTTTCTCTCTAGAATTTCCAATCTGTAAACGCATTTATTTTACAGCAGATATGTTCATGTATAAATCTCTTATAAACATTTCTAAAATGTATCGTTTATAAGTAAGGTTTTGCTACATTATATATATATATGACAAATACATTATTTTAGCTATAAGGACTACAAGACTTTAGCTAGCAGAAGCTTGCGATAAGCAAATGGCTGCTGATAAAATATTTACGTTTACAGTTGCAACATTTTTTTTCACAACAAATTTCAAACAATTTTAATTTTTAGTTGCGTCTTTGGGTATTTAACTGTTAATGATGTAAATAAGAAATTGTACCCATGTGCTCTGTACAATACTTGTTGCAATCAGCCTCAATCTCAAATTTGTTATCGTTACCACGGCAACCACCATAGGAGAAAACCATGCAAGTTTTGTGAGTGGTGTTATAATACCAGCGAGGGAAATTTCCCCTACAGGGCCCAATGCTGGGCTTCATTTGACAGATAGCTGCAAGAAAAAATCACCGTCAACCTACTCATGCTAAACAATGTCTGAGTCTCATACAATTAATGTATTTAGTATTATTATTGATTTGTTGGTATTAAAATACACAAAAATTACAGTTAAATATTCATAGTTTGTTATTTATCATAAAATATCTTACACCAGTTTTGACATGCAATTACTTTACTATTAAACTGTGGAAACGGACATCTAAAACTCATTTCATTTGAACTCCTCATTGCAAGACTATAAATTATCCCTGTTAGCAATACATCCCAAAAGTTCTTCATCATTCTGGTAGACCCAACTTTGTATAAACTATTTACAAACTTTATAAAAAAGATTTAGAAATTATTTTTTGGGAACTAATCTCAAGGAGAAATGTGTCTCTAAAACCTTCACAAAAGACTGGGTAAAAAGCTTTTCAAAAAGGGTGCAGAGTATGCTATATTCAACAGTCTACAACTGGGCCATACTTGTGCAGCAGTGAGGTTATGACAGCCATTCAAAATTAAAAACCACTACTTGGTGCAGTGAAATTTTTGCATCCTAAAAAGGCATCAACAACAGAAATGTTACGAATTTTAAGACAAATTAGTTGACAAACGACACAAACAAGGGAGTCCTATTTCCACTGCAGGGGGGTGCAGTGCATCTTAAAATACCTGTGTAGTCTTTATTTTGGTGGGCCAAGCGACAGTCCACCTGGGCCCTACACAAATCTTTCTCCATCAGATGTATATCACACTTGCTGGTAGTATTACTCTTCTTTAAGAAATTCCTCCACCTCTCGCGAATCCCCATCCCACAAGTCTGACTGCAGGGAGACCAATCGCTCCAGTCAGTGATGGCACAAATGTCACTCGGATCTCGCTCAGTGGTGTCAATTTTAACTATAAAATCATCAGGTAACTGCTTGACTTTGCTCCCTGAACCTAGGTCTAAACACTCTCCTTGACATGACCTTGACTCCTCAAGGTCAATGCCACAAACTTCTGGCTGAATCTGAGGATTTTTCAGCAATCGTCTCCTTTCTTGCTTTCCATTTCCACACGAGTTACTGCAGACGGACCATTCCGTCCATTGTGTTGTTGCGCATTTCTCCTTTTCTGAAATTAAGGTAGTTAGGGTTAGCCAGTCTAAATTATGAGAACCGCGATCAGCCCCATGCAAAATCTAAAAAAAATCATCATTGTCATTCAATTCGTTAGTAAGTCAGAGTTAGGACATTAACAAACACACTGTACTGTGAACAAAAATCCCATCTATGGCAGAGAAACGAAAAATGTGAAGCAAAATAATGTTCACAGACTACTTTTTTTTTGGTGTCTGTTTTAAAAAAAAAATTCTTATTCATGTGTAACTCTGACAACTGCTAAAGCATATATGGCATGCGTCATGCAACAAAAAGATACTGATCCTGAGGAAAGCTTCTCTCTCTACATGGCGTGTAGATTTGTAAGACGCGCAAAATAATAAACAATGTACACAGACACAAACACAAATAACACCGCCCTATATTGTGTGAAAAAAATACATCACAACAGTGAAACACAGATTACTTACTGCTCTGTAGATATTTATCAGCTGTTAAATGAAAATGACAGCAATGGAAGAAGCAGGTCAGTGAAAGCATGAAGCAGAGTACAGCATAAGAGAAGTATAGAACAGCACGAAGAAGTAGATAGACCAATCACTAGACTTTTTTTTCACTACTTCAGACAGACAACCTATATTTAGTCCATTTTCTATCAAAATTACCACTAATTCTGTCATGCTTGCTTGAAAAAAAAAGTTTTCTTTCTTCTAATTTTCTTTTAATGCAATGAACAGGCTCCCAATGTGAATCAAATCAAAAGCCAAATTATAACCTCAGAATTTTGTTGAAACTTAACTGCAAGAGAATGGACTGACTACAGTAATTCCTAGAGCTCACACAAACTACTCAACACTCAGAAAAAGATCAACTCTACACAAAATCTCACAGCACACTCAACATTCGGTGAAAGATTAGAATCTACTTGGAATCTCACTGCTAGTGTCACACGGAGGAGCACAGTTTAGTCCAGATTCCTCCCAAATGTTGATCAAACTTACCTATCTTCTTCTTCATCATCATCTTCTTTTTCATCAGTTTTATCAGCTCTACTGTACTCATTGTTTTTTCATCGGAGTCTTTCTTTCCCCCATCCTTCGTACAGATGTCCTTGGTTTTCGTCAGTACCAGGCGAGCCATGGGTTTGATTGGGTGGTTGGAGAAGAAAGGTGAACCAGCATGGTTTGGTTTTCTGTTTGTAATACGCTGGATTTTTTCTTGAGGATCCGTTTCTATGTTGCTGTCCTAAAAAATGATTAATAATATTTCAAGAGTTATCTTTCTTGGAATGAATGCAGTTTAAAGATAAAACAGTATGACTTCATGTGAACCCATAAAATCTTTAATGTATTTTTAAAATAAAAGAAATATATTGGCAAAGAGTTGGACTAAGGTCATCTACAAGCTATATACAGTCAAACCTCATTATCTCGAACTCGATGGGACCGCGAAAAAACTTCGAGATATCCGAGGGTTTGAGATATCGAGGGTAAAATACTTAAAGAATAAGCGGTTGGGACTTCCAAATCACTTCGATATATCCATGGTATTCCAGATATCTGTGTTCAAGATACCGAAGTTCAACTGTATATACATCTGTTATATATTGTTTCCAACTGAGCTACCCAGTTTATGTTTACAACCCAAGACATCCCAGTCTCTTACAAAATAACTGATTCCACTGTCTGTCCCTGCGTCCCACGGGTAAAGGTCAATCGTCATTGAGTCTGCCCAGGTGCAATTCTGCATGCAGAGATCAACCTTGCTCACACCTATAAATACACAAAACTGTTTATAACCAATATCACTCACATCCGAAAAGAACAACATATATCAAGTATTAAAATTTGACTTTTCAAACTCCACATTCAAACTTACTGGTGTATAGATCTACACTTTTATGACAACTTACCTACACACCAGTCAGGACTAGGTCCTATCATGGTCAGTAGAGAGAACAGGTGCTTGCTGGTGTCCACCTGGAACTTAGCGGTCATCGTCCCTATGAGGTTATCCTCTCCCCACAAAGGAGGGGTTTTCAGTACTGTCTTAATGTTCTTGCTCTGAAAATCATAAAGCACATTGTAATTTCTAGGGGTTTTTTTTCTTGACTAAAATCAGCTGTGCAATTAGTATTGGAAATGTTTGCAATATTAATATTAGTGATACAAGTACATGTAAGTGTATATTAAATATGTCACAAGAAGAATACATCAGTTATGCCTCTAGTATCATTTTCTCTGATTGTTGGTCAAACTTTGCAAGCATTTAAACATCTTTTTTTCTCTAGCTTTCTCTTTTTCTGATCCAAACACATCAAAAGCTCTCACTTTAAAAATTATTTCAGCAGGAGTTATGTGTAATATCTATTATGTACCAAGGTATGATAAATCAAAAATTGTAAATAATTGTAAATATATACAAATATATAAACAGGTTGACAAAATAACTGATTGAAAATGTGTACCATAACTCAATTCTTCAAAGTTCTACTAAAGTGCATCTGCAGTACTTTAAGTTTCTGAAATTCAGATCGTTCAATTCGTGCATGAATTTGAATTATGTGAGCGTATCCTTGATCCATGGTCTAGAGGTCATGGGGTCCTCGGCTAATTTGTCATTAGTTACCACACCCAACTGAATACACCTATTTCTTACCTGTCAATTTTTAAAAATCCTCTGAAATTCTAGATGAATGCATTGTTGCAACCAACTGTGTCATTTACTACATTGAAAAGATATAAATGATGATCGGATTTATAATTTCTTGTGCCAAAAAATTGACACAACCTCAATGGAGAGTTTTAAATGTAGGGAGTTGTAATAGAATGTTTTATGAAAAATAATCAAATAAATATGATGGACTAGCAATAAACATCAGCCATAACTCTGATAAATGTACCACACATTGGAGAGCATTGAATTCCAGGCACACCACAACAGCTAGATTAATGACCAGAGAATTTTTATAGCATTAATGTATTACTCCATTCATCAGCTCAAAACACTCGATCAAAGCTGTTACAAAAATATCAAAAGGGCTGATACAAGGTTTGGGGTCCTCTACAGTAGATGTATTTTTCTAACACCAGGTCACATGATACGACCCCCACCCCCACCTCCCACCCATTCCCTCCCCCACCCCAAAAGTGATATATGATTTAAAGATATATATACCTTTGGGATTGTAGTTATCAAAGAGAACATTGTACTGCAGAGCCATAGTGTACTGAATCATGAATCATGTACAAACAAAATTTCAATAAATCTTAATTAACAGATGCACATTCTCACCCTTGCAGCAGTAATTATCACTAAGTTGCACAACATGGCAGTTTTATTGCATTTCTATCAATGGCAGCATGTATATAAAGAGTTAATGTAGACAGAAGAGTTTGTTAAATCAAGCAGAATTTAGCACACATATCCATCTGCTTGAATTATTTTCAAGAAAAGTTATCACCTGAATAATCCTTGCTGTCAAGAGCTTCCATGACACTGAGTAATATCAACACTTTTCAAGGCAGTTTTCATCTATTTTTCTCCAAATAACTCTACGTTTATAGAGCTTACATCAAAATTCCCAATAAAAATATCTTTCCAAGTTCTAATTATACTTTTTTCATATATGGTTCTTCAAAACACATATAGACATTCACGAGCAAAAGAAATTTAGGGTACAAAAAAAAGACAGATCTCAATTGAAAATGAAGCAAGCTATCTTATATTGTCTATGGTTTTGAATAACCTTCAAAATGTGAAAGTAAAAAAAAAATATCATTCTTCATCTTAATGCTCGTATTTCAGGCTTGCTTCACTTCTATAAATCTTCAACAGTGTATATGGCTTTGGATGACTTAATCTTTCTATTAAAAAAACTCAAAGAAATTTATGAATAATTCATTCTCTCCTCATCAATGAAAGCCTTTGAATGTCCTCATTAATGTCTGGCTGATTAATGTTTAGAGCTAAATTCATACTCATTAACAAATTAATTTCTTGTTTACTGGTCAAAATAAAAATTCTTAAAGGGATTTGCTTGCTTTACTTATACATGTAGTAAATATGTTAAAAAGGTTATATGGGGATAATGCTACTATCAGCTCTTACAATAAGAGGGACAAGAACTTTGTTTTTATAATAACAATCTTTTAAAAGAAAAGAACCTTGACCTTGACCTTCAACATGGTGACCAAATAACTGATATTGCTTCAAAACTTAAATTCAAGTTTAATCAACAAAAAGATTAAAGTTGGAAAGATATTTGATATCTATAATTTACCTTTCTGCTGTTTATGATATTACCTATGTAAAAATTCTTATGTAATATTATAGCAGAAAGGTCATTGCAGTAAGGAGGCTTTTTAAAACCATGCACAAAAAAGATTAATGGTCACTGATAGAAATTTTAAAGACAAACGCCTGTGTTACTTTATTTATAATTCTCCATCCATTATTTTTAAGACCAAATTACATTTTTTATCAAAAATACAAGAATAAATGTTTTACATATTTTGCAGATTGCTTAAAGCCACTTCCAGAAAACAAGCTTGTATGGGGAAAAAATATGAATTGAAAATAACAGTAGATCATTATAAACTAAAATTTGCTCTCACAAATATACATAATTATATGGTAGTAGAGTCCAAACCCATTGAGCTTTTCTTCTGCCAATTACAAAAAACCCTAGATTTTCTTTGAAGAGCTTCATTACATGAGCATGCCTTGCTGAGTCTCAATACAGTAATATCTTCAGTTTCATGCTCGAGTGAGATCCTAACACATTTGTCATAACTCGAGCTCTCTCTTCTTTCATCTTCTTTATCGCATAAAGGTAGTATAAAAGCAATTATTTGATAACAAAATAGTCTAGATCATTTAATTTCCTTCATTTTTTTTTGCAAGATGAATCTAATTGGTATATTGTACTATCATATACTACGGAAAAAATAAATAGTCTAGACATAAGAAATTTGTGGGGGATAACTATGTTAAATGATAAATCATGATAATTTATTGGCATGTTAAAAAAATTAAATTTATAGAATTAATCATGCACTTAATTAAGAGTTCCTTTGTACTTCTTGCTATAGCTTTTCACTTCATGCAGAAAAAATGTGGTTGGAAATAAATTTCAAAGAATCTATTTCTGTGACATCAACAAATGATGTTTTCATCAGAAAAGTACATTTTTATTGCTAAACCTTTTCCTAAACAATTCTACAAATTCTTCTCCCATTTCATTTTATGTTTGAACTTAATTACAGATGCTCTACATCAAACATTCTTCTCTTTAAATAAGAGAGACGTCATGAAAAATGCAGAAAACAAGGTTAACATCAAAAATTAATGTTCCCAATAAAAACGGACAGGAGCTAATTCAGGATAAATTAAAATTCCTTCTTTTCATTTTTCATGGGCTCAAAGATAAATTACTGTACATATTAAGTTATATTTTGAGGTATTATTTGAAAATGGGTCAGGGGTCTTCTTATGCCCTACAGTAAAGATTTTTTTTTTGGGGGGGGGGGGGGGGGTAGGGGGTTGAGTCTTAACTGTTGAGTCTGCACTCAAAGATTTGGTTGAAATACCTCTGTACCTGACTGACTCTTAGTGCAGGCCACTTGCCCTTTGATATCTTTGTGTTCACATCCAAATCCAAAATGTGACCACAACCAATCAAACTGAATCTGCCTTATGGTATGAACTTCATTGTACGAAGTCTTTGTGACTTGCTGATCTTTTTCTCCAGTGAATATTTTTTTTACCATAGCTATTGAGATTCAATTCAAATAATGTGGTTATCTAACCCATACAATATGCAAATTTTCATAAATGAAGCATCTAAAAAGATTTCAAACGCAAATGAAAATGACCAAATCATGACCTCATATTTCAGGTGACAAAGTCTGAAAAAGGACCAGGAGTGGTATATGTGGAATAAAATGAATAAAATTACGTCTGAGACCTTATTTTGACCTCTGTCATAGTTTTCTGGGATTACGAAAGGTTGGTCTGGGATTAGGGTCTGACAATGTTAACACAATCATCTCCATTATAAAGCACTATATCGTGATGGCAGTGCAATTTCTCTCTTTCTAAAATATCATGATAGATGAACAGGGTATGAATAGAGAACCCCCTTTCATATCTTTAAAAGGACTTGGCTTTTAAAATATTCTTTCATAAACCAACAAAAATTGTTGCAATTTTTAAAATTTGTTTTTGATCGTTTGTTTGAAATTTGATGAATCCCAGATATGTATTGATTGTTAGCCCCTAAGTCTACCTGATTGTTAATGTATACAATTTAAATAAAATTTTTGTCAATTAAAACAGTCATAACAATTGCTCAATTTGTCGCCAAACAAATATGCACCGTCATGCTTTCAGAAGTTCATGAAGTCATTTCGATAATACACTTCTTACACTGGAGGACGGTATAATTGCAGATTTATTTCATATTTCTACCTGTACATAAATAAATGTCTTAATTTCCTTCTGAACAAATGTTTTCAGGCTTTTTATGGGGTGTGAGAAGAGTAAATCGCAGATTGAAATAACTGTATGTTGATTGACACATAGTCAGACTGGTGCCGTAACATACATTAACCCCATCTATTGAGGTATACCCCCTTTACGTGCAATAACTTATACAATGTAAAAATACTCCCATCTCAAGGATAATTTCATATCTGATTACTGAAGCAAGTAACTGTTTTGAAGACCTCTCCATGGTGTTTGGGGTATTACCATCAAAGAAGAATTTTTATTGGCCAATTATATTCTTTTTGACTCAGTAATACTTAAATGCTAAAAAGAAATTTTCACAGGATGTGCAATATGTGAGATTACCCAAAGGGTTGATACACCCACAATATGTAGGTAGCTCCATAGTCATCCCTAGTGAACAACACAAACAAACATTACTCACAAATTTTTTTTGAAAAATATATCTAAGACTTCCTTCAAATACCATACATTTTTAATAGCTCATTTTGGAATCCCGGAACACCTACAAACATTTGCTCTTTACATCACTTAATGCTGATTTCTGATATGTTTTAATGTCTTCTTTCATCCTTTAAGAAAATGTTATTTTCCTGTGTTTTATGTTTCGTGATAATGTTTGGCCAAAAGGCTTTCAAAAGATTTAGTCATTCAAAAATTTGAATTTTAAAATCAACATGCTGTTGATATAAATAATTAAAACAAATGTACTTTAACCCTAAGCTGATTTCAATCCTTTTTAACCTTTCGAAACCAAGATAACATATTTGAACATCCTTGAATTTTAATTGAAAAATACTTACATTTTTCTTGAATTCGGTCTCCAGATTGTTGGAGAAGCCATATTCGCAGACCTCCTTGACTCCCCTCGAGGCGTATTTCCCATATTCCCACACTGTGTAGTCATTTGTGTGAGAGGCCCCAACAATGCTTGACCAGTGGAGTTGAACTTTTTGCACTAAAATTAAATTTTATTAAAATTTGAAATTACTACACGAGCGAATTTAATAAATGATTTACTTCAGTCCCAAACATATAAAAATTTGCCAACAGGCACCTGATTTTCTACTTGCAAGACTTAATTTGCAAACTGCTCTAAAAATTACTTTCATCTATTTTCCCTTGTACAGTACGTGTATAAGGGTATAATCCAAAAGTACTTTTCTCCTGTTAGCTAGGCTAGCTGGTACAATACATTTCATAAGATCAAAGTCTCATTAAAATTCATGTCAACGAAAGAAGGAATCAATTTCAGAATTTTCCCATGAAAAAAGAACACAGAAAGAGAAAAATTCAGAGAAATCCTTAAAAACAGCTGATCTTCATATTTCTGAGTAAATGCCTTTCTATCAATAACCTATTTAGTGTATTTATGTGTCAGGCCCTGATTTTTTACAATGCGGAACAAGATAAGATGGGGATCAATCTCATAAAAATTCTAAGAGTTGTAAAGAACGTGTTCCTTGTCTTTCCAATCTGATTCCACAGAAGAAAAGAACCCCGATAACCTTTTGAAATATAATTCAATAAGTGATAACCTAATAAAAAATACCCATCATTCCTAGGTAATATGCATGTAATCGTTATTGATAATACTCATTTCTATGGCAGAAATTTTTACTTAGCTTTCCAGTAGAAATAGAATGATAAAAGACAAAAAAAAAATCACATAAAATTGAAGTAATGTACATATAACCACCTGTTTAGATATTGTGAATTGATAAACCCTGCCTTGTAAATGTCAGATATGGTTAATATAATTGTATCTAGTGTAAAGTAATAACAGTGGGCTCTCAAAAATATGAAAATCTCTTTTGATATAACTTAAACATTAAAGAATAGTCATAATAAAAAAATTATCAGAAAAAAAATCTGGTCCGTCAACTGTGCTCTGATAAATATGAAATAACTCGGTTGTTAGTTGACTATAGTGTAAAATTCTAATATTAGACTTTGATTGGTAAAAATGGTTGTTGTTGAGTAACATATCATTTCACTCCCCGATGAATTCGGACAAACATATCTCTTCACGTCAGATACGATCTTTCAATAAATTTCTCAATGGGCACAATGGGGAAATATTAGTTATATCACTTAAAGATATTTTATCTATAAGGAGATTAACCCCTCTGAATAGGCAAAACATAGATAGGATAACAAACCGGGAACCTCTAAGCAAACTCAGTTGGCAAGCCTCTCTCTGGAATCAATATTAAGGGACCCCTTGTTCCCCATGAAGTGCATTAAATTCTTATCACCTTGTCAAAAGCTATGACAAATGACTCCCCCAAAACATTTTTCTTTATCCCTGGAAGTCAGAAACCAAAAATTGTCAGCTGTCACTGTGTCTGTTCATTTTGCTGGGGTGCTCCATTTTGTTTGAGGAAAGACCCCAAACCCACGTAGGAGGTGGGGCATAATGCAGTTTACAATAGATTAAGATTTTCAAGTGACTTCATGGGGAGAACTCATTAACTTTTCTTCTCCAAGCAAAACATTTGGTGTATGAAACAGAAAGGAACCATTTAACACTTAAATTTCTAATGTCATTTCTAAATCACGAAAAAAAACACAGTGACCTCAAGCTCTCTGAAATACAACTCGACTTACCAAAAATATTTTCTTTCATTAAAAGAAATGTATTAAAATTGATAAGGCTGTTTGTAGGTTAAATTAATCTCATCTTAAATAGATACATTAGGCTCTAGGTTATAATCATGATAGGATGATAAATAAATTCATTTCAACTTTTTTGAAGAAACACCCCAGAATCCTAGTGCAATAAATTCATCATTCCCTTTTTTCCAGATAAAAATATCCTTGATTTTAAGCATATTCTAAAAACTAATTCTTTTTTTCTGACAAAAATTATCATATTTACATACATTTCAGCATTGAACTCGAGTGGACCAATTATTAACCAACTAATTTGATGCATTGCAGAAAGGCATTAAGTATACTGAGAAAAAGAATGAGATTTTGTTGATAGCTTCAACGGTAATGAGATGGAAGAATGCTAACGATTTTAGACACCTGTAAGGCTGAATGCATGAATGTTTTGTTTATGACATGCTCTTAATTGCTTTGTAGTGATGTTACTAACTTTTCTCATCATCGCTATATGTCGACTACTCAGTGGCAATTTAGGCAGTTGTCAAGTAACTGATTTACAGTAAGAAAATTAATGAAAAAGTTTCAGTTTGTCTACATTTGTTACCAAGTTAAAACTGAGCAAAGACAAAAATAATCTCTTTCAGGCATTGCTATAAAAAGCTTGACAGAATACAAGCTATAGTAGTTAATTGATTTATTCTTATTTGTATTAAGTTGAAAATTTGAGGAAAAAGCAGTTTCTCATGGTAATATTTCAGAATGTATAGACTTTTTTAAATTCATGTCATCATATCACATTAGATATACTTTGAAATGTCTCTGTTAAGAATCAAGCCCTAATTTCATCAGTAAGTGGACTCTGCAATGGTAAGTAAATAAATGATTTATTATAGTATATTTGATAAAAATTTTATACTTAAAACACCCAGCCCACTGAACCTATATGTCACTCTATGCCTAGGCCCCTAAGATCATATTGGATCATAGTCTCAGTATCCTAGAAAATTTGCTTGGAGGCAGATTGTCCTTAATTGCTGGGATACACATAATAATCACAGTTATAGTACTTACATTCATCAATAGGGAATCCCTTGGGGTGGGTCTGTCGAGACCAGAGACCCTGGAAGTGCATCTTATACCGTGCCTCCCCACAAGCACAGCACTGACTGGCTGGCTCCACCTGAGGCCCTCCCTGAGCTGTGGCATCCCCCAGTGGGGCCTGTATTGGGACTGAAAGACAATGAATCAAAGATGTAATTTATCATATTCCAAACATTTAATTATAATCAATTAATTATGACGATATGATTTTAAATACAGTCAAACCTTATCTTGAACTCAATGGGACCGAGAAAAAACTTTGAGATATCTGAGGATTTGAGATTTGAGGGTAAAATAGTTAAAGAATTAGGGGTTGGGACTTCCAAATCACTTTGACATATCCATGGTATTTGAGATATCAGTGTTTGAGATACTGAAGTTCAACTGTACCTTTATATTAATATATGTATATAATAGTACATTATAAACTTGTGAAGTAAATTGTTTCCCTATGCAATTTTTGCCATAGACCATTTTGATATAATTTCATCCTGTTTTATACATTTTGTTGAATTAACCCTGTTTTGATTTTAATCATGCTAAAAAGGCAATCATAAATTTAAGGCCAAAAGTTCTCAGTGCATGTATATGCTAGTTTATGAGCTGTGGGGGCACACAATACCATTACATTACCCAAAGAAAGGTCCATTCTGCTTTCAGATCATTAATGCTTTGTTCAAAGACAACAGTCTCTGTGACCTAGGCCATCCAAAATATTTGTTGACAAAAAGATATCATAAAACTATGAAGTAATAAGGTTTTTGTTTATGAAGATTATTAGTCGTCAGTTGAAAGAAAGACTTCTGATACAACAAAAGGTAATTGTCCATTTAAAATTTATCAGCAAGAATAAATCTTTTGAATGACCTGTGTCTAATACATATGACACCCAATTACCAGGTCAGAAAGTAAATAAACAGACCATTATGAACTCGTCTCTCTTTCTGAACATCATGACTTTATAAACTGTAATTAAAAACGGACCAATAATTCATACATAACTGCGACTCAAAAATCTACAGTGACTGTCGAGGCATTTTTCTACAGACGTAATTACAGGTTTTCGTGACACAGTAGCGGTTCAGGAGTTGCCTGTTGATGCTATGTAGACTTGCCGTCTTTCGGATGTGACCTTAAGACTACTATTCTGGGACAGATTATGTCTGATTGGGTGGGGAGACAATTTTGAGCTACCATTTCTCATTGGTAGAAATCAATGTCATTACTCCGAGAATATGTCTGTTAAAATTGAGAAAACCGTACACATCTTAAAGATACCTTTCTTCTAATTTACAAACTTCCGATAAAATTCATTTAAATTTGTATCCAGTTACCAAATCATTACATTCCATACATTCACCTATGAAACTGTCAATAAAAATACATAATGAAGTTCTATTTAAATATTTCTAATATAGATGAAACTTAATGTTACCTCATAAAATAGATGATGTAACAACAAAAAAGGCATTTTATAGTTATATTAACATCATACAAGAAGTGTAAGTGTGTATACTTTGAACTTAATTGCATTTTAACATCGTGTCTGGAGTAGATGCAATTTCATGATGATGTGCGACTATTTGTAAATATTTACTGAGGTGAAAACTTGTCTGAAATTGTAAAGCATAAAAATAAAATGCAATGTGCCAATGAACATTTCTGACATGGTAAAAAACAAGCTATATTATATTAAACTATGTCTCAGTTTTCATACTGCTATAAAAATATAAAACATCAGTTATGACACAAAAAAATTCAAGTAAGATGGCAAATCCATTCAATATTTAAAGACAGAATTCATCAATTAGGAAATAAAACTAATCTAAAAACTTTTTTAATCATACATAAATTTGCATGTTTGATGTCTCCATCAAAATTTTGCAAAATTAATTTATAATACTTTATTGGCACTCATATCCTACATTTTATGAAGCCAGTATGATAAAATATCTCCAACAACCAAGCAACTGCTAATTACTCAAACATTTCTGTTGGTTCCTTAATAAACAGTACTGTATTTGCTTTTTGTATTTTCAGCAAATCAAAGGTGAAAATAAAACAGAGGCCAAATAGTGACACTTTATCAGCTACCAGTTGTGATTTCTCACAATACAATCGGCTGGATCCATGATATACACTAACTAAACTAACTCTTGCAAGATAAAAATTGGGACTCATTCACCAGAAATCTTGAAAATGGCTTAATTCTTAGTCTCATTTGTCATTTTTATGTTTCTTTTTCCTAGTGAGTGTTTCCAGTACATTAGCATCTGCTGTAATGAAAGTCAATGTCTTTTTTAAGCAAATGATGTTAACATGGGGGCGAATATACAGGCCAAAAATCTTGACTTAACAACAAATCAAATATTTTAAAACAGATAAAGAAACTTTTTTCCTTGTTTTCTTTTTAGATCACTAACTTCTATAAATGAACAACAGTTTCATTTTTACTAATAATCATGCCAATGTTTATTGCAAGTGTTGGTATCAAATTGGAATTTCTAATGTTCAAGAGAATTCAAGTGTTCCATGGCAAAACTTTACATCAGAAACTACTTTTAAAAACAGGTGTCTAATTCTATAGAATCTTTACAGCTCTTGACTTTGATGTTACAGTTCAGGGGATCACTTTATCATAAAAATCTAGAAGTTTTTAATGACCTTAACAAGTAGATACCAAACTTTTATAATCTTTGGGTTTTGAACATTTAAGAAATGCCTGCTTGTTTACGCATCACAATGTATGATAGAACAAATGTTCTAACTTATCTCTTACATCTAAATTATGCTTTACAGAAAAAAAGGTTGTTGACTTTACACTAGAATTTATTTTAAATTTAATAAAATATATGTTATTGTATGGACTATAGTTTCCAAAGTCTACAATAATTGTAAATGAATATCTGAAGAACCCTTTTTTCAAAGCCTCAGCTAGCTCAACATTATAAAGCATCATTTCTTTTATACACAGTTGAAATTTAAGTACATGTGTATCTTGAACATCAATATCGCCATTATACCATAGATATGTCAGAGTGAGTTGGAAATCCTAACCACTTTTTCTTTATGTATTAAAACCTCAAAATCTCAAATCCTCTGATATCTTCAAGCTTTTTTATCAACTTTATCGATCCAGGCTTGACTTTTATAATTTTACTTTATAAAGATGCTTACCATCCTCGCACACTTTGTATGTCAAGCCACCATCATCTTTGAACCAGATATCTGGATGTTCTGATATCACAGTACCTCTACAAAAATATCAGATATTATATTTTAAAGATACATTACTCTTTTATACAGTGGATTTAGCTCATATGATATCGTTTTCATAACAACAGTTGTGACATCACAATGGATTTTTGCATTAAAGTGATAGTCAAATGAAGTGAATTCACACATAAAATCAGAGTGAAATAATTGATAGCTATATGTAAAACATGATAAAAAGAATCTCCAATTGGTTTGTAGTTGGATATGATTTTTTTTACTCTTGACAAGTCTACTGAACCATCATTTGAATATTAGCTTCCAAAATTGTGAATTTCATGGCCCAGGGTCAGGGGTTCTGGTGTTAGGGCGGGGCTCTAATGCAAAAAATTTTATTTCGACACATCTTCATCTTGACACCAGTATTTAAATTCACAATGATTGAAACTGAATGTCATCGAATTAAACAATAGGGTCCTGATCTATTTCTTTTTCTTGATACCTGAGGTTTACAATCAATTAACTAGATATCATTGAGATGGTGGCCATCTCAAAGGGTCCCGCTTTCAGCAACAAACATGAAAATGTAAGGTAGCTGAAAAGGGTTTATTTTGAAGAGGAACACTTGTGTACTATTAAGGGATGTGTTGTTTGAGTCTAAAGGGCTTATATGTCATCCTTGTTACAATAAAAAATGGCACGAAAATCACGAGTGCTCCATACCCTCTATCAAAAAGCGGCACAAAAATCACAAATGTTGCATATCCTCTCTGAAAACTGTTGCATATATATCAAAATACGGAAGGAAAATCAGAAATGTTCTGTACCCTAAGTCAATTGGTAAAGTTTGAGGCTGACTGGACTTAAGAGAAAGAAACCATGCACCTAACAAAGATTTTAAACAGAGAGGCTATTTTTGACCTTGACCCTTGACCTAGAAACTTCGTTCAAGGTCACTGTACATCCACTGACCAGTGCCACTCTGAGAGTGTAGTATGAGCCACATTGGACCAAAAGGAGAGAAGATATGCTCCGGACAAGGATTTTTCATATAATTCTGCTGTGACCTTTACCTTAGACCTAGAAACATGGTTCAAGGTCACTGCACACCCTTTACCCAAAGACACTCTGTGGGTGAAGAATGAGCCAGATTGGGCCAAGGAGAGAGAAGATATGCTCTGGACAAGAGATCTCGGACGGACGGACAGACTGATCACTATAGGGCGCCCGCAGAGCGGGGCCCTAATTAAATAATAATTGTACATCAATTAAAATACAATCATGACAAACATATATCTAATCCTTTTTTATAACTTGCAAGGGGAAAAGTCAAACAGATCAAATGGTGCCAAAGGCATGTCTAGATTACATGTCACTAGGCAATTTATAGAAACCAGTTTTTAAATTTAAACAATTCTAAATTACATATATTTGTCAAAAGCATAACAGGACAAGCAATCAAGTTTTGGGTAATTTCCATGATAGTTATAAGCAGGTTTTGATGACTTTACAAATTCAATTTCGACATTTATTCCAACCAATTGAGTTTATTGAAATAAGCCAATAATTGGCCAATTACAAATTATCGTATTGAATCTTCAGAAGATTTACACAATTCTACCTCAATTTAAATGTGTAATTTCTCACACCCAACAATGTCATAGAGACCAATCAACATTTTTTTGCCTTGCAACATTTCAAAATTACAAAATTCTTATCCTTCCACAACAAGTCAATTATGTAATAATTTCCTAATTCCGAATAATAAATGCTAAATCTCCTGAACTAAGCCCACTCCAAACTCCTGAATGTCTTGGTGATCTGGTGGCCTTTTGTCTGGTTCCCCTGACCATGGTTAAGTAGCACACCTGGTATGACTATGGGGAGTTGGAGATTAGGATCAACAGCTTATTTTTTTATTCATATGTAACCCTGATCAATGATTCTTACTGCATTTTTATGGTACTTATTTACATAACAGTCAAGATACGGTATATCCCTAATTTGGAGATCATTGTATACAGCATTAATATGGTTCGAGGATCTTGTATAAATTAACTACTGAAATATACGCCATGTGATACACCATATACCATAAGTATATTGCTAAATAAGTAAACTTTACAATGGTAAATTATCTTTTTTTTTTTCATGCTAAAGATTTTTTATCACATTTCTTAAAAATTCTTTCTCCATATCTGTAATAATAAACCCTTTCATCATGTTCATTATAAGACCTAAAATCTTTAGTAAAACCTGGCAGTCAACAAGCAGACTTAAATTCTTGAATAAGTTTACTCTAAAAGGTTGTCCTCTTCCCTGAGAAAGAGCAATTCTACAGAAATAAAAATTCTTTTTTAAATGATCAAAAATATGTGCGAACAATGAATAAAACCTTCTGGCTACTTCAGTGATTTTACTTCCCAAAACAAGCCTGGATCACATGATCCGACTCCAACATATGCAAAGAAAATATTTTAATCACAACACCATCAGTGATAGAAGAAGTTTTTTTTAAAGATTTTACATGTCTGCACATCAAAAAGTCACAATAACCTTCGGAAGTCTGTTTGAATTCCCTAAAGCAAGTGTATCTATGTGTTATTATCATTAAGAATAAAAAAAGTACATGGTTCTTAAATTCATAGCTTCAAAAATGTTGAATATTGCATCCCCAGGCAGTGTGAAATTTAATTTCCATTTAGGGTTAGCATGAGAAATTATTTCGTTATCTAATGTTAAGGCTGGGACACACTTGATGTATCGAATGGAGGTCAACCTGATAGAAATCACTGCCAGGAATTTGTCAGCAGAATTATTTTTGTCTCTGAATTAAATAAAATATTAAAATATACAGAAATATGCTGCACCAGCAGGTACACACCAGATGAATGAGATTTCTCATCCATTTTTTATTTCTTTAAATGTGCCTTTAAAAAAAAATGGTGTTTTTATCACTGTGAACTTTTAATAAAATCTAGTATCAGTTCCAAGTGTACTTTAATTGGACACTTCATCTAATGGGGACCAAAAGATGTGAGCTCTGATCTCCTATGATCTGCTCTGATCTTATTTTATGCATTTGAAAAACAAAATTTTAGAAATCGTCCTAGTGCTTGTGCTGTAAAAACTTGTTTAAAACAGTTTGATTGTCATTTGAAGATACTAAATATGACAACTGAAAATAGCTCAAGATATGATATCATGATTTTTAAAGCTGCATATAGCTAAAATTTCTAAAGATTACTTAGTTCCTTCTAAAAGACACCACTTGATTCTCTAGAATGAAGTTTTATGGCATACATGAAGTTTCTCTCTCTCTCTCTTTCTCTTAAATAGAAACTGATTGTGATTTGATCTGTCTTACTGTCAATTTATTTGCCTTTTTGGTTTAAGTGCAAAGGAGTAAACTGACTACTGTTGAAATAATTAAGGTACCTTGAAGAAGAATACTATATCGTGCTCCCTTGTCATCCTTATTTTAGCAGTAACCTTATTTTAGTCCTACTTGCACCCACTTCATTCTGCTACTCACTTTTCCCTTCATTTCAGCATTCAACAAAAGAATAATAAAAATGACCCCCACCCCCCAAAAATGCAGTAAATTCATTTTTTTTCATCACATTTCAATATTTCATTGTTGTACTAATGAAATTCCTTTTCTTTTACTCACTGCTTAAAAATGTGCAGCTGTAAGGATTATTTGATATGTATCTGATATACTTCAGTATCACAGTATATTTAAGCCCTTAAGAAATTCTACAATGTCTGGTCTAGTACTTTTACTTCTACTGATACTTTTGTTTTCATAATCCCCTCAAACCTCCCAAAAAGATGGCCTGTAGATTTTTAAGACTTAATAAAGAAAAAGAACATCGAACTCTGGTCTCGAGGTCTGTGAAATCTGACAGTAATTTGTAAGATTGTAAGATCTGATAAAGATCTGTGATATCAGGTGCTTGCCATTTAACATTGCATGGACAGTTAGTAAACACTCGGGGATAGGCCATGTCATCTTTTTGTCTGCACTGAGCTGTTCTTCTCAGCTTTCATTCAATTTCCAAATTAGCACATCGGGAGAGAGGGACTCTTCACTACGGGGATCTTTTTCTGATAATGACGGGCTCTGAGACTGTAAACTACTGGACTGACAAATTGGCATTGACTCTACACTACAGAATTATGACATATCCAAACAAGCCAGCCCGCTAATCTGACAGCATGAAGTAAACATTAAATAAATGTTCCAATTAAGATGGACTGGTCTATAGAAGTTGACAGTCATTTTATGTTTGACAGTCCTGTTAAAGCTACCCTATTGGCCTATCATTTAAGACCATCACTATATAGCAATTCAGATCATTTACAAAACATGGCTTGAGGTGAAAAATTATGCCTATTTTTTTTCTTATTTTAATTCTTTTTTCCCCAGCAGCCCTACCAAACATTGTGAAATGTTACCCACTGTAATATACGAAAGTGTAATGAAAGCATTGACATTGCATGACTTCACTGCACTACAAGGAAGTGTTTTATTTTTTGATTTTGTTATAGTCTTATTGATTTCTAACAGAATAGAGAGACAGCAAAGACAATTTTTTTAATGTACAGTTTTATGATTCCATTGAGAAAACTTTGGGAGGAAAGATTTTCCCAACTTTACAGTGCACAATCAGCAAATTAGCATTGGCTATCAGTTTCAAACTTTAATTCATTGATTTTGTGCACCAATTACCTTCATTTCCACTAGTTGACGTGTGTTTAAGTGCACCACCTAGGTCACAGTTAACTCATTAATCGGAACGCCCCCTCTTAAATTGGTTTTTCTTCTACCACTAGGTGGCACTAACAGATTTCTGAGGTCATCAAGGTCACCACAATGGTTGAATGATTGACAGATAACATGGCTGCTGATGCGCAGAACAAATGTGTCACCCTTAAACTGATGTATGTCGTAGACATCTGACCAGCTTAGAGTGGACAGTACAAATGTCTACTTTCAGAAGCTTACATATTTTAAATGCTAAATGAGATGGATTGACAAAAATAGCCATCATCTTGGCAAGCACGGAGCATGAGATTTATCGAGTGGCAACACTATAATGTATGGCCTAGTATGTCATACAGTCTTATACCACATAGAATGCAGGTGTTGTTTGTTGAAGAAAAGAGAAAATAAAATATTAATTAAGAACTGACCAAAATAATGGCATACTTTCAATGATGTATTGATGTAATGCCTAACTTGTAAAATTTGAATATTTTCTCTCCTTTGCTTGAATAGATTCTTGTTGAAATAGCTGCTCATCCTGTTTAGTTTGACATACTACAAATCATATTTCATAAACCTCATAAACTCAACACAGCATAAAGTCAAGGCCATGCTAGATCTGTCACAGTAGCCACATGTTTTTTACAGATTTACTGCAAAAGTGTTACCATAATAAAATTCCAGAGCAATAAATTGCATTATTTCATGCACATTTTTAATGTAAGTTGAATGTAAGAAGTTGAAATGGCACAAAATCCAAAATTATGGCTAGTCTTTCAAGTTTCATTTTTTTTTATCCTAGTATGGCATGCCGATTTACAACAGTAGTTAAAAATAAAATACATCAAAAACTGCTGAAAATTTGCTCACCAAACTTAAAAATTGCAGTCTACATCGTAGATCACTTCATTTATTATGAATAATAACATTATCTGCACATTAGCGCTTGTTTATGAGACAGAGTGTAGAACAAAACTTTTTTTTCTCAATTAACTCTTAAATATTTGAAATTAGAATGATTTGAATTATTTCAATCCTCTGCTTTAAAACTGGCATTTTTACTATTTTTGATGCTTAAAAAGCATCCAAAAGCTATTTCTAAATGATAAATGAAGCATTCAAACCTTCTACTTATTGTCATATTCTTTAAAGATAAATTTGATTTACTCTTCTTTACGTACATAAAGAAATTAAGGAAAAGATAAAAAGAAATCTCATTATTGAATGGCATGCGGTGTAAATATATCTCACTGCTTAATTAAAACATCAGCATTCTGCCAAAAATCAAAGATTTACGATATTATTTAGTATACTGATCATTTTCTCCTCGACTGACGAGCTCAATGGCTCATAGAGAGCCTAGCCTTGAGATTGCAGGAGATGGGATGTTTTTACAGGAAACAAACTTAAATACATGTTCTTCATCTATAAAGACATATTAATGGAACTTTAATCTAATATTCATTACGTTCATTCATAATAATGAATGTATAAATCTTTCTGTAGATATTTTCACGCAATAAAATTCAAAAACTCTTTTTGTGACATCTGAATCACAGACTAAGATGCAACATTAAACAAATATTCTGCACGATTTTTTTCCCCTCTGGATTCAACAAATTCTGTGAGTACACTCATGAAATTAACCATAACTTTCTTTCTATCTATACATCCATATTGTCTTTCATGTTTAATAAATAAATTGAGCAATAAATTGGATCCCCATTCATATGCTGTGTAAGCCTCCTATATATAAGATACATCAATTGTTGAAAACCTGATGAATGAATTACTCAATGAATTTTTTTTACATCCTCCCCTGCACACGAGTCGCCGCTGCCGAGATAAACTAATCTCGACAAGCTCTTTAACAGGAAGTTAAAACCGTTTTAATTTCTGCCATTAGAACCCCATCAACTTGTGATAAGTAATGGCTAATCACACGAGTGTTTGATATCGGCTGCGGAGTGTTTGATATTTGCTGTGGACCTGCAGCCTGCTGCTGGCCACAGTTCTTTTTTCAGATACCTATAATCAGGGAGCACAGACTCAAGACTCCTGAAAATCCATTCAAGTCTTCTGTTCCACAATCAGCAGATCATGTTATTGTGCAGATCAAATGCTTTTATGCCTCATCACCAGAGGATATTGCATATAAACCTTAATTTTAATGACGCCATTTAGAGACACTTTATCTGTTTATCCTTTTCTTGTTTTCGTAATTAGTTTTTGTTATCTTTACATTGTCCAGAATTTTAAGTCTGGTTATACACAAAAAAACAATAAACAGCCTGCAAACAGATATTATTTAAGCCCACACTGTCCAGATTCTTAAATTAATTACTTGGAATAAGAACAATTAATGCTCTTACAAATAGACATCAAGGTCGAATTCTGTGCGGTTTACTTAAAATCAATTTTGTCTCCGGATTGTCTTATATCATCTTTTATCAGACGTATTTTAACTGCACTACACGTGACAAACCTGTAAAAGAAACTGGTGTTTGTAAGAAGATATTCATATTAAATGAGGGATTTCAAACAATACAGTCATGCTTCCCAAACAGTCTTGTTCGATAAATTTTCAGGACAAAATACCAAAATATTCTGGATATTTTCTGCAGCAAGTGCACGTTGGGGAAAAAGTCAATATTTACTCTTATGTAGTATTATGAAGGATGAACTTCAGAGGTATTTTATTACATGCATTCCTTCTACGACAGTGTTGACTTTGCGAGACCACCAGTCATATTCTTTACTACATCTGGTGCCGATTTCACCAATTAGCGCTCAAATATCTCATTCTATGTCTATTCTATTATTGTTTAACTCACTTAAAACCTGCATAATCTGCACTCCTTGAAAAATTAGAGAATTGAATGCCAATCCCCAGCAGATTATTGACACCTGTGGGCCAACACAATCTGAAATTAATGACATCGACTTCGTGCCAATGTCATCGTATGCCTGTGAAAAGGCATGTTCATATCAAAAACTTTCTACAATACACAGGGACACTTTTATATGGATCTTCTGTCCTAGAGCAATTGGAATGCTTTTCATGAAATCATTTTTACAGTGTAATCCTACAGAATTTGAATGTCATCCAAAAATGTATGTTATTTTGCACACATGCACACTTGTTGACTCTCTAATCAGCTTAAGTATCAGGGAATGGTCTCGCCTAGGGGTCTAAAAAAGCTACTAATTAACAAACTTAATATTAAATGAAATACAAGCCAAATAAAGGAATAAATCCAGCTAAACAATTAAAATTAGCACTGGCACATGCTTAATTTATTAAATATGTCTGAGTCAGTGCTTTAGCTTTTCTTGCAATATTCATTACGTTAAACTTTAATCTTAATGCATGTATACAAATAAATACATTTGTATTGTAATTCAATTTCATGTTACCAGGTTTTCTAGTGTGTGTAAAAATGACAAGTCAAGCTAATCATAACAAATTCACTACATATAATAGTTTTCAAGTTTTCTTTGCTGTGAAGTACACAAACTCAAATCCCATCAACATGACAAGAATGGTGTGTGCTGTAAATTTCATGTCAGACAACTTATATTATTTTAAAAATTGGGTAAATTTCTTTCGTTTGATTAATCTGTAAAATGTCTTCTTTGACCAAGAGGTGGTGTCATCTTGTTGGACAAAAACACTGAAAGTCCTACCTTATCAAATTATCCTATTAAAAGGTTTGTGGGCATACATGACTCACCTGAATTCTACACAACCAGTGCCTGGCTCTGGTGCCTGCCACGTAAAAGAGACCTCTTTTTTCTCCATGAGAACATAATGGGTGATAACTGTGTGATTACACTCCGGATTTTCCTGTGCTTTCGCTGTCCTTGGAAGCTAAAACATATTGATTCATATGAACCCAAAAATCAAGCATTGAAAATAGGATTGACATTTATAATGGAGCACTGTGGAATATAATATATTCATCTGAACTTTATATTAGATGAACTGTATTTGTAATAAATACCATCTACTATCTAAATTATGGACTTAATATTTCTTAATAACATTTTTTTTTATCAAGTTCATATCAAATAAATTTAACAAAACATACACTAGTAGCTACCTCCCACGATATTTCAGTACAAACAATTTATGCAATTTCAACCAAAGGAATGAATTAATTTGATTCAATTGGTCATTCAGACATAAATCTTACAAGCTTGACTGGGTGACAGTTTTTGGAGTGTTTAGGATCTAATGACTTCATTCATTGACATGGCTGACACACCATAGCAAAAAAACAAAATGTAAATCAAAAACTTCATTAACATTTTAAATGGGTGAACATCATCTATTTACAATTAATTAAAAAAAAAAAATTTAACACTCTTAACTTTTACACTATAATCAGAAATGTGTGACTGTATTCTGCAGTGCCCCAGCTAACACAATATTACATTCAGTTTCATAAATTTGGCCCATAAATCATTGGCAACATAAAATGTGTTAAATTTTCATAAACAACATGAAAAAAAAATCTAGAAAGTAATTCATCATTTGATTCTGAATGTATTGATGCATATAAATATATTTTAAATTCTCTTTATATTTTTCTTCATTTGTATCAAGCACTAGTTTAATTTCATATAATTTACATAGACAGGTTTTTATGCTATCACATACAATCTGTACATGAAACAGTGAACATGAATATTACAAAGAAAATATAGCACTTTACTTAAATGGCAATAGTCATTTATTTCAATTCATCATTATAGTTTAAGTTTGGCATGGGATTGAATGTACAAGACAATTAAATATATAGAAACTTTTAAAATTAATGTTTCGACTATTTTGGAAAGTCTTTTCAAAAATTTTCTATTGGAACTTGTCTTGAACATTCTTCTTAGATACTGTAAACCAAAAAGTGCAAATACATTTAACATGTTTTGTTTGATAATCTCTGCAGAATTGTATACATTAAAATGTTTTGAATATCTTTATGCTATGTGTAAAATTGTTCTATTTGCAAAAGTTCCAAGATCTTTTTCTATAATGTTTTGAAATACCACAAATTAAGTAACTGTCATTAAAATATCTATTTCTTTTAATTAATTTGCCCAAAACATGAACTAAGCCAATGATCTTATCTCTTTACTACAGATTGAGAAATTCTATCAAGTTTCTCTACTTACACACATTAACAAATGCTCTTACTATTTTACTTACTAACCACCTATATCTGATATGTAAGAGAACTAAACAATTGAATTCATGTCTTAAATTTTAAGAAGGAAATTCATGGTTCTTTAGAAGTAACAATGTTCATAATATCTTACTGAAGAACCTTGTTAATTCAATGCTAATATCTTTGAGATATGCAGTATTGTGTTCCAAAAGAACATTTGCATCCTCTGAAAATTGAAAAATAAATTACATAAAATCTTTTTTTTTCCCAAGCAAAAGTGTGTAATATGCATTTCATAGCACATCAATTATCTTTTTTCAGCAAGGAAAAAAAAAAGGAAGAAGCATATAGTGTACGTGTTCTAGTTTCAGACAATCACATCTACACAGGTGCTACTCCAGCTGATTTATCGAAATAAACCCACAATCGTACACATCTGATTGTAACACCTCATTTACTTTGTCACCATTTTTGCACTGTTCAGATGCAGCTCTTTACATCTGTAAATAAGCTACTTCCAGGGAAGTCTGGTGCATAAATATCACAGAAACTTGTATATATCCTGTCCATATTATGTAATCTCTTCATAGGACTGATAAATGCACAAAAAATAAGCAAATTCCCATAATAAAAGCTTGAAAAATTAAAGATAAATTAACTGAACTCTTAGCATTCCAAGGTAAAAAGGTTATCCCGGGGAGGCTGCACCAAGAAAACAGAGAGAATGAAGCACATGTTAATGAGTTATTCTACTGCAAAAAGAATTGAAAGTGTATGAGTGATGTAATAGGCAATAAAACCTTTTTCATCAACAACATCAAAATAATCTGACAAAGACATTATCAGTCAATTTCGAGCGTCTTTATCTTCTTCTTAAATGCTGTATATATTTCGTTAATTAACATGCAGTTTAAGCATCCCTTGTATAATAAGATTTAAATAACTTTTAATCGAATCACTCACATAGAATTTTCCGACTGTTGTTGTCTCGTCCTTCGCTTTTTCTGGTTTGGCTACTATCATAAATCCTAAAAACCCGTTGTCCTCTTCTTCGTAACGATTTTTTAGATGAACTGTAAAAAATAAATGCACATACTTATATTGAACAAAACCTTTCTTTTCTCATTAAAATATTTTAATCTACATTTATTAAGCAATTCTGAGATTAAAACATGTTTAAAAATGACATTTACTTTAGATTTCTCATATTTCGGGTTGAAGATGCTGGATAATTCGTTCAATGGTAGAGTTAATTTTGAATTGGATTGAACTTCAGATGATTCGTATTTGAATATTATGTACAAAGATGATAGATCTAACTTTTTTCACACATCTGAGAGTGCAAACAATATTTTGGCTAGATTATCAGTTCATCGTTTAAACAATCCTTCAGGAGTATACTCTTCTCTCTGTTTCAGGTTAAAGATGTAAAGAAACGAGCACCTGTACATTTTGCCTGGAGTAAATTTTAGATTGGTTGGCTGACGGTTGAATAAATCAATGGTTATATCTACCAAGGAAATTCCCATCCAAAGGAAACTATGTCTGCTATTTTAACCTGCATTTATCTCAAATTGTCTAAATTGACACCTTTAGGATGTTAATTTTTTTTCATCAATCGCATGAGGCACATGAATATTCAACAATCCCTCATTCTTCCCGGAGGTAGCCACAGGTAACAAAGATCAAAGTCCCTCTTTCACACGTTTAAACTCTGTGATTGACAAATTATATATCGGTAAATGCAATGGTAACAATGCTCAGTAGTACGATCAGAAGCTAATTCCTAATGTCAGTAGGCATTCGACAGGGTGAATCATCTAGCCCTTCATTGTTAATTCACTTGAAATTCGTGAACTATTGATGAAGCTTATTTGCACAACCAAGATATCTTTGCCCTTGTCACAAAATTCAAAAAAGTTATCTCGTTGATAGATCAATATAACCCCATTGATTATGAGATTATGTCTTATTTTAAACACATTGAAATTCACTCGATCATTCACTCACTGCCTATATTATGTCTGGGTTATCAAAACAAATCTTTTCTTCATCGCGAATAAATATAACATCATTTCCTGTTTATTATCTTTTAAAGAGTTCCTATCGATAATTTTTACTTTTCAATGGTTTACTACAAAATACAAATTGTTTTCAATATACAGTATGTTGCCAAACCAGAAAGTTGGGTTTTGCAACGTATACAAATAGTCACCGAAATTATCATGTTTCCGATCCAAAATATTTTTTACCTAGGACCTTGATGCAAGATTAATTTTAGATCTTTAAAGAATCACGCACTGAAGATAGTCACCGACTTTCTTTTTATTTTGAATGTTACTTATTCTATGAACTGGGGGATGGGATTAGAGTTAATGAAGCAATACATTTGTTCTGGGACACCACACAAGGAGGAGGGTAGAATTTTCTGATTGTGGTGAAGATATAATCGATTTAAGTTTCTTCAAACTTTCGTTATGTCTTTTGTAAGTTGTATCTTTTTAATGCTTGTGTTTCAAGAATCCGAAGATATACAAGGTAATTGATGAACGATTATTAATTTGTAAAAACTTTATTTTAAAGAGTATTCGCCTAAGTTTACAGCGAAAATGTATAATATTTACTGCTCGTCGAATCATATTCCTCGAAAATAGGTTAATGCCATTCACATGTATAGTTAACAAGCCAAGAAAAGAAAAATTAATCCATCAATATACACCAAAGAAATTTTAAAAATCAATGCAATACAAATACAAATTGATCGATCAAATATCGATCTGTCTCTCTTACGACTTCTTAACTATAGTTTCGTAATGCTATTCCCATGAATTTTGATTTTTTTTTTTAATTATTATTATTATAATCATTATTATTATTATTTCGTTGTCGAAGTAAACAGATCTATTTAACTGCATGATCAACTCGCAATGATTTGAAATTGCAAAAAAAAAGTAACATGAAGAGTTTTTACCAAAACAACTTTGAATTTAAGGGATATAAGTGCATATTCTATGTAAATTGAATATCCGGAACGAATTTAGAACGAAAACAAATAGGCTTAAAGCCTCTGTGATTATGCCTGCCTTTGTTGTTTTTGAAATACGATTTAGAATTATTAAGAGTCATGTCCTTAAAATACGATAGAGCTCATCAAATAGACTTTAAAATAGTCATCTCTCCCTTCCAAAATAGACCTTCCCGCATTGACATGAAACGATTTTGTTGTTTGTTTCTCTGTTTGCGTTATTGTTTTATTTTTTTTTTTTAATTTTGGTATATATTCCATGCAAGTATTTTTAATATATATTACTAAAACATTTTCCAATCAACAACAATATAAAGTTACGCTAAGATATTTGCGGGTTCGGTATATGTGTAGCTAGGGAGGGAATCGAGGGCAGAGGCCGAGTATCACGTGACAAATATATTTTTGATGTCCTCCGTGATCTGAGGGGTATCTAAACTAGATTGAATTTCGGTTAGAAAATGAGTTCAATGCACATTTTGTTTCGCGGCGGCTTTGTTGCAAAAGAACGAGCACCATACTAGACCTGTGAGTGCAACATTCGTTCATCAACATGATGCAACAAATTAAGGTAAGTTGTCCAGTGCAACTTAGATACTATCGGAATTATATTTCCTATTCCTTTGTCACACCCTATATCACGTTCAAGATTTAATCAACATTATTGAAATGTTTCGGGAACAAAACATATAAAACATGAATTAACTTAAATATACGCATCTACTTTAGTCCAAAACATCACTAGGTAAGACTCGTGAATACGTAGAAATGAATAATTGTCATATTTGTTAATATATGCATGTAAATATAATTGACAAAATATTAATGTAAGTCGTCAGGGATTGGGCATAAGGAACAGTGTATATACAAGGTGACCACAAAGCCCAATAGCTCTGTCTCTTATAATCCGATCTGGTGTTAAATTTGGCAGAATAATTTAACATCACAGCATACATATTACATTTTTCACTCTAAATACAACCCAGGGCAGAGATTATAACATGAAAAGTGCCGACAAATTTCCGAAGTGCACCTCACGTAGAACAACAAAAGGGCGCCGTAATTGGGAATGCTAAGCCTTAAACCGAACTGTAGGTGGGTCAATCTAATTGACAAAATTTCAGGTTACCATGTCATTTTAATGGTTCATTGATATTATATCAACGAAATGTTCTTTCTATTTTTGACTTCAGAAATCTGTATCGTCAAAGAGCCGACATGGTAACGCCTTCTGTTGAGCAAGTCTCTTGTCGTGATTCAAATGAGTAATTTTTGTTTTGTTTTTTGGTGACCAAATGAAGAATTCTAACACATCTTTTCGCAGAAATGCCAACTGAATAACACTTTCAGTTAAACTTATAAACGGTCTTTACCAAATTCAGATTGCAAATTACCTAAAAGAAAATATTACAGATATAATATCTTCATAGTGAAAAGGAAGCTTATCAATATTTGAATGTTTGCATCTTTTGGTTTGGATAAAGTACAGAAATTATACCTTAGTTCTTGTTCACAGACTGACAATTTGATACAGCTAGCTGTCTTTTTATATTATTATTATACTCCCTCCATCTTGCTCTCTCTTACATGTAGAAGTTGTTCTTTGAAATACAAATTAGAATTCAGATTACAGGAACTTTTATACATAGATTTACACAGATAAATAATCTGTTTTCATTTCCATGGCTCTCATTTATTAACAAAGCTGGGGGTATAATATTTGGACTTGAGCAAACAGTTTGTGACAGTGGGTACATCGCACTCTATCATACCATTTACCCGCTAGAACTGTTTGGCATGTCCTTGTGAAAGTAATAGCAGGTCATTAGAGAAACCGGTAAACTTGTGTCAGTTGGTATCATGAATTCCAATGTCGATAGTTTTATCACTGTGTATGTTTGTTTGTCTGTGTGAGTTTTTTTGTTATCAATACTGCGTCTGGTTCGGCGTAAGGTCACACTTTCAACTCAAACAGATCAAGAAAAGGTGACTTTTCAGAGCAGAACAGGTGCGAGGAATCGATTTTAATTGGCCTCGATTGAATAGATTATAAACGTTTAAGAAAAAAAGCGCCTTAATGCGTGGAAAAAGAAAGATAGTTTTGTTTGCGTTTTTAGCTACTGTATTTAAGAAAGGAAGCTTAAAGTGAATAAAATCTCTTAAAAATTTAAAGAGGTGGTGTAGTAATCGTAAAGTGTTTGTGAAGGCGTGTGATCATATGAGCGTTAAGTAGCCCAACATGCCAAATTAAAGCAGATGTACGGCAAATAAACAAAATAAAAACCAAACTGACACAGGATACTTGCTGTAACAAGCCACGATAACAGTTTCATGTGGATAACTTATCAAAAGTTTTTTTCCAACCTTTAAAAATAGAGGAAGAACAGAATTCGTGTATCGATGTATCAATGAAACATCTGGGCAAGGGTGGGGGCACTCTGATGGGACCAAAGATCGCTGCACGACAGAGTCGCGCACTGAAGAGTAAAACGACAAAATACAGGCGGTTGGACCCGTCGTCTTCCGTGTAACACGCCATACTTGTCGTGGCGTACAAAGTGAGGTGAAAAATCAGGCACGACAAGGAAAAGAGAATAAAATCGAACGTGTTTTGATGTATCGGCAGAGATTTTTAACATCAGAACTAGGACAGGGGCTTGTCAGGGCATCGGCAAACAGAAGAATGATGTTTCTATTTGGTATAAATTTAAGTCCTAGATAGGTCCGACATTGGATATACCAAGATATGAGCCAAAGTTTGTAACTCAGAAAAATCAAGTAAAACTGCTAATTCTTATTTGTGAATGAAAAATATATAACGCCATATAACCTAAAAGTTCAAGCGAATTTTTCTTATCGCGGCCTGCCAAACTTTTCGCAATATCCGCGTGATTAATTGGTGGCTCTAAAAGTAGGACCGTAAGCCCCCGATACCGCGCACCCAAACCGATTGGACTGCGAGCTTTTCAATACTGGCGCGCGCTATCTTCGCTGTCTGACGAAAGGTAATATAGTGAAGTGTTAAGTCTAGTTTCTACCAATAATTGT